CCGAATGGGCTATTGACTCAGGGGCCCTGAGGGCAAGAGGAATAATTGTTTTAGTAAAATGCAACTAGTTGGTCAAGAATATCGAGAATAAAAAAAATTCAGCTAGTTAAAGCCAGACTTGAATCCTTTTTTGCCGACAAAAAGCCCGCGAGTTTTGCTGCTAGTGGGCTATAACACATAAACACATTTTATTTGTGGGCTTCATTTACATTTACTTCACGCGTACCTTTTACATTAGTCTGCATGGTATCCCTGTACCACATACCTATTTTAGAAATGACAAAGATTTAACCCATCCTGTGGTAAAAGCTAGTCACAGTTCATCTCTATGATGACGTCTATACCGATCGCGAAAGTGCCTATGATCGCGTCCACTGTGGAATATTGCAGCAAAAGCATCAATGTCGTCAATTCGCTTCTTCAGCTCTGTGGGATCACGGATTTCTTCTGCCTCCATCATATAACGGTGGCTTAATTCTCGAAAAACAAACGAATTCTTTCCTGGAAAATAATCATCGTCATCAATGTCATCAAGGTCAATGATGCGCCTACGCAGTTCTCGCTTCAAGTCCTCGGGGTCGTCCATTCGCTCAAATCGACGCCGCCGCATGTCTCTTCGGACATCTTCGGGAATATCCGAGTCCATGTCACGTTCCCACGGCTCTCGCTCGAGGTAATCGTCTTCGCTCATTTCTCTCGTTCGGATCTTCCGAAGCTCACGTCTAAGACGATCGACATCGTGGATTTCTCGAAGTCTCAATTGCAACTCACGCCGTTTATGTTCATCCATTCGCCCGCTTACAAACGGCGGTTTTTTTCTGCTCCTTCTGCCTTCCTGCTGTTCCGTCGCCTGCTCTCTTATAAGACGTTGAATCTTCTCGGAGTCTTCTTCTTCGTTTTGGCTCTCCCGTTTCCCTTTGCTGTTAGCTTTTTTAGCATGCTTAGTCTTTTCTCCAGGAGCTTTTTTCTTCGATTTCTTTTCCTTTTTGCTGGTTTCTTTTCTTTTGTTTTCTCCGCTGTTTTCCTCATTCACCAATTTATCTTCTTCTTCCTCTTCTTGCTTTTCCGAGCCTTCTTCCTCTCCATCTTTCTTCTCCGGTTCAGTTTCATTAAAGCAATCTATAACATAAAGAATATCCCTGATAACAAAAAATTACCTGAGAGAATCTCCGAAGGACAAAAATCTTAATTCATTTCTTTTGTTTTATTCCTCTCAACCTTCAGCCTAGGAGCTGAATGTTAATAACTCGAAACTGGCCTATTGGGTATCGACAGTAATTTCGCAATTTCGTTTGCATTTAACCTAGTAAAGCATTTATACTAAGGGCCTGTCTGATTGACCTTATTCCGGAATAACAATCAGAAATAACATAAACTCTTGAAATCACTCGTTTTGGCGTTCATCACTTTTTAATAACTAGAAATCTGCTTGCAATAAGATATCCCGACGATCGTAGGGCTTAAGTGGCCTAGAAAGCATCGGAACAAGAGGTTTGCAGCAAAACTTTGGCGTATTCTTATTCCAGACTATCATCAATCCAACGCACCCTAAGCTTTGTGATGGGCTCAAAATCTCACGCAAATCTTCCGCCACTTTCTCAACCAATCACAGATAAAAACGAAAAGCTAAACATCATGGCTTTCTTACCCTCCTCTCCTGGGTCCAGTACCCTCTCAATACATAACCAGTTTGTCAAGTTTTCGTTCTGATGGTTCCAGTACCACTCGACCAGGTCATCTTCGTAGGTCTCTACCATCAGCTCGCACTATAGAAAAACAATGGCCATTTCAATATGACACATTCAAAAATGGCAGTTACAGTATGGGAGCGGTGTAAGTGTGCCTTTCAAATTTGAATACATTGTAATTGGGTTGTAAACATTTCAATTCTACAAAACTGTTGCTGCCTGCTAAGCAGTTGCTTTTAACAGAACACAGTTGGTTATCTAGCGTTTTTCTAAGATCTGTAGACCTCTAGCAGAGTCCAACAAAATTTATTACAACCTTTAGTCTTCGGGAGCCGTTACGTTCGGAATTCAATGGTGTTTTACAGGAAGACTACAAGTAAACACTTATTTTCCTCCTTACTTTCCTAGAGTGAGAGACATACGCCAATCAGCTCTCTTCACATCACGCAAAGAGCGCCCTTGCGCGAGATGACTTTCCGCGCAATTGTGTATTTCTCTGATTTCAACTCAGGGCAGGTGAAAGGAAGGTGATGAAATGGGTGGGCCGAGCAAAAACAGTGGTTTTACCCTCTCTACTCCCTAGAAAAGATTAGGGGTACTCAGAGCCAAAGAATAATTATAACACTAAAAGCATCTAATATAAAGAGATATACCCTGCTCTTAAGTCGTGTCACTTCCGCATCGGGCGTTTCCCACATCTCATCAGGAAATCCAAGTTCTACCTTCACACCACGATCCCTAAGACCTCTTAGAGTGTTAAATGTCACACTTTCCTCTGAAAAATTCAAATTAATTTGTTTAATATATTGCAATAGTGTATTTGAATGCAGTGGATAATGAACTGTAGGATGTGAGTTTCTACTGCTAGGCACGCGAAAATCAGAAATGAGTTTAAAAAATGGTACTATCCAACATATAAATCCACATCCATGGGACAACTTCAAAGGTATTAGGGAAATGAATGAAAGCTGAGTTATCCAGTGGATAGTACTATACACCCTTGAAAGAACTGAGACCTGATGGGTCTTTTAGGTTAGCTGGATCAATTTGAATGACTGGTCAGAAGGGAATGGATGGGACAGTCATCAGGGTCAGTTTACTCTGGAAACAGGCTCCAAAACCTTATATAACTTTCAACAATAAAGTCAATTAACGCCATAACAGCTCATGAGCATTCATACCAATAGGAAAGTATTTAAATTCTCTGCCACTGCCACTTCGTTTAGTTCCGCCAATTTAACTACATAAATCGTCGAGTGAAGCAACTGAGTGGTGGACTGGAAAGAGGGAAAGGGCTCATCATAGCTACATCATCATAATTCCATCATAGCTAGCAATTTTTTAAAGCCCTTTTACTCCTGTTCAGAGCCTGGTCCCAGGCTAGGGTCAGTAAGGATATAAATGGGTCAGTTGGGACACATTGGCTAGCCCTAGGCATCCCCTCCCATGGCATAAATCCCTGACTTCCATACAGAATAAATACAATTGATCCAAAAAACCACTTTCTAGCGAAGAAAAAAGACAAATAGTATTTATTATATAAAAATTTAACATACTTTTCTCATATCGCAATGCTTTGATCTTGTCCTTGTGTACCTTGTAGTCCAAAACTTTTGTGCAAGCATTCTCAAGAGCTTCATTCAGTCGCACTTCACTGAAAGGAGAAGTGCCTATCACTATATATTTTGTATGTCACAAGATTATTTGTATCACAAATGTCACACAGTGGCTTGCAACAGTTTCCAACATTTTCAACACTTAACTTTGATGGATCAATAATGTCTTTCATAGAAGAGGCAACAATCAGACATAAAAGAAAGTGCATTCATTGATATGGCAGTTTTTGGGACATAATAGGTTACCATAGTAACATTACAACCTGTTGAAACACACCTCAATTTAAATTTCAGTGCTAATAAATCAAAATCATGTCCCTGGTGATTACTTTTTTTAAATTCCCAAATTGTGATGAGCATGATAGGATACAACGTTTTACAAAGTTTTTTAAGCAGGTTCAGAGCCACCTTAATTTTCCAGCTGGTACAGATCATGTCCCACTGAAACAAAACAGACAAAAGTGGTATAATAGAAAAAATAGCACAAGTGTGGGGGTTGAAGCTCCAAAGCACTTACGATTTCCTGTAGCTTATTTCTTTGCGCTGCTCCTGAAATATCTGCCCTGTTCGGAATATTTCATTTGACTTTCCAGATCTCTCGAGTTCATCTTCTAATTCTTGCACCAGGTGTTTACAGACTAAATTTAGAAATAAATGGATGTTTTTAGAATTGTAAGTGTGTGTGTGTGTTTTTTTTAAAATAAAGTTACCAATATTTGTTGCCTGATAATAAAAAAAAGGGCCAAAGTTTTCTTTGCACAGATCAGCCTGTGTGTCCCAATAACATTTACCCTTTTTATGATAAAGAGTTTAAGGAGTATTTACAAGGAGGAGCTGAACTGCTTAAGGGGCAGGTGGTTCAGAAATCTAAGTGGTAGATATGGTTGTTTGAGACAGTTGGCAAAGCTTTTTAGTGGTCACGAATTGAAGTAGAATAGTGAATTGTCATTTGGTAGCAATAAAAAACTAAAGGTAAAAACTGTTTCCACATTTTTACCACAGCTTATACAAAGTAGGGAAAAAACCTAGTGACAGTCTTTTACACAATATGCATCACTGATGCACTTAAACAAAGTTTTAATTGCCTACACACTAGTACCCATCATAATGCAAAAACGTTTCACTTGTATTTTCATAGTGTGACAAACCACCAACTTAGATCTCATAAACAAAAAAGGGAACTTAGCTCTTTTTTGATTAGAATGCATATTTTTCACCTGTTCATGTAATAAGCTTTAACTTCAGCCAATCAGAGATTGGAACCACGACACTGAACCTTTGAGCATGAGCAAACTGGATTTTAAGTGTTTTAATAGGTGTTCAATTATTTACCTACCACTGACATTAATCTCAATATGGTATTAGGAAATGAGTTTGCATGCAGATGAGTTGAGAATATCATTGTTCTCGCCCAAAATATCAATTTTGTATCTTCAAAGATTAAAATGCTGCACATTTCCAAAGCTGAAAAAAATAAATGAACGTCTGGAAAGTGGCAGGGGCAATGGGTGTGGGAACGGGTTGGATTTTTTACATTAGTGCTTAACTTGCAAGTTGGTATTTGCTTAATCATTTGAATAAAGAAAATCAAACGGTTCGATATGTCGGTCATGTCATTGACAATATAAAATCTTGCACAAAATAGTTCAAAGACGAATCATCATTTGTTCACAAAAGAGACAAATCTAACTTCAGAAAATGATTTTTTGAAACAAAAGTGGGTTTGTTGAAGTAAATGTAAAATTTGAAGCATAGCATTTAGTCAGGAAGGACCGAAGCTGTCTTTAACCAGTCTTATTGTCCCAGCTGCACCAGCTGTCGCGTAAGCCAAAAGCCCGCGAATCAAATAAATATTTTGCAGTTTTGGGAGATCAAATTATCAAACAAGGTTCAAATTCGGGATCGCGTTTTGTAAAGAGAGAATGTCTAGAATGGAGCTTAGTTTCAAGGGATGCATGATTTAAACGAGTTGATCCTAAAAAATCGCTTATTTCCTTGGGAATGTTTAAATTATCAAGCTTAGGATTAAATATTCGTGCTTACCATGACATTTAGTTGGAAGTTTCTCCTCCTCTTCGTCAATGCTGTCTCCATTGACTGAGATTAAAATGGCTAAAAATAAAACCAATGCGAAAAACATTCGCATCTTCCTTGCAGAAACATAAAAAGACCAACTAAGCTGCGGTCCACAGATGTTAAAACAAATAGCAGTAATTTCAAATTAGCAAGATGTTTGCATGACATGTTCCAAGGGTTCGAAACTGATTGGCTTTTGCTTCTCAATTGGCACGATTTGTCATTCACAGCGATTCCCTGCCATGCAACGGGACACAATTATTGTTCTTTTTTTCCTTTTCTTCGCAGTCCATTCTAATTTGCAGCTTATTTAAGATTTAAACAAGAAACGATATAAGAGATCGAGGAACTCACTTAATTTTTCAATTCTCTATGCGGCGAACCATGAAGTACCTACGTATCTCTCGCTGACCAATGGCAACGGGGTTTCACAAAGATGGCTTCCCCCTTGGCGTCATTTTGCATTCGAAACTTGGAAGTGTTTCAGCCGTTTAGATGTAAGTACGAGAGTTTTATTGTATCGCAGTTTTCAAGAGAAGCTTTAAAATGAATTATTTATAATACAAACTGAATTTTTTTTCTGGGTACAGGTTTGCCTGGAGTATTTATGCAATGTCGAACGCACGCCAAGAAATCCGGGGGCCATGGAAAGAACCAAGGGAAACCCAGGAAGGGAAAGCGTTTAGGGATGAAAAGATATGAAGGTGGGCGATCAAATTGATCAGTAATAAGGCTGAGTGTTAAATTCTCTTTTTTTTTTCAATATTATCCACATCAGAGATGCCATCCTCTGTAGATCTGAAATCTGGAGATATTTCTTGCACTACCCCAGACTTTCCCCTTGGTCAACCCACACCATTCAAATAAATCGACCCTGTCCTCAACTGGAGTTTGTACTAGTTGTGATAGATACTCAAAAATACTGCCAGAAACCGTAATATATATTGAAAGTTTGTCAAGTTTATTGAAATTTGCCATGGTGAATCAACACAGTGAAAGGGAGTGAAGTAGGACTTGTGTCCCAATATGATGATTTCAACCCATCTTACCCACCTAACTAGTGAAAGGTTGTGGGCTGTGTTTTTTTCAACAATACTCCAGACCTCAATCCTCACACTAATGTAGAACTGTTTTTGTTTAATTACCCAGGGGGGGAGGGGGGGTGGGGGTATCCTAGAGATAACTATATCCTTTGCAGTACTTCCAGCATCAACCACTGCCCCCCCTCCCATAAACACTAATTGATGCAGTTTCTAAGTTATTACACGGGTGTGACTGAAGACATTATATGACATCTTACATGAGATGCAGTCTGTCAAAACTCACTTGTTTGACAAAATAGTCTTGTCATTGATGGAATATGTGCAAAAATATCACAGCAACCACAGTGATGAAATAAACTATTTGGGGGAAAATGAGCTAAATTCCAAGCTAAAGCAAAGAAAAGCTCAAAACACAATAAATTTTTAACCAAGAGATTTAGTAACCTGTATTGGTAAATGGAGACTATTCAAGAGACTCTTGGATGATCCTGAAGAGTTGGCATATATGGGCCGTATGTCACTAATAGAAAAACTTTGTCGTTACTGCAGGTGAACATGTAATCCCAGGTACTGTCCTTTTTCGGCAGTGGAAACACAAAGTTAAATTTCATCCAGGAGAAAATGTAAGCTGGTTGAAGGATTTTTGTATAACATTTGCCCACCTTAACTGCCTAAGATAGGCTAAGGTGGTCCTGATTTTTATTAGTGTAATGTTATTAGTAGTGTTTCTATACTAATGTAAAGCCAAAATGCTGAATATGCAACTCCCTGATAGTAAGGAAAACATGAAGTCAACAGGAATAAACATGCACGTAAACTTGTAGTATGGTTAAACTAAGGCACCAAGTTATTCATGGGACACAGCGGAGAGCCAAACTAAGAAAAAGAAAAACAAGAGCTTCAAGAGAAAATAAAGACAAGACTTAAACCTACATAGTTTAAACAAGAAGACAAAGACTACATCTACTGTAAGATGGCACTAACATAAACAGTGAAAAAGGTTTTGACAGTAATAATTTGTTATAATTATGTATTAAGAAATGGAGAGATTAAAGTAGCTGTATAAAAGAAGTTGAAAAAAAGTTTGTAGTTTTAATGTGATTGATACATGTTTAACCCCTTAAGCCCCAGTTTCCACATACCACAGTGGAACCTCGATATAACAAACCTCTGTATAATGAAGTCCTCAGTATAACATATGATTTTCTTTACCCCATTAGTAGTAAAACATATGGAAAAGTACCACGTTATAGCGAACAAGTTTTGCCAGTCCTTTGGCTCGTTGTTATATTGAGTTTCCACTGTAATTCTCTAGCCTGCTTTCCATACATTTCCTAGAAATTAAGTTGAGTGAATTTTAGATGTAATCATGATTCTGTATTGATAGCGTTTGGAAAAAAATAATCTTGATGACTCTCTTGCCTCAAAAGTTAAACAAATAGAAATAATTATGAGAAGCAAGACACTAAGGCAAACCAAACTTAACTTTTCATAAATTTTTCCTTTCTTCTCTCAGGTTGGAGTTGGCAAAGATTGGACATTATATGCACTAGCTGAGGGATTTGTTAAATACAAGAGAGAACTGCTTGAACCTTATGCATGGGGTTATGGTCCACAAAACAAATTCCATGAGAAAAAGTTTATTCATGTCATACAGAAACAGCCCTTTGTTGGACCAAAGCTTGTCCCTGCTCATGATGTTTATAAAATTTCTGAAAGATAATATTTACTAAAATGAACTCTACATGTAGGCCAGGCTCCTTGATGGTTTGCATGCCATTGGTGGTGAATTCTTGCAATGGTGGTCTGATAGAGCACTGTTCATGGATTGCAAGTTATCCCTGAACAGCATTAGTGGCCTTAAGCTACACCATTTCTCTCTATGGGTACGAGTAGACAAACCTGTTTGCCACGTTATGCAAAAGGTGACCATGATTTCCCAGAACTGATAATGGTGTCAACCCTCTACCGCCCTTGTGCTCTACCTGGTAGCCTTTTTCCCTAGGGTAAGAGGCAAATATTTACCGTATTAACGGCTATGTGTACAGGTTATTTTACCTGTTCTCGTACACAGAAATGGTGTATCTTAAGGTCTCTATTGTGGAACCTTGGATGCACCTATTGAGAAAATCCATAATTGGATTGATGATCTCCAGTTCTTTGGATTTGTCATAATAAAAGAAACAAAACAACTACTGAAAATGGACTCTATAGTGTGACAGCTGTATTGGTGCGTGCTAAGCAGTGAGAATGTAGCCTGGCCTTAAATTTTCACAGGAAAAGGACTGACAGAAGTACTCAAAAAATAATCCAGACTTAGTTTTTCCCAAGATACACAACCTTTATGTGAAAATGAATCTACCCAGGCAAAGAAGGCTACTTGTATATATGTGAAAGAATGGAGAATAAAGATTGATGAAGAAAGTGGGATGTTTTCACTGACAGATGATCTTTTGTCCTTATGTTATGAAACAACTTAGCTGAGAAACAAATTATGGAGTGAAATTATTACAATATGCATCAAGATGACTTTTAGTGAAATGACTAGGAACCCCAACCTTTCCTTCCACCAGCCTTGTGAGGTTCTGCATAGTTATGAGGTTATCAGTGGTCATTCTGGAGATGATCCTTGAGACATACTTGGGAATGATGCAGGACTTGTTGACTTTTGTTGCCAATTTTAGCTGGGGATAGGGTGATTGGATCACTTTTGATCCATAGGGAAAGACACACCGAAACTTTATTAAAGGAATAACATCGCATTTTTTGTTTCTGTTACTTGACTTTTAAACATGTGTAATAAACCACCCGTTAACCATATTAGAAAAAGTGTTTTGAAATCAGTCCTACCTGCACTAGGGGTGTAGCTACCTGTACACCTGTTACGCATGTGGGCACCTCAAAAAGTAAAAGGTAAAAAATAAAAATTTCAGTAACCTGAATCCCCTCAACTGCAGGGGTAGCTAACTTGTCTTCACATAAATACCTGAAAATGTCAAACAGTACAATAAAAATAACAATGTGCAGGTAGTGAGCTGGGGTGGTATTAAGTGTGAAAGCCTTGTCTTCACTTTGGCCGGTCTTTGCAAGAGATGAAGTGGGCAACAATTCCGTAATGTTTCCCATTCGTAAACATAGGGTGCTGGCTTTTACCTTCAAAAATAATGAGGTAAACAGCAGTAAACAAAGTATAAAGTAAATCAAACTCTTAGATCACTAGCTTGTCGGCTCAATTAATGATAAGCAATTCAATGAATGCGATAAAGAAAGGGAACAAACAATTTTACACTACTTCATATACAGGGGTTTAAAGGATAGGGCGGGGGGGGGGTGGGGGTGGGGGAGGGGTGTTTAAAATTGTGCATACCTCTGTAAAATTTCTGGCTATGCCTCTGAGTTGTTTTTTCAGGGCAACCAAAGACTTACAAAACTTATGAATTTCACCACATGCAGTTGACAGGAGCACTTTTTTTCACTCATAGTAGTCCCTTGAAATACTGCACTTTGTGACTTGAGGCTTTACTGTATCCACTGTTGCTATAAAGAGAAATAATCTTAGCCTGTTGGTGGGTAACCTGAGATCAGGCGTTATTTTTTGATCGCAGGCTAGTCGGTGGGCAATTATTGTGATCTTGGGTGGGTGGGTGGGTGGGTGGGTGAGGGGAAAATCGAAAATGGTGCTTTCCGGGGTCCCTGTCGTCGCGATGATACCTGGGATATCCAACATGGTGGACATTGGAGGGTTGTTCGAGTCTTCTCGTCTTCTGGACTGGGAATTAGACTCGATCAAAGCCAACCAAGACGAAACACTAGCAAGATCGCTCATCAATTACCGCCATCTTAAAACTGAGATACAAAGTCAGTGCTTCTCGCTAAGCGCTCAACAAGAGAGACTCGATGAAGAAAGTACGGAGAGCAGAGTTGAACCCTTAACTGTCTGGGTTATGGGGTCTTGGGGAGCTCTCGAATCGGTGGATGGAAGAACCGAAGATGCCGAGGAATATGCCAGGAAGAAGCGGGAATTGGACAAGAAAATCGTGATGCTGAAGATTCAAGTGTTGTGTTTAAAACAAGTACACGTGAGTTCCTGTATACAGCAAATTCAAGTAAGCGTCACGTTTTCATTTTAGTTGTTCATTCGTCACCTTTTATACATTAATTTAACAACGCTGAAAAGACATTCTTGACAGTCAAGACGGTCTATAAGTCACTTTGGATAAGAAAATAGACTGGCTGTAACAGTACACAGGGCCATTCCATTTTATATCGCCCTTCCCCCTCCTCCCACAGATGAAATTTTCTGAAGGGGTCTGATCTGAGATTTTCCATGGGGGTCAACACTAGGGTATTACTCTGTGAGCTGAGATTTCTTTCTGGGTAGGCTTTTAGTTTTTATAAAGTCATTTGCATCACTGACATTCATGGGGCTTAAACAAGTCAGCTATGCAGTCAGTGACATGAATGACTTTGTAAACTCTAAAAGCCTTCCCAGAAAGAACCCTATGCTCAAAGGGTACCTGGAGAATTTTTACGAAGGCAATTGTTATCCAAAAAGAAAATACCATTTTTGAAGGAGGAGAATACTAAGAGTAAGGAGAAAGTTTCATCATCAATATACACTACAGAAATTTTTGACACGGCTCAGGTGAAGTTGGTATGGGTGCCAAAAAGGAGCTTGGCAAATGTCATTTACACTACACCACTAAAAATATACAGTGCCCAACTTTTTTGGCCCTGTAGGTTCTCTTGGAGACATGCGCAGTTTAAAAGCAAAGATGGCGGATGAAGATATGTTTATTTCACAAAGCTCAAAGCTTAACTATCGACACCAAAATTGGGAACAATTTGCCAGTAAGACTCCTCTGCCTTACAAAATGGAAGATAAAAGGGGAACGTTTCACGTTTCTAGCGGCTATGATGATAAAACCACCCACTGATAGAAGAGTTTGGACATTTCTGTATACCAGTGACTGGCTTTGAATAGCCAAGACAACTTTCAAAGTGGAGAACGAGCAGTCATCTTGAAATATTTGCAAGAAAACCCTAGTATTTATGAATAATTTTAAAGGCTCACGTTTGGCCCGCCAAAGTGTTTTCACTACTTGTTCTGTGTGAGCCATACCAATTTTTCAGCACCTGTAACATTTCACCAATGGTCGGACTACCTCATCGAAGGTCCCAACACAGGTAAAAAATTTTGGCTTGGCACAGATGAAATTTGGTACAGACAGGTTGTTTACACTGCAAATTTTATCCGAGCCAAACCTTCCTTTTGGGGACCCATTCCAATCTCACCTGAGCGGTTCCATAAAATTTCTGTACTGTAAACCAGGCTATAGTTTTTCTGATAAAGAGTGCTATTAGGGTAAAAAACACTAGATTTAAAAGGATTAAAAAGGCTCTTTTCAGAAGGGGGAAAAATATCCCCATGTTTCATACTGAAAAGGTTGAATAGTCTGTACTGTAACTTGTTACTGTTGTGGCTCAGTTTTATCCTTGGTTTAATTTTTTCCCTTTGTTTCAAACTCATCGCCATACCTGTACATATCCCCCCAAAAAGGGAAAATAATGTTTTAACTAACTGCAGCATCACCATTGCAGTAATTGGAATAGTGTTTTAGAAGTATAAATATAAAACAAATCTTTCGTCTTTTTCATTTTAAATCTTTATTCAGGAAATGGCAACATTAGGCAGTAAGGCACCCACTCCTGCTGCTTTGCAGTTTCACAAATTTCAAGAATGGTCGCAGTCGAATCAACAAATATTCAAACTACAGTCCAAAATACTTGATCTAGAAGCAGCTAAAATCAGGTACAGTATGTTAAAAAGTTGTTATGTAATATGTTCAAGAAACATGAGACAAAAAAAAATTGGTCACATATTTTTAATTTAAAAATATGATGTGTTAGTGGAGCATTTTTTACAAACACCATTTGGAGTATTTTATGTATCTTCTAAAAAAAATAGTCATTTAGAGAGGAGGCCGTTCGCAGAAGAAGTAGTACCGTTATCAAATTAAAGCATGGTTGGTTTACTTTTTGTATACAAAAAGTGCACACTGTTTATACAACACTGCTCTGGTGTATATATTTAGTGTACCTCAAAAATACATCAGAGAAAATTCCCTCTTGCCACACTACCTCTGATGTATACTATTTGAATGTATAGATCACTGGTTTTCAAGGCTATGATGTATTCTTTGTGTATGCAGCTCTATTGGACTCTAGTGACCTAACTGTTAAAAGGTGGTGTCAATAAATTTGTGTTATCTATGTGCAGATTACACAAAGAGTTCTGTGTACGAGAAGGGAAAGAGTCATCCCAGTCTTCTGTAACAACAAGACAGTCCTTTACTTCACATCTGGAATTAAAGCTGGGTGCAAAAGAGCCAGACAGCTCCTCAGGAGAGCTGAAACTTGAAGAACTTGTTGTAGTGTCAGAAGGTGCAATGGCCATTGCAAGTATTTTAGACACATTACTAGACACAAGCTACTCAAACACAAGCTTTGAAGCTTGTAAGTTGAAGGCTTACATACGTGAATGCTGGGATGTGGAGAGCATAGATGATGAGTTCCCTACTGGAGTACATCCTGACAGATATCAGGAATTTGTTGGCGGAATGGCGCAATATATTGTTGATAAACAGCTCTTGCATGAGAGGGAAAGCCTGTCTTATGACATGGTCTATGTAAGTTACGTGTTCAGTCACTTCAGTGAAGTCTAATCATTATAGTTTCTGTATTTATAATGTATGCTAATTCTGAAGCAGATCAAATCAATCACTTCTTTGCTGTTACTAGTTTGCATTTCTGCGACAATAATTATTATTGGCATAAAGAAGTTCTTATAATATTAAAGAAGTTGTCTCATGAAATTGTGTGGAATGTCAAAATAACCACTAGTCTTAAAACATTAAAAGAAGGTATAAATAGAATAATAATACAATAGAAGGCAGGACTGGACTAACTTGAAGAAGATTAAAACAGATTGAAATTGAGGTTTTTGAAAACTTGTTAGCCTAACAGTTTTTCAAAGTTTATTCTTGACTGGGTTGTCCCTAAGATTTCAAGTTGCCAGGTAAATACAATAAGTAGGTGGGGAATCAAACAGCTACACACGTAGGGATTTTTTTGGTTCTATATTTCCTCTATTTTCCTTTGAAAGTAGCTAAGGCTATGTTCATATAGTAGCCGGTAGAAATCCCCTATCTCTGCCTCTTAATGACAGCCCTGCTTGATGTCTGTAATGTTTGATAATGCTTAGGAGAGATATTTCTTTGACACGGAGTTGTGATTTTGTAATTTACCAGTATTGTTCTCACTAATGTTAAGTTTTGTTGAGAATAAACACTTGTAAATGGCAATATTAGCAAAATAAACAAGACAGCCCTGATAGTACAGCCCCTTTGAGAGAAATCACCTTCAGTTGTTATTTTTGTAGAGTAAACTGGAGCAGTACTTAATGCCGTCTATCTACAGTCTCGTTCAAGATCACATTAGTAAGCCTGAAGAGAACAACAGAATCTCACAGGTTTATTCAAGCCTTGAGCATATCACTCAGATGCAGTTTGGCATTAGTCCAGAGTATCAAGACGACAGTGTTGTGCCTTTTTATGCAGCAGTGGGATGCATGAAGAGTATGACGCTGTCGATACTTCCTTCGCGGAAGATTCATGCTATTGTAAGTGCTGCACAGTCTGTGTTCAAAAAGCTGAATGAGCTATCGATGTTGGAACACTCCAGACCACCAGGGGCAGGTAGACATTATTTAAAAACAAATTCTCCTTTGTTGTTCCTAGTAATGGAGAGTAATAGCTTAAATGTTATGAGAAACCATGATCTTGGGCATTCCTAACCTGTTTTTAATTATCATAAAGCCCTCACAATTTCTGAGCATTGATTACTACAGTGGGAGGTTTACTCTTTATTAAAAGCTTAAATGTTCATTACTTGTTAGTAACAACATTATTTTCCAGTAATGGAAGCCACAAATTTTTAAAAACATCAAAAATATTATTCACTAAGTGTTAAAAAAACTAGTAATATCAGGTGAAAGTTCTGCTAAACAGGTTTTACTTGACTGGTTATACCATGGGATTTCTTCCATGCACATACATTTCCGACTAAAGGGTTATGGGTGGTTGTTGTAACAGAGTTTGGATGGTGTTTAACAAAACCACATTCTAGGCCATTTTCAATCTTGCTAACCCTGATTTCTAAACATTGTTTAATGTCAAATGTAACTAGAAGGCTTTAACAGCCATGAGGCTTTACAAACCATCCATAAATCCACTTGCAAACAGATTTGGCGCACTGACTTTCTTAAACTGCACTTTAACTTGCTGACTTCATTCAAATAAAATTATCCCTAGTGTATTATGCATTGACTTGAAAGCAGTGATTTTTTGTAATGTTTTCTCACTCTCTCCCTCTTAACAGATGAGTTCATGGATGTTTGGGTTTATGTTGTTCTCAAATCCAGAATCCCTAACCTGGCCTCAACAGTTGCATTTTTACGCAGGTACTCCAATCCTAACCTGGCATTCTCTGAAGCAGGATATTACCTTGCCAGTGTGGAGTTTGCATGTCAGTATCTGCGGCAGATAAATGAACAAGACTACAGAAACAAGTCACCACTATTAGGGGAAAAGATTGTTGTTTGTGAGCAAGACAGGTTTGCTAAGATGGCAGAAGAGGAAGATGCAGTATTTGAACTTGTTTCAGTAGATCAGTGGCTTCATGGTTATGAACTGTTTGCTGTGAAGGAGTGGCACTTGGATCCAACAAGGTAATAACAGGTTACTGTTTCAGGTGATATGCTTGGGTGCACTATGTCCTGATTCATTGTTGCTGTGGGATACTCAGTTGTACAATTTAGTGAGGTTTTGCTACTGCAGAGCACAATCTGCCATTCCCCCCTCCTTTTTCCAAACCTGGGGCCTGTTTCTCGGGAGTCCCAATAACTTTTCGGACCCGAAAAGCTGTTTTATGTTTGCTGTGTTTGCATTTAAGATTAAAAGTTTCAATCATTTTGAAAATGATACAATGAAAATATCAGTTAAGGAAGCAAAATTGGCCGGTTTGTGGGCTAGGAACTGTGGTACTATTCAACTGGTTTTGATTTGAAAATTTGCCTTCGGACCTGAAAAGTTATCGGGCCTTTTGAGAAACGGGCCCCTGGTCAATATTTTATGACTGATTTACTTACACTGTAAGTGTCACTGATTACTTTTGGTTTGCTTGACTTCTTTATCTTTTGTTTGAAAATGAAGAGAAGACCTGTAAGATGTTTATGTGCTTCCCTTGGAGCTTCAACTTTAGTCAACTAAGATACCCCATTGGTTAGATTGAGCAGAGGATGATTTGTTACTCAAATCTGATAGTAGAAGGGTCAACAATGAATGGCCTAGGTAGCATGATCGTCTTGGTGGTCGTAGTCCTAAATAGGTCTGTTGTTGACAGTGACTGATATTTCGACAATCTGTGCGGTAGTCATCTTCAGAGTAGATTACGTCAGTTGATGGTATTAGGATCTGTTGTTTGACCTGATCGGTCAATTAAGTCGTGATGTTATTGATCGTCTATCATGTAAGCCATGATGTTGTTGGCTATGAAGACTCTAACTGTTGTTGACGCGTTTTGATCCGTCTTTTCTCACAGTTGAGCAGTCGTTTACTGTTAGTCAAATTGTCGGTTATCTGCGAGCAAGCTCTCCATTTCGACTGGCACGCAAGGCGAGCCGTGAGACTGCGTGAGCAGGCGTTGACTTTTCACGACTCCCTCAAGTGGATAGCTTGCTCGCAGGCCCGATGGCCGTATATTGGCTAATGCTTTCGTTACTAATGTTGGTAGTGTCTAGCTGAGTTTGGTAAAAGTTACTTCATAAAATCCTTGTTCGTAAATTGATCTTGGTTTACACTATCTTACTATATTTGTAGGTCAGTTTATCGGACTGTCCTTGTACCTTCATCCGACACAACAAAGAAAGTCAAAGTTTCTGTTATCAAGTTGAAAGCAGAAAAAACTTCACTGGCACAAATAGAAATGCTTGAACAAGAGTTTCTCTGCCCAGGAAATAAAAACGGTTTGCTTTGCAATCACACGGCCTGTGGTATTACAGTGACGCTAAATGTGGATCATGTAAGGGATGTGATCACCCTAATTCAAATACCTGATGGCGAATATGATGCATATGAACATTTATTAGCAAGCTTTTGTTCACTGGACAAGCTGGCATGTGGCTATACTCCCCCTCCGAGAAATTCACCTGCAGTTATTGTAGATATGAGCACTGTTTCAGAAACCTTGGAAAGAATAGATGATATCGTGTCCAAATCATACAGTGCCCCCAAGTCTCACGGTGGTGGAATTCAGGATTTAATCAATGCACTAATTGTAACTCTCAAGAGACTGGGGTATTTGAGTTCTCTGATTGAATCACCTCTGATTTACTCTAAGTTAATTCAAATGGCTGTTCAGAAGTTTCAGATTGATTATAATTCAAACTGTAAATTAGCTGTACCGTTACTACCGAGTGATGGCTTACTGTGTCCGGACACATGGAAATTATTACAGCGTAGGCTTGCAAGAGATGCAGTGGGGGAGTAAATTGACATTAAATTTTCAAATTCGTCTTTACTATATGGAAGAAATAATTAGATCGACTGAGATGTCTTATATAGCTTATACTAAAGTAATCTAAGCAAAGAGGAAAGATTGTAGATTGCTGAACGAATTATTGAAAGATGTTTTAAATGAAGATATGATCGTCGCAGTGATAATTGCAATTTCAGCAGAAAACTTCGAGGGGTTCGGTGCAAATTTGTCCGAAAAAAATGTCGGGACTTCAACGGGATTCGAACCTCTCGAAGTATTTTTCGGGTAAATTTGCAATTGCTTTAATTGCAATTACCACTGCGACGATCATATCTTCGTTTAAATCTTTATTTCCGAAGTTCGCATAATCTTCATTCCATAATAGATGTGTGATTTACAAAATTTGTACGTGCATTAAATATAAAGTATTGTAAATAATTATAATACGTGGAAAAGTCATTACATTAAAATTCTTGTTCATTTTTTTAAAATTTTTAAAATAAAGTTACAGTAAAACTCCTTTCCGCATTCCGCCCCGCCCCCCGCTTCGGTTGTTTTCTTGTTTTGACAGTCTTTCTTTGTGAAAAGTGATACCGTAATTTCGCAGTAACAAGATAACATCAAGGGAATAATGAATTTTGAATTTTGGCCAATTTGCAATTTGCAATGACAGGGTGCATCCATGGGGCACTCAAGGGAAGTGTTAGAGGAGGGGGGGGGGGGGGGCAAAGGGGGGGCCTTTCTTGTTTAAACCCTGAAAATCCCTGTTTGGGTAAAAACCTTTTATTTCCGCTCCTTAGGGGGGGGAAAGAACCTTTTTTATTTGGTCGAAACCTTGCTCCATTTAAATGGAAATTATTTGATAAATTTTAAAAATAAAAAAAATTAAAAGCGGTAGTTTGGGGGATTTTTGGATTTTATTTGTTTTTCTTAAAAGAAAAACCAAAATTAGGAAGTACAAAAAAAAAATAAGGAGAAAAAGATTTTTTTAATTTGGGCATATTGGAATTTTGGATGCATGGGGGGGTCCCCGGGGGAAATCAAGGAGAGGTTCAAGGAGGGGGGGGGGGGGGGAGCTAACGTGGAGGCCTTCATGCTTAAAGCCTGATAATCCCTGTTTGGGATAAAATCCTTTCATTTCGCTGCCTAGTGAGAGGCAAGAGACCTTTATAATTAGTCGTAACCCTGACTCATTTCAATGGCAATTAATTGATAGATATTGAAAATCAATAAAAATGAAAGCCGTAGTCTTGAGTGATTTTCGATATTCATTGATTTACTTTGATTTTATTGATATTTATTGAAAACTGAAATGTGCTTTCTTTTTTCTTTTTTGGTGGTCCCGTCACAGTCCTGTAAAACCCGGGAAATGAATCCAAGAAAAGAACCAAGAATAAGACCAGGTATAAGAACATATTAAGAATGGAAATCGAAATTACTGTAGTCTTGGCTGCTTATGATTTGTTTAAATTATTCTACAGACTGCTTTACTTCTCGGTTTACGGTACTTATGCGGAAATATCCACTTGATCTGGCCAAAGTGGGCTGACAAGATCTGCTTGGAGATGGCCAAGCTGGCCTCTTTCACTTTAAGCTTTGAATGTTTCACCGTGTTCTCCCCTCTTTTTGGAAACGGAAAACACTTCCCCTTAGGACAGTGGTGATACACCTTGACTACACTGGAAATAGAAATTTCCACAGACATGGCAGCGAGTGTGTTTGCGACCACGTTTAACCAGCGTTCAAGCAAATGCCTACCCTGGTTTTTACTGTTGCACAATCAGCTATTGATTATCAATACAATCAATGAAAATCAATGACGTTTAGAGTGACTTTAGACGCAGCGGTGAGTGATTATCGATTTTCATTGATTGGCTAAGCCAATCAATATTAATCAATAGATTTTTATTGATTATATTGATTGAAGTTTCATTGATTGTTGTTGTCTGGCCAAAATGGTAGCAAATGGTATGGGTACTAGGCTCGCCCCATTCCACCGTTTCGCGCAATCATATCCAACATGGCGGCAAAACGTGCGCGTTTTGCAGGCATGGATAACGGCTACAATCTGCGATATCTGCGCTTAGTCATTTGCAAATAACATGGTAATTTGGAACTTGATTCATCATTACCCGAGGAATCACTTACATTCTGTTTTGTGTCGCCACTTTGGAAATCGAAGTGGAACCGTTTGGAGTACTTTCTCACGACCACCACCATTTCAAATTAAAGCACGTTGTTCGGCGTTGATCTGCGTGGGATCATCTAAACCTTTCTCTGTGTGGACCAAAGATAATCCTTCTTGTTCATGTCTGGGATATCTGCATAGATCTTTCACCATTCCAAAGTTAAGTTTGCATTCCTCAATAAATTTACTACAAGGAAATGTTGATGATGTAGTTCACAATAATTTGGAAGAAAGCGACAACGAAAAGGACGTTAAAAATCGCCAGGAAAGGATATTGAATATATCACTTGTCAACACCAAGGAAAATGAGAAAAACTGTGGGAGGAAAGATCAAGATCAGCAGATGCAAGTGGAGAAAAATTCTTTATACAGTGAAACTTTGAACAACTCAAGTACAGTTGCTGAGCGTGTGTCAGTGTTAGAAAATGCAGAATATTCTGCTGAGGGAAGCTTTTCAGAAACAGAGAATTTTGGAAGTATTTCATGGCAAAAGACAGTTGCACTTACACCAGGTAGCGTTGTCCTCCAGGAGCTAACAATTCTGGGCTATAGCCACCAGCGCTGCCCCCCTGCCCCCCACCCTCCTCGTTAGGCCTTCAGTTTTCTTCTTATCTCTGAACTAGGAGAGTTTAAAAAAGTTGCTTTGACCACTAAAAGACTTCCATTAGAAATGAGGAATTAATGAAAACCTAATTTTACCACTGAAAAATCTATGTATTTGCTTTGCTTTATCCTTATGTTGAACTTACTGGGACACTGTGCAAGGTTTCCTCAGGTAAACCCATGTTTCTCCAGCCTTTACTTTACCATTTTCTTGCAATAAAACTGCAGTGGGACATTGAAAACCACCAGTGGATGGACCCTAGAGAGAGGTGGAAATTGAGCCTACCCCAGACCTTACACTAGACAATTCGCATTGACGATTTTTAGCACAACACAGTGTTGCAATATTGTTGTAACATTGTTGCAAATGGATGCAACATTGTTCCAACATTGTAATGGTGTGTTGCGCTAAAAACCATTGTTGCTAATCGTCTCGTGTAACATCATGTTTACAGTGTTGTGGCTTTTTATGGTTAACAGTACTGGATCTACCAGTGATTTAGTCACAAATTGCTATTTTCTCTCCCGTTTTTGTACCCTAAACAATCACTGTTTTGTTACTTTATTTTCTTCTTTCTCCATAGGAAAAGTAAATAAATATTTAATTGACTTCTTTGAAGATAAGAAAGTTAGAAAAATTGCGCTTGAAAATGGTATAACCGGTAAGGACTTTTTATTAGTGCTTATCATCATTACTGATAATAATATTTATAAACTATGATTTTAAATCTTTCTATTGTGATTGTGAACCATGGGTACATGTACCCTGGGTAGGATACTGTTTCTTTGCTTGGGCCATTTCAAACAATGTTTCATTTTTGTGCGCCCTCTTTCTGTATTTTCTGTTTATTAGTACATTTAAGTGTTTCCTTCAACGTCATAGTAAATTGAGTGGATTTTCTGTTAAACAAAATAGCAATATGGACAGAGTTTTTCTCAGTTATAAAGATTGAAAGCTTATTGCTGATGGCACACAAAATGACTTATTATTTAATGCCTTATTTTTAAGTGACAGGTTTATTCAAATCTGATGTTTATTAGTTTAACATTGGCATTCTTGTTGAGAAGTGCAGTGCTTGTTTGAAAACATTGCTTACCCTAAATTATACTATTTTGAATGGTCTTATTTCAAGGGTGGGGCTCTTTGAATAACTACATATAAAGCTAAGAGTCAATGAGGTTGCCAAAAAATGGACAGGAATATAAGAATATCCTCTTACTCTTCTCATTTTGTTTTAATTTGTTTTAGGAAAATTATTTCACCAGATTTTTCAAGAATTCAGAAAAAAGATTCTTTCACAGATGAAAAAAGGAAACAGGGAAATGTTGAAAAAATTCAGTAAATTATATCATGACTCCGGTAAGTCTGCATGATTTGAAGGTAGAAGGTAATTTCAACCAATTTTATTATTCTTATAGACTGACCCTGACAGTGATCCAACAGCTCAAGTGCTATAATATGCTACTTTTCAGCATGCAAGGAAAGTAGTGTCCGATAGCCTGGGGCTAGTGGATTTTGCTATCAGGCTAGTGCATTCTGTTTTTAACTTGCCCGACGGGCAAGTGATATATTTTTAGGAATTCGAATAACAGAAGAACTGTAATCAATCCTGCTCACCAAATTTTTTTCGGGCTAATACATGCTATACTGAGCTACAGCTTGCCCAAATGACAAGCTGTAAAACTGACTTTCTTTGCACCCTGCTTTTGGAAATATCCATCCCCCTTGAGATATTACTGCTCTTAACAATAACTCCTCTACTGGATAAAAATTTCAGTTTAGTTGCAAGCAAAAGCTAAGGACATAACATCCTCCCTAAGTACTTGGTATTTGAGCCATGGATGTCATTGTTTGGATCTCTTTGACTTTTTACAATAATCACTCTAGTTTTGATTTCACAGCACCCATCATCCATTTAAACATTAATTTAATTTTTAAATTCTTCAACTTAATGTCACTTTGTTTATCATTTACAGACCAAACGGCCAATTTGTTGCCGTTATTTTTGGCATTTGCTCGTCGGGTCCATCCCATGTTAGACTGTATTGATGAAGTGAAAAAGATATCAGACTTACGTGGTCCTGCAGATCTGTGAGTCAATAAATATTCCCTTCCCCCCCTCCTTTCAATAAATGTTGCTGAGTAATTTCTGTCAGTGAAACCGCGTACATGTACCTGTGGTTCCTGGTCCCATTTAAGTTTTGAACGAGTTTTTATTAACTCCCAGGTGTTACGTGTATAAATAAACTACTTACTTACTAACTTACTTAACATTCTGATGTCATTTCTGTGGTTGTTGAGAGTATAGAGCATCGGAAATTGTTATCAATTTGTTAAAATAATGTTGTTTCAGGAAGAGTGGAAGCAATTCCTTTCACAATTTATTTTCTTTCCATTGTTTATGTTTTTTTTTTTATTAAAAAAGACCAACGGTAGATATTCTTGCTCAAAACAGAAGTGGCTGGACTAAGGGGTCACAAACTTGTATTACAGTTATGAAACTCTTACTTTTGACTGTGTTAGGTTTCCAGAAGCAAGAGCAATTAAAAGGAAAATTATATACCATGCTGGTCCCACAAACAGTGGCAAGACTCATTCTGCTCTGGAAAGATTCCATGCTTCTGATTCTGGTGTATATTGTGGACCACTGAGACTTCTAGCAACAGAGGTGTTCAGACGAACTAACGAGGCTGTGAGTTAAAAACTGTGTTTACTGTTGTATCAAACATTATATAAGATTACTCTAAGAGAAAATGTATACAGATGCTATGTTTACATGACCATTTCCAAAGCAAATTTGTTGTAAGATACTAAATGCTAGAACCAACTAAAGGCAGTGTGATGGTTCAGTTCTGAAAAGTAATAAGGGAAGTTAACGTAAAAGAAAATTCAAGCCAGGCAAAGAGTAGACAACAACTACCAATAGAAAAAGAATAACAGTTTGAAACTCCAAGGTGAAAGTAACGTATTCAGATACCTGCAAACTAGAAACAATATGCAAATTCAAACTATTTAAAGTTCTGTAAATATTATGCTTGCGTGTGGGGAGGCAAAAGAATTTCAAATGACAGAAGGCTTGATTACGAGGGAGCAGTTGAAATTGAGCCTAACAAATTAGTGTAACCTTATTGCAGCGGCATTAAGGTGAGGATATTATCAATTTTAAACCAGTGGTGGCTTAACCATTGGTGAAGCAGGGTCAGAGTTCTCACCTCCCACCAAATATGTGGCTGGGTTCATGTTTATCTTGATGGTGACCCTCAATATGTGTGTTGGTCTGTTGTTGGGTGTGGTCCTTCCTCTGACAGGGCTTTTGCCTGTGTTCTCCAAAAGACTTGAATGATTATCATGCTGGTTTTGATTTGTTACCAACAATCCAGGGTATACCTTGTGACTTGTTAACTGGTGAGGATAGACAGTGGGCTATATCACCTGATGAACCTGCTAATCATATTGCAGCAACTGTTGAGATGTGTTCCACAAGAAGGCCTTGTATGTACTTAAATAAAAATATTTTTTAAATACATAAAAATAAGCTGCGGTCAGTCACTTGGAGAAAAGGTTTAATATAGCTGAAAAGAATTTGTTTGGTAATCAGAGCTTCAAGTTCAACCTTTTTCAAAGTCGCCTTTTGGTGACCTAAAATCATAAATTGGTTGCCAGGCATACATGTAAAATACTGGTTGCCACAGTAAAGGGAAGTTTGTGCAACATTACATGAAAGGTTTGAAATACTCAAAATGGCTACCCAACTGTACGTCTATTGCAAACAAGGAAGTCAAGTCAAATAATAAGGAAAACAGAGCATAAAATTTAAATAATATTTCATGGCAATGTTTTTCCCATTTGAACTCTAAACACTGAGTAATAATTAAAAACACTATGGTGTAACAATTCAGGTCACCAAATTTTCCACTTTCACTGCAATTCTAGTTGCCAATTTTCTCATTCTTGCTATGGTGACCAAAATGGTAGGAGCTTTGAGTGCTGGTTATGAAATCTTTTTAGTCCTCAAAAAATTCTAAGGTGATGAAATCTTAAAAATTTAATTTGTGAAATTATGGGATTTGCCAAGATATTCTGAAAGAACAACGTCCAAGACACCTACTTGCCAAAAATTAGCATTTCGGGGCACATGGTCTCTGAGATAATAACCCAGTTATGCTCTGATGACTCCAAACAAATCCTTCTAAATTTGACTTGGGTCTAAATGTTTATCTTAGAGAGGATTTGCCCCACAAATATGCTAGTTTTTGGCAAGTAGGCCTCTTGGGTGTTGTTCTTTCAGAATATCCTGACAAATCCCATAATAATTTCACAAATAAATTTTTTTTTATGATATCACACTTTAGAACATTATGGAGAACAACTTTAACATTGCTTTTCCAGTAGCAGGCAGGTTACCTGTAACATGTGAACCTATTTAAAAATGACCAGCTAGCTCGATATGAGTGGCCGCAGCATCCAACACCTTACGGTTGTCTCGGAGATGGTGGGTTCAAATCCCAGCACTTAAAGATGGTATTCTGTTTCTTAATTAAAATTTGAGATGAGAAATCTTATGTTTTTGTCATTTTGGGCAGATGATTGTGCTGTCATAGATGAAATTCAGATGATGAATGATAATGAGAGAGGCTGGGCCTGGACACGAGCTCTGTTAGGTTTGTTGTGCATTTTTTCTCCTATTTTTTGCTCTTTTCCTCAATTACATTTGACTTACTGAATATAAGTGTTTTTTAACACCACACTGCTTGGTTTTTATCATCATTCTTCTATTGTGGAACCCTATTTGTCTTCCTTTTCCTTTGGAAATGATTTGTTTTCAATGGAATAGGACACAGAATGAAGATTAAAAAAGTTACATGTGTACAGGACATTGACAGATCATATAGAGAAGTTCACCACTGAATATTAAATTTTTCTGTTTACTTAGGTCTCCCATGCTTAGAAATTCATATTTGTGGTGATGGTTCAGCCATTGATCTGGTAAAAAGGCTGATATCTTCCTGCGGTGATGAATTAGAGGTAAATTAAAGTTCTACAACATTATTCACATTTAAGTAACATGAGCAGACCTCTTCCATATTTCCTCTTCGCCAATTTTAATAATGAATAACTTAGTTTTCAAAGTATGGTCAAAACAGTTTGTGCTTAGAATGTGTCTCAAAACAGTCTGGTCTTTAGAAATGCCATTTCATATGCCTAGCATGGGAAATGCCTGCTACAGGTAATGGGGGGACCTGGTGACACTTTGAGTTGGGGCTGATCAATCCCAGGGTTTTCTAACAAAGCTTAATGGTGGACAATATTTTTTAGGTAGAACATATGACTTGAGATGCACTAGTACTGCTATCCAACTTCTTTCAAGGTCCAGCTAATTGTTTCTGATAATGTTGTTTAAATACAGGTTCAGCATTATGAAAGACTCTCTCCTCTGACAGTAAGGCCTCATCATAGTCTAGGTAAGATGTTATATAGCATGTGTGCTTCCTTAATACTGGCACCAGTTTTCTTTTCAATTAGCTTAAAAATCAGCCACTGCCTGCTTTATGCATTTAGATTGTTGGGTTTGCTCTGTGGTTTAAAAAGCTCAACAAAGAGTGCCAATTTTTATAGCGGGTTGAAGCTAGCGATGTGCAACAAGTTTGATCATTCATGAAATTACAATGTTTATACAAAATGTGGTAACAGGTTAAGTCGTCCAAAAGTCATCTCGCCCAAAGTTTTTTTTCAAAACCAGAGTTAGGTTGCCCAAGAAATAAAATTGAATGAAGCAGTGTGTGGAATATATACTACTTAAATGTATTAACTGAGAGTGTGGTCAAATCTCAGACAGAGACCTTGATTTATTGACTGAGTGATAACGAGGTCAATACATCAACGCTGAGGTCGGAGATTTCCCTGTAATGACCGGCTGGATGAGGTTGATAAGTTATTTATTGTATGGTGCTTTTTGAACTGAAACGAACCTGACGATGTGATTGAAACCACAAGACACAGTTTCTTCGACAATAAGAATTTTATTGGACCTGAGCCTGCGATCATTTAAAACTAATAACTGGTCAGCGGATAAGTTTTAAAAACACGTCACCTCAATGAGTTTACACTTGGGTCCACGATACAGTCATCTGACACTGGTCAGTGGATACTAAAATTGACCTTAACATGGATGGTCCAGTATCAAGTTAAACACAGATGGTATTTGCCTTGGACACCTAGCTAGTAATGCCGAGTCATTGCAAGAAAATCTTGCCTGCTTAGCAGCGAATCAAAGAACGCGTTCTGTTGTAGCTATATAATAAACTTCCTTCTTTAAGACAGGATGAGATGAAACAAAACCAATACCGCGATAGATATGTAATAGGATGTTAGGATGTCGTTGAGCATGATAAAACACAACTCAGCATTTTAGTTGACTAACTATAAATTTCAGGCCACATAACTCTGCTTTTAGGGAACGTAACTTCGAAGGAGACGACTTTTGCGGAACTTGTCCTTAAACCTAAATTGCTGCACCTTCATGCTTTAATATCAGAACTGCTGTCTTACTTGACTGTTGTCATTTTTTTTAAGACGGGAGGATCAAAGGAGTTAAGCCTGGAGACTGTCTGGTAGCTTTTTCTCAACGAGATTTGTATCAGCTAAGAAGAGAGATTGAAAAGAAAAGTAACCAGAAATGTGCCATCATTTATGGAGGTCTTCCGCCAGGTAACTCCTAAAATTGTAAGCTGTTGTGTGTGATTTTAATAATACATGCTTACATCATGTTTAAATTTCTTTTGTGAGAGATCGTGTTTTTTTTACAGAAAAAGTTTTTTTTAACCATTTCTCAAAATAACAGGGAATTTTAATGTTGCTTAAAACACATGCAAGGCCCTACCCTTTCAGCTGCTCGTCTTTAACCTCAAGCAAACGTCGAAAAACGTCAAGGAATTATTTCATGTGAAGAGGCTGCCATATTGACGTCTTGAGGTTTGCCACTGGAGGTTTCTGCTGAACGCCTGGCTCCAGTTGTTCAAAAAGTGGATAATGCTATCCACTGGATAGAAACATCGGTTTCTGCTGGATAGTGATTTATCCAGTGAATAGCACTATCTAATGTTTGAACAGTGGGGGCCTGGATGCAAAATGTCTCTAATATGATTATGGTATACGTTTGTTGTAAGCATATCGCACTTCTTCTGAATTTTCTGTGCTATCCCTCTATTATTAATACTATTATAATAAGGTAACAATATTTAATTTACTTTCAACTCTTTAAATGTGCAAGAGTAAATGTATATGTCTTCTTTTGCAGCAACAAAAGTAGAGCAGGCAAATAAGTTTAACGATCCTCAAGATGATTGTTCCATACTGGTGGCCTCTGATGCTATTGGAATGGGACTCAACTTGTAAGTTCAATGTGTTGACTTCTGGCTGTGATCTTTAGGAACCTTGCGATCTGACGACGGCGACGGCACTGAGAAAGTGCAAAAAAGCAGTAGGTTTAATAGACAAAACAACAACGTTGTATGTGCATCAACTTTTGTTGTACGTTTCTTTGCCGTCACTGTACGACTACGCTGTGATAGGCTAGGCTAGTCGTGAGAAATTTTGCCTAGGCATTTGCGTAATTTCGTGTTATATGGAGGACGTAAACAAGCGACCACGAAATTTTCTTTCCCTTTTGAACCTGGACATGGTTCTTAGGATTTCAACACCACAAGAGTTCGCATACACTCGACAAAGTAAGTTGGAATAATGGCAATCAAGATTAGCGAATTCACTTTAAAGTGCTGTTTTCACTGCCATCGCTGACCCCGCATCTTAAGGTGCCTTTTAAGCTTTTTCACTGGAATTGGGTCTTAATTTGGCTTTTGAGCACTAGTGTCATTTTCTTTTTGTTTTCAGCTAAATGAACTACATTACAGTCTACCTCAAGATGAGTTTTTTTTACATTTTTTATTTCCCTTCTTCACAGAAATATTAAACGGATTGTGTTTAGTACTCTGATGAAGTTTGACGGGCAAAATATGGTACAACTTACGTCTACTCAAGCAAAACAGATTGCAGGGCGAGCTGGAAGATACGGTTCTGATCATCCTAACGGCGAAGCATTAACGTAAGAACCTACTTTTCCATTAAATTCATGGGCTCGTCACTGACAAACTCAGTGGTAATGATTTTTTACTCAATATGTTGTCACTGCGTTCGACGTTATGAGAACACAACTCCTAATCTTGGTATTCTGTGGTACTTAGTGTCCCTGTGGTACTCAAGGGTGACCTTTTCAGCAATATTTGTCGTTCGTCTGCATTTTCGGCGCCATTTTGAATTACGTCATATGTGCATGCGCATCACCGTTATTCGATCAAGTTCAACCAGATGATGCAACTTTAGCTTGCGAGCAAGCTCTCCTTCCCTCCTCCACCCCCGTACCCCTGGGAACCCAAAGAGCTTTAAGCTCATTAGCCTGCGTGTAATACTTGCAGGTTAATGCAATTTATGTCGAAAGCATGGAGTTACCATTACCCTATTTTGAAATAAGCGTGATGTTATAGCTAAGAAAACTGGAACGCAGTCTCTAATTTGTGATGACTGCTAGCAAGTAGGTGGAATATAATCGTCCAGGAAGGTATGGCCTAGAGGACAGTTTTTAATTTGACTGATGTTTTGACAGATAGCCTGTGCACTTGCCCCCTCCCCTCAGAAAAAATCGGAGAAGGGGCCCCTCCTCCAATTTTTTCTGAGGAAAAGGGGCGGCTATACACAGGCTATTGATAGATTGTGCGGAATTCGTCACCAGTGTTAAAGAACTTGGTTCTTGAACTTAAAAATCAATTGGTTGATGTTGCAACTACATGTCGCTGCAATGAAAATTTATCTCTTTTGTAGATTGAGGAAAGAAGATGCTAATGTTCTTCACTCGCTGATAAAAGATCCACCACAAGAAGTTAAGGTAAATGTTTGTGGTTATTCACCGTTTCTTCTTTAGGCAGCTACACTATATCAACTAAGAAGTTATTATAAAACGTTTCTCGTGAAATTACCGTTACGTTTTTCAAGTTTGTCCTTTGCAATCCAAGTTAAATCTCTCCCATCCTCAGCCATCTTTACTCCTTTATAGATTTTCTTTTTTCGTTTGGTTGCTTTTTTCCCAAATTAATATTTGGAGGCTTCCTTGTAAACTAAAGCTTCACTCCTAAGGATTCTACTGAAAAAAATTGAGGGCGTTACATGCGTTAGGAGACCTAGAACCACTTTTTAAAATTTCCAATACATTTGTACGTAAGAAAGTCCCGGGAAAAATAACAGACAAATATATATGGAAAATCTAAAGCAAGCCTCTGGGTACGCCCCCCAAATTTTTTAGGACAATCCTTTGCTTTGTAGCTTTAGTTTACAATTGACATTTTTTTCAGAACAGCGGTTTTACGGAAATTATTTGACATTAGATTCTCATACTAACAATGTAATTTCTCACTCGTTTGCCTTCTCGTCAAGATAGCTTCGAAAACCCTGACAAGGTCTATTCAAGGCATATGTATCGAACCTTGCAAAATAAGGTCTCAAACTAACGTTACAGCGGTGCTTTAAGTAGCCACAAAACTAACCAGCGTGAAGTTTACACGCGTTGATTTGAAGGTACTAAAAATTGTACCTAAAACACATCTAACGTCAACTGATTTTTTCAGGCCGCAGGATTAGCACCAAGTATGGAACAGATTGAGATGTTATCTGAACAACTCCCGGATGCAAGTCTAGTCAAACTCTACGTAAGTTAACTCAAGTTGTGAACTGGAGGATGTAAAATGGACAGAATCACAGTTTTTTCCCCTCGAGACAGTATACAAAATGAACCCCAGAGAGGTTTCATGAGCGGCTTGGTCTTTACAATCCGACAACAGTATTCATATTCTTTCTAGTTGAATCCGCCCTCTATTAAAACATGTCCATTCATTTGTATGCCCGTCTTTTGAATTGACATGCTGTTTATTTTTATATTGTAGGAAGTTTTTGAAAGCGTTGTTCAGTTGGATGGTGCCAATTATTTCATGTGTGATTTGGAATTCAAAAAGGTTGGTTTGTGCAGCTACAAATAGCCCCCCTATTTCCACTTGTTAAAACTCGGTCTTTAACTTAACTCTATTGTCTATTTTTCATTTCTGTCTTTTTTTTTTCTTTTTTCGTTCTTCTCTAGAAAATAGCTTTCAAACTGCGTGGAATTCCCTTGAGCGTAACAGAACAATACGTATTCAGTACCGCACCAATCGGCTCCAAGACCATCGAACTTGCAGTCAAGGTACCACGTTTAAAATGCACAACAGTAGAGTATTCCTCATAGTTTATAACTAAATGGCCCCGTTAAGATTTGGATCAAAATATAGAACCATCTTCTTCAAAATTAAAAACTGTGATTTCATCGTCACACTTTAGGATTGTATGCAAAAACTACTAAGTTGATAGCTTGTTCCACGCTCTCTATCAGTCCCCAGCCCCCACGCGGATTTCGCTCAGTTTTTCCAGTTCTTGACCCGCTTTCCTCACTATCCGGCGTGGAGCCTAGAGAGGCCACGAAGTTGAAATCCTCTTGTACAGAACAGTGCTTCTGTCCAAGAACTTTTCAGTTAGTTCCGTTTGAATGGTGATTCAAAGACAAAGCTAGAGCCACCTTGTACAGCACAGTGCCGAATAGTACAACAGAGAAGTGCAGTTGAAGGCAGACACCTCCCAAAGGGTTGGTCACTGCTTGGGATCTTCAGTCCTTTACTTTTACTGTCTATAAGGCCAAGACCTCTCTATAAGCCAAACACTTATTGCTGGCTCAAACGGTGTCCTTCTTAGCGTCCATTTAAGCCTGCGAGCAAGCTCTCCATTTGGCAGAATCGCGAGAATTCACGCGAGAGACGCACGCGAAATGAGAGCTTGCTTGCAGGCTCGTTCTATTTAAAAGGTCACACTTAACAATTTCGTTCAGAGATTCATAGCTTAGAATCATACCATTTGGCTCTGAGGTTTTAATCAAAAATAACATTGCTGATATTTATTACTGACAGTTCGCCCATAACGTGAGCCACAACATACCCCTGACCTCCTCCATGTTAAAAAAGATCATCCAATGGCCTCCTAAGTCACCCAGGTCCCTGGAACAGCTGCAGAATTTGGAGGCACTACACGAGGGTTTGGATCTTTATCTCTGGCTCAGGTGAGTTGAGGGTGAATGAGCCAGTCGTTATTGGGGTCTTTGCTGTATGTCTGAATCCTTTTCTTTTCTTTTTGCCCTTTTACTCTTTCTTGTTTCTCATGGTGTTGTTGGGTCCTCTTTATTTAACAATTACATTGTTCAATTTCAAAAGCGTTCAAGTAGCGTTTTATTGTCCAAATACGGGGGCGTAGCTAGGGGGGGGGGGGTCCGGGGGGCCCGGGGCCCCCCCCTTGGGAGGCCTTCTTTTGGGCAACCAACCTCAAATATTCGGGTGGACAAAACGCCTTGCACACATTTTGCCCGTAATTTGTTTTTTTGTGAAGTATTTTCGTCAACGGCTCTTGTCTTTAGTTAATATGGGCGTGGAGGTCGACATGACAATCTGGTGAGTAGCCTCTGTGACCCCCCCTTTGAAAAATCCTGGCTACGCCCCTGAAATAAACTTTATTGTCGTAGTTATCGTATGTCGCACATATTTGTGGATGTGGAGAACGTCTGTGAAATGCAGCAAATCGTGGAAGATATCATAGGAGACGCCGTCGAGTCGAACACGCTTGGAGTCATACAGCAACGCCGCAGACGAACACGTTTGATTGACAGGAAACTGGAAAAGTGGTTCAAGTATCGTTAACTTGGGTACGTTAGGATTCAATTACTCAATATATGCTATGCAAATTACCCTGTGTATAGAGCCCCACCCCCACCCCTCCCCTCAGAAAAAATTGGAGGGAGGTCTTTATACAGGCTAAAACTGGCCGTTGTCGAGGTTATTTTGGCAGTTGGGGACACGTTTTAGTCGCCGTTGCTGTTGTAGAGAGGTGGCCGTTGCAGAGAGCTTTAAGCAAGAGTCAATGTATAGACTGTCTGCAGGAGCAAAAAAAGTGGCCGTTGTAGAGAGTTGGCCGCTGTGGAGAGGTGCAGCCTCCTCCCCAGGCGCTTCGTTTTTCGCATGGCAGAGGCGAGCGCGAAACAAGTGACTGGTGATGAATCGCAAGGGACCATGGGAAGGGTACAGACGGCTTTGCGCGCACATTTTCATCAAAAGAGAGACGTCTGGGTACGAGGCAGGGAGAGGTGGCCGTTAGTGGAGATTCGACTGTAGTTGATTGAGGACGGCTGTCACCTTTTCCCGCCAAAATGACGCTGGTTCACGCGCGCGCACCACTTAGTATTGAGAAAATCTCGTTGTCTTACTCGTCCTCGTCTTAGAATTTTCAGGGTCTCAGCAGCGATCGTAGAACGTAGCAACTGGGAAAGTACTGAAATAAACCCAACTTTACCTTTGGTAAATCGTCCTCTTCCTATGCTTTCTTTGCAGGAAAATTCTGTCATTTGGTGAAATTTTCTTATGGCCTGTCAAGGACACCTACTTAATGGCATCCTGAGACTCGAAGTGAACCTTTAACTATTCATGAAAAATGTGTACGGTTTTTGGTACTTTTTATTCAACGTTCCACCGATGCAAGTTTAACATCTGAATGAGATGGTGATGTTTGATCTTATTTTTGTAGTGACGATATATGCGGTTCAATAAAAATATATATTGAATAATAAGATTTAAATTATCACATCAAGTGTAGTTACGTTGTCTGTGACAATATTATCACTTTTAAAGGAGACGTTCTGGTCTAATGCTTCTTTTTTTCATGTAGTACAGTCGAAGCTCTCCTTACGACCTCTCTCGTTAACGACCAGCTCTAGTTACGACCACCATTGTGAAACCCCGTTTTTTAAACATTGTAATGAAAAGCGCTCGTAAGTGAGCGCTCCCGTAAGCGACCGCGACCACTTTTAGGATTACCCAGCTGCTCTTTTCCTTTGTTTTTACGCTCTCGTAAGCGACCACTCAGAGTCTTATTCATACAAATCAGTACTATGAAATTGCACACTGCGCTAATGGTCTTTAAAAACTTGGATGTAAAGTCTAGCCGTTTCTATGGGTGCGTTCGATTGGGAAATTCGGATTTAGATTTTGAAAATCTAAATCCGGATTTCCTAATCGAACGCACCCAATATCAGATACAAAGACACTCATTAAACATTATTCAAAAAATTACTTTTATTTTTTCGTTTTGAATTCTTAATGAGGTTCTGAATCTCTCGTTAGCGACTACCCTCTATTGTTTTATCATGCGGTCGCTCATTCTCGTAAGCGACCAGCTCCAGTTACGACCACTTTTTCGAATTTCCGAAGTGGTCGCTTACGAGAGCCTCGACTGTAGTAAAATAACAAGAGCGATAAACAAACAGCTAGGGAAATGACTTGTAGCGGGGAAATCTCAAACAATAGAGGAGTTTATAGGAGGTAGGTTAGTAGTATTGGGCATACCAAATAAACCCCTTTTTGCGTACGCAGGAATACATTAACGCAGATGAGATTATAGCCTTTTGGTACTCTTTTGGTATTGACATTCTAGACAACTAAGCAAGAGGATTATTTCATCATGATGGAGATGCGTTAGTATCAGTGAAGAACCCTCGACGTGACCAGAATTCCACATTTGTCTCCCTTTGTACTTTTAGGGAAAGTACTACGAACAAAGTTTCCATTTCGGATTATACGTTTAACTTTGTCCTCTTGGTCACAACAGGAGTTGAAAAAAATGCTTATGCAAAGTTTTGGAGGGAAGTTCAAGAGTATTATTGTATTTTTGAAAAGGGCATATTACATTCGCGTTTAATGGAGAAACAAGAGTTTGTCAGTGGGGTGTGAGACTCGCACCCAGTCACTTTTTATGTGTTTTGGGGGTGAGAGAAGATTAGGGTTAGGTTGAGGCGCGAGAGTACTCATCGTCCGTTCGTTCATTAGACTACGAGTAGTCCCCATTTTTCCTCAGGGATAGTAGAGCGAGCGAAACGCGAGCGCGCGTGAAAATCACCCCACGCGAGAAAGGTGAGACGAGGCGGGGAGAGAGAGAGAAAAACACGCCTTTCTCCTCCCCTCCTAAACCGCACAGAAACGTTTGCTACGCAGGCTAAGGGTATTGAAACTGGTCGTTTCGATACGAGCTTAAGCAGTGAAACTGAACAACAATTTCGATAAAATGATCGAAACGAGCTTTAAGTAAGGGGGCCCTGAAGGGGTTGGACCTCGGGGTGGAGCCTCCCTGTATGTATATAACCCTGAAAAACTCGCTCTGACTAAGGGCTAGCTCTCGAAACGCCAGCTTCTCATTCCCCCGACGGTGGCAAATCTTCCTCACTAGTGAGAAGCCCCCGGACCCCGGACTTCGATGTAGGCCTGGTACCTAGCACCGGTACGACCGATACTGTTGGAGACGCCTGGGGGCTTTTGACACCTGCTCACACAGCTTGGTTTTGTTCTCTGATCCCCCGGATTTCTCGTCTGGTTATTAGAGCTTATTTGTCCTGTAAAAGCTCTTCGACTGCAAGGATTTTCTCCACTAGAATGTTTGTGCGCGATACTTCAGTGAGTATTAAAGGCAGTGCATCCTCGCTCTGCAATAATCTGACGGTTTTGTCGTCAAGGGAGAAAGAGTCGGTGACTTACGGTGTCGTTCACAAGGCGTTTGTTTGCATTACCAACGTTACGAAGGGAAGCACCGTAAATCAGAAACAAGTCTCTTGTAAAGGAGAAGGAGCTCATAGTAGTTCTGCTGTGTTACAAGTAAGTGAGCTGGCTGTTTATGCAGTCAAACTATTATGTTCATTCAGTCTCCCGTGATGAAAATATATTCGAGAATCGTTGAATAAATAAGCGCTTGAAATTGGGATCGGATCAGATTCAGAGTCGCATAGAATTATGGCTTATTAGACAAAACAAACACTTCTGTTACAAAAAATCGAGAGGTTCACGGCTAAACTCTAAAGCGTAAGCTTAATCCATGCAAATCAACAGCACATAACTTTACTTTTGATAGTTACCGGTGGTAAGACTGTCTAGATCTACTGAGTTAAGCGGGCGTTTTGTTTGTTTCTCCGATTTTGATAGATGTCTTTACAGTTAGTTTTTCTTTCAAATTTAAACGAAATGCATTGGGAAGTAAGTAAAAATATGTATATATTATTAGTTAGTTGAATTTTTGTTGCCATTTTCTAAATTGAAATAGTTATTTTTTTTTTAAATTTCTAGTATTTGAATGGTAATCACTTGTCACCTCCAAATTTTGCATTTTGGAATGTCCATTTAAACATAAGCAATGAAATGGTACATGCAGAATTGTTCAGCCTAACAAAACATGAGTATCACCTGTTCTTAGCAGGAAGTCAATGCAAGGACTTTCCCTCTCTATCTTGAACCTGCTACTGCCATTACTTTGTTACCACGTTAGTATTTTTTCAAGTGGTCAGTTTGGCAGATATGTTAAAAACTTGCCCTGGCTAAATTGTTTTTACTGGTGATTATTGCTTCATAGTCATAATAAAGGCAATGACCAGCACAGAACAACACAATCTGTGTCTCAAGAGTGTCCTTATTTAAGGATGTTATCATTTTAAATGTGGGAGAATGTTTGGAAATTGTGACTTGCCAGTGTATTTTTGCACTTGCCCTCAGTGGATTTGCAATACTCCACAGATACATTTTCCAGGTTCGGGAACACTTCAATCACGTTTGTTTATTTTTAAACAATTTTAAAACTAAACTAGTGAGCAGCACTCTGCAATCTGTTGCTGTTAAACTTGTTTATCCTCCTACGTGTTTCGTCTAACTAACGTAGACTTCTTCAGGGAGTTTTTCAATCAAATACTAAACGCCTGTATTTAAGCCATAATATGACTAAAAATAATGATAGTCACAAACATTGAAGGTTTGGCCGGATTTATGAAAAGGAACAGGCGAAGGTGTGAAATTTTTATGCAAGGTGTGAGAAAACTTTGGGGCCACAGTTTTAACTAAAACTGTGGCCCCAAAGAGCATAACCCCAGTTGCTTAATCAGCTTTTATGATTGGCAGAAAGCCAAACCTCAGGTGAGGTCTTGGATGTTAAATTCAAAAATTTTTTTGAGGGTGTCCCAAAAGTTCGTTCCTCTACTTTATAAGTCTGTATTTCAGTAAGATTGGACGTGGTAAGCAAATCATTTGAAGAAAGGTTGTGTGTTTCAATCTAATTCACCATTTTCATACTGATGGTGCCATCTTTTGACTTGAATATTCGATTTGTGTACTTCCGCGCCAAAGGTGCCCGTGCGCGTTTTTTTTTCCCAGCCACATATTTTTTGTATTTCATAGCCCGAATTGCTCGAACTCCTTCCTTGTTTTTTTGTGAATATCAAGAAAGATAAACTCTCTTAACGCAAAAAAGTTCAGCTACGCGAGAGCATAAGCATGTATACTTCGATTTACTTGCCTATCTGTTGTAGAAACTGCTTAAGAAACTGGAAAAATTCGAATTTTGGGTGGTAAAATGATCATGGAGAAATGGAAGTTTTGAAGGCAAGAAACGAAGGGGAAGACCAAAAGTCCTGAATAAAGCAGCTAAAATAGTTTTGAAGAAGGCTAGATACAAAAAAGGAGACTCGACGAGGAAGCTCTCACATAGTTAACCAACCAAGTCCAGAAAGGGTCATGAAAAGGTGTTTAAAATGTTTAAATTTAATGGCCCCTGAGATGTCAAAAAAAAAAACTCTGCTTAGTCTGCCAAGTAACGCCCAGCTCTTCTCAAATTTGTAAAGAATACAAAAGCCTTGCTGTGGAAGGGGGCGGGGATGATTATCTTTTTTGGATGAATGCCCAAAATAAATTTTTTTTCAGCTGTCTAAACTAAACAAATATTGTTTGGGGGTTGAACTGGCTCCTGCAAACACCAGGTGATGAAAAAGCTCAAAATAGATCATCTGTGGGTCTACTGTATCCCACTTCAAGACGCAACGGCTACAGAATGTGGTAAAAAAACAAAAAGGGCATGCCAGTCACTGAAATTCTGAATACGTGTACTCGATAGAGAAATAAACATCTTGTAGAAATTTTCATGTAAAAATAAAGTTTTGATCTAAAGTTATAGTGCATGAAATTAGAGGAACGAACTTTTGGGACACCCTGTACAAATTTTTGTGTTATCATACTTATCCAAACCATGTTATGGCCATCTTGGGCTACCTGACCACTGCTAATATGGATCCCTGTGTGTGCTGGTACATGTAGACATTTGGCTAAAGCTTGACCTCAGAGATTCTTACCATTTTGTCAAGCAAAGATTTTCTAACTCAATCAGAATAGAATCTGAATATTTTGCTTGAATCTCTCGTTGAACTTAATCAGTGATTATGTTGAACCAACAGTTGAGATCATCTACCTCATGGACATGTAATTGTTTTGGGGGAGAATATGATTATAAACAGCTGCTTGCTGGTTCCACTAGATTCCCTTACTGTATTATCTAGTTACAATTAACACAGGTGACCCAAATTCGGTGCATAAATTACCACATACATGTTTCAATACTGTTTTGCATATTATGAACTATTATTATTTTGTATGAGAAATTCAAATTTGTCAAGACATAGAAATATAGGCAAACTTCTAGCTTAGCACAAGTGCTGAAACTAATAGGGGATAAATATAGAAAATGTAAATTTTACTTACACAGCTATAAATTCATTAACTTTACAGGCAAAATGGTGTGAGTTACCAGAGCGGAAAATTTTGGTTATCACCTCTGTGAAGGGTGCTCAGGTAATAACAACTAAGTGACAATTTTTTTTTTAGTTTTTAATTTTAAATTTTACTGTGTGGTCAATGTTTTATTGTTCTACCAACTTAGCCAGGACTCAAACTTTTAATAGCAAATGATCCCACCTTATTGACAGCAATGTCACATAATGCAGCCGGCATTTTAAGAAATTGGTAACACACAGCATGCAACCGTTGAGTTTATGGATGCATGTGGGAAGTTGCTAATTACGACTGATTGATTTGCCTAAGAGTTACTCAAGGTGTAGACAAGAGCATGCATCTCTAGCTTCTTAAGTGGACACTAGCTTTTGTGTTTGTTTACTACCTGGGGGGATACTCAACAAAGTTTTATACGGCAAGGCTCTGCCCCAAGGTCCACCCCCTTACCCTTTTATATACCATTTTTGACAGAAAAGGAACCCAGGGTTGTCATTAAGAGCCGGGGGCCGGGGATTTTCCCCGGCTACTAAGAGAGTGGCCCCGGGCTACTTTTATTGGAAAATAGAAGAAAAATAGAACCATAAGAAATCTCTAGCCGTTTGATTCCCCACCTGCTTGTTGTATTTACCTGGCAACTTGAAATCTTAGCGACAACCCTGGGAACCCCCCTTCATATACCCTCTATTGGCAAATTGTACCCCTTTCACATACTTAGCTCAGAACTTTCCATCCTTTTTAACTGCTGTAAATTCACTGTCTTTAAAATATGAATAAACCACAAAACCAGAAAGTTTTCTCAACTTTTTCACACTCAGCCATAAAATGTATCTGTTAGTCCTTTTTTGCCTTTTTACGACCAAAATGACATAATAATTATGTCATTTTTAAATTATTATTTTCCTACGTTTTTATATACCTGAACTAGTGAAATCCCAATCCTTTCATATACCTGAAGGTTGAAAAAGGTACCCCTTTTGGGTGGAGCCTCCCTGTATAGGCTATTACAGGGAGTACTGCCTTCCCCTCAGGGGTTTACTGTGAGCAAGTAGGCAATGATAAATTGGAAAGTGACCAATTAAAGTACACACTTCGCTTTTTTATGTTTATAAAATTTTAACTGACGCAACAAGTTTTCTGTTCTTCCTGAGATAGATAGAACTCTACCCCCTTTCCTCAGCATTCAAAGTGAGGTACTAAAAAAAAGCTAACAAACCATTGTCGTCTCTTTAAAGTTCACAGTTTTAGTGAATTTTAGGTGACCCTTACCTTTAAGTGGATAATGTAGTTAAACAAAAATGTGGTGATAGTTACTTGTTTGCTTTCAATTGTTGTTTAGATGTTTGAAACCGATGGATCAATTATGATATTTTGGCAAGCACTTGGAGAGTCCAAGGAGGGAGGTATGTTTAAACCTGGAATATTGTTTTAAAGCTCCATAAGATAACCAGATTTTTAAGGCTTTTTTCTTGTTGTATTCCTCAATCTGGATCCTTGAAAAGAGCAGTTCTTTGTGACAATTTTTTACAACTCGTTGCACAGACAAAAGGGATGGAAGTTTTGAGGGACTGGATATTTTGAACAGAATGTTCATGTCTTTCTTGAAAGAAAACTAAAAACATGTTAATATTTTTTGAGTCTTGGATACAAAAAGTAATTTGAAAAGCTTCGCTAGACCCCAGAAAATGAAGGTTACAGGTTTCTGTTTCAACAGGAGTATATTAAATTGGGATTACAGTATACCACAAAGATGTATACTTTCCTAAAACAAACATTAAGAGCTAGATCAGTGTTCCATGCAATTCCTCAGTTCATTTCTTTGTCTCTCTTGGGGCTTGAAAAATACTTTAACTCCAGCCTTGGGGGATGTACTCCCTTATATGGCCTATACAGGGATGTGCTGCTGGATAGGGTAAGATTTTTTTTCTGACTTGTCCTAAACAGAGCATATAATTTCAAGTGAGTCTATCCTAAACTGGGTACATAATTTTGTGTGAGTCTGTTAACAGGGTATTGCCTGCACGATTGATCTGATTTACTAGATGAAATTTGTTTGTACTTCAAGTATACAGTTTGACTAAGAACATGAATTTGCTCTCCTGAAATTGCCAATAAATGGCTTTAAAACAAGACGGTGTGCATTGTGTCCTTTGTCCTAAACAGGGTAATAAAATTGAGGGTATCGTCCTAAACAGGGCATGTATTTTACAACTTTTTTGCGCATAGGTCAGGGTTTCAAACCCTCAGCGGCTCACCTATATGCAAATATTGGACGAGTGCCACCCCCTCCCCCCAGGGACTCCAGCCTGCTCACATTCTGCTTGCTCAGTGTCAATAGGGCCATTTATAAAAGGAAAAATAACACCCCTCTTGCATAAGACGCAACCTAAATAAGAGGAAAACTATCCCATATAAACAGCACATTTCGTTTGAAATTTAGCTAAGAGGCGTCTTATCTGAGAACAGCTCCTAACACTTGTTCTTTGGTAAGACGCGTCTTATTTAGGACGTGTCTAATGAAAGGTGCATCTTATTTTTCCTCGTATAAATAGCCCTGTTGTTCATGATCAAGTTACAAGTTGACTTTCCTGAACCCTTTTTCATCGGAAAGTGACCGCAGCCTAAAAAGTTACTTGCCCAGCAAGAAAATTTTCAGTTCTGTACTGTACTTGTCCTGGATGACCATACAGAACTATTTTTGAGCCCTTTTTCTATGAAATTTACTTAATATTCACCTCCTTAGAAAATGTCTCTGAGGTGGATGCTTAGTGCCAGTCCAAGTAGAGCCTATCTTAGAGACAGAGAGAGTAATCTGATTTTACTACTCTGGTCCATTTTTACACAGTTTATTCTCATTTTGCAAGAGGCATTTGTGCAGCTGGAGAGAAGTACATTTGTGTTGGTAAGCTATGCTGTAATCTGTTCAGTTTTAAGGTAAATGGTTTTAATTTTGATTTTGATAGAAGGTGACTATATTTTGTTCATTATTGGTGGTGTTGTCTTGCTATGCTTCAAGCACTTTGGACCAATACAAAACCACAATCCTTGTGCCACTTGTAAGATACTCAGTTTTTATGCCCAAAGATTCCACTGATGCACAACCTGTGCAGTACAAAGAATCTTTCCAAGCATTTCTAATAAAAGCAATTTGGTTCTGGACCTAGAGCAGTTAGGTATACTTAAGCTTTGTAAGATTGCATATAAACACTGGTCATTTTTTTACCTACCTAAGAGGGTTACCTCGCCTACCTGACACCCCCACCTCCATGTAAACAGGCCCTAGTTAGAAACAATTGCATGGGAGGCTATCACTACAGCAAATTTTCAAATGTTTTTCAGGTACATCAGAGGGTGCAATTATGGTGTTTGATATCCCTCCTCGTGGGACAGCTGTTAAACTTCAAGAGACTCTTACTGCGCACAAGGTAACGATATGTGAGCTGGAATCACAAGGCAGTCGTATGGCATCTACAGATGAAGAGGGAAATATTATTCTTTGGCAATCAGGGGGCCATTTTACAGAGATTATTAAAATTGAAGGAAAAGGGTTAGTATTGTTTTGTGGCAAAGAATAGTAAACAGTTCAAACAGTTTAGAGGATGGTTAAAGGCAGTGTGTGAGGATGATGACTTCAAAGTGGCATCACACACTCTAAAGGGTCCAATGGAGTTGTAACTTTGATGGTTGACAGTTATCATTTATGGAAATTTAGCCCAAGAGTTCAATTAAATATTAACTTTGATGTAAATTAATATTGACTGTTGTGTTTTGGAGGTTTTCTTGGCCTTTAATTCACTTAATATCAAAATCTTTTCAGATATAAGCAAGTTGTATTGCCATGTCTAGAGAAAGTGTTTTTAAGAACATGGGAACTGATTTTTCCAGTGTATAGTTTCTTCAGGAGCCAGACATCCGTGAAGATCAGCTGAATCTAAGTGAGATTTGAAAAACCTTTGAAACTTTTTTATTAATCTGCATTTTTGATGGGAGACGGTAAAAAAACACCTGTTTCAATGGCTGACGATTAATTTTAAGGCCATTGGACAGCTGACAGTTAACCCCATTGAGACTCTCACATTAGCCTGTAGCATAACAGCAAGCTCTCTATTTGGAAACAGAATCTGTTCAGGAACTCTGATTGGTTGATGTCATAGGCATATTGTTTTAGCTATTGTTTATAGACGACAGACAAAAGACAACCAGTCACAAAAGTCAAATGTAAACACAATAAATCTACTACAAAACAGTCGGTATTGTGGAATATATTCTTCTTTAGAAAAAGCATTTGACTTTTACTGCAGCTTGTTTGGAGAATAACACAAAACTTTACCATAATCGACTAGGAGAAACACAGAATCGAACAAATTAACATTTTGGAACCCCATGACTACTGGATTTATTATGTAAACATTGAATTACATCATCAGTGTGGAATTTCTGTTGCTGAAGCACAGACGTCACTCCTGGCAAAACGTCCTTAGCGGTGAGGAGTGAGGAAAAACAGCTGTTTTTACAGGCTAAGAGAGGCAATTTGAAATAAATTGTCAAAGACAAACACATAACTTAAACATTAACAGAGACAAGTGGAACTCCTCAGGTTATAAAAGGATCAGCATTGTCATTAGCCTGCAAGCAAGTTCTTCTTTAGGGGGAGTCGCGAGAAGTTGTGCGGGAGCGCACGTGAAAGGAGACACAAGTATTTTCCTCCTCCCCTCGCTCATTGGCCCATTCTCTCACGGCTCACTTCGCTTGACATAACTGGAGAGCTTGCTTGCACGCGACATTGTCATTTTAAACAAATACTAATTTACAAGCAGGTTATTATTACAAGATAATATCCACTTTGCCAAGTTATTTTGAGTTCCCTGTCTGTATGATCATTTCATGTTCTGATGTGATTGTGTGCCCAATGGGCTATGCTTGAAAGTGTTACTGTAAACACAAATGATCTCCGATCAAATATGTCCTTTAAAATTTTTATTTTGGTTAGATTTCCTTGTTCGTCTGTTTGCTTGCTAAAGGACTTTATCATTGGAGGTTTTGGAACCGGTCACATAAGAGTGTTTGGTGCTTCAACTGGTTCACTGCTTATCGAGGCATGTGCTCATGCACGCTGGATCAATGCAATGGATATATGCACAGATGCCAGGCTGGTAAGACTTTGATTTCAGAGCTTCAAATAACCATTAGTAATAGGACAGATATTTCTGAGGAAAACTTCCCTATGTCTAACAAAATCCTTAATGGGCATGATGACTGGACAGACCAAATACTAAGGATTGTCATTTTGTAGATTTGCATAGTAGTTTGAAGTTAACATAGGTCCCACTAATTTTTTGGTTTGCCCTGCCCCCAAGGAGGGGGGCTGGGGTACTCCCTATAATGGCCTATACGGTACATGGAGGCTCCACCCGAAAGGGGTATCTTTTTCAGGCTTCAGATATATGAAAGGGTAGGGATTTTATTAATTAAAGTATATGAAAGGGTGGGGAAATCTGTCATTTCGGTCTGTAAAAGGACTAAAAGGTGCTAACAGATGCATTTCATATATGTGAAAGAGGCAAGAAAACTTTCTGGTTTAGTGATTTATTGGTATTTAAAAGACGGAACACTTAACGCAGTTAAAACTAGGTATTTCAAAGGGCACCATTTGTCAGTAGAAGATTTACGAAAATAGGTAAGGGGTTGGATTATGGGCGGGGCCTCCTAGTATAAAACTTCGATGTGGGTTTACCCGACTTACGTCCCTTTTAAAAAGAAAACTGATTTGCAGGCCTGCAATCCTCAATCAGTATTTGTATAATACACTGTAAGAGTTATGGAATAGCAAATCTAACACATTGAGACCACTGTTAAACCATTTCACTGCAAGGCCAACGTAATGTGAGGTTATTTGTTACTTTTACTTAGCCTGCAGATAAGGTGTTATTTTTCCATGTTTTTTAGGCAAGCAAAGGTATGCGCGAAGCGGGCGTAGAGAACGAGACACATGCGATGGGAGGGACGCACGAAAAAGGCGCAATTTTTTCCGCGCCTATTTTACCGCGCTCTCCCCCGTCGCGCGTGTCTCGCGCTCCACGCCCGTTCGTGCTCAACAGCGGTGAAAAAAGCGTCTGTTTTGCAGGCTACTTTATTTTCAAAATCTGTGGACAAAATCCTATTATGTCTCCACTTCAAGTGATCCTCTTTAGTAGAACTTTTGCATATCACCATTTATTCATGTTTTAAGATTTCAGAACAGAAATGAATTTGATTCTTTTGTGAATTTTTTCTTTGGTCGCTTTTATTAAGTAGCGACAGGGTTACAAGATTACTAAGATTTAAGAGACTTGGGTGTTTCTTTGCTTTTAATAAATATAAACCCGCTAACTATATTAAGCACAAAATACTAGTTCGGTTTAGATAAGTTGTAGTTCTGACCATGAAATAGCCTACAAATAGCAGCCAACCTCTCGCGACGCCACCACTTGTTTCATTTCGCGGGGAAACCAGTGGTTCGAAGTGGTAACGTCGCAAAATGTCGACTTTTTTCTCAGGTTACTGCTGAGAATATCCATGAAACGGTTAATTAGAGGTCATGTGGATGATTCCAGTCTTACACAGCCATCCTTACTAAGAAATGCTGCTTTACCTTAGACACTTGTTAAAGGCTTTTGTTTTTGCAGCTTGTTTCTGCATCTGAAGACAGTTTTGTAAGAGTATGGAAGCTTTCTACAGAAGACAAACCAACAGTAAGTTTCTTTAAGACATTTACCCGGATTGTCTGTTGAACCCCTATAAACTTTCCTTCTTTGCTGTTTTTCTAAGCTTTTTGACCTTTATATATCTTCCTTTGCAGATGGAAATGGTATTTCAGCAGTCTATCTCAGATGTCCAATTGTGTGGAGCAAAATTTGTGGACCTTTCTGGCGACACATTCGGAGTAACCGGCTATGATTTATCAGAGATAGTAATGTTCACCAAACAGTAATACATTCGCCAATAATCTTACTCGAACATCACAAAATTAGGAGATATGTTCTCTGTGTCAATCTGTGAATCATTAAGTTATATTTTATTCATAAAAGCATTCGTTTTACTTGAATGGAAATTAGTGTCATTTCTACACAAATGTAGGATGTTTTCAATTGTCGAGTAGCAAGGTTCGGAGAACGGCGAGTTACTAAACACGTAGTCATCTTTTTATTTTTTGATTAGAAAAATAGTGTAGTTTTCGGGCTGAGCTAGTCCTTATGCACCTAGGGAGCTTACGTAACGGCGACGGAAACGAGAATGAAAAAAAGTAGGTTTTAATAAGCAAAACGACAACTTTGGCGTCATTACATGACTACGAAGTAAAACTTCTTCATGTTAAATGGAGGAAGTAAACCAAGACAAATGTTTTCTTTTTCTTTTTCTTAACTTAGATATAGTACTTTAGAATTCACCCGGCCCCAACATAAAAAAATGTGCCTTTCAGCTGAATTACAAGGAATTAATGCATTCCAAAATTTCGACGATTATAGTGTTCACACCGCGCCAGTCAAATTTTTGACCATACTGATTAAGAATTTGACCTCGACTTTGGCATTCAAATTTTTGAACGGGTAGCAGGTGGCTAGGCTTCTAAATTCCCGTGTGAGCGGAACACCTGAACGCACAAATTTTCAACCGGTCAAAAATTCGTCCGGTTCCGTGCGAACGCAGCCTAAAACTGGTTAGATACTTTATTGGGGTGTGGAAGTTGTTCATTATTTTTTTTATTCTTTAATTTGTATTTGGTTATCACACCTTCTTCAACACAACTTAACTGTTCATTTATTTATTATAACGAGCGTGGAAAGACATTAATAAACTGTTAATGAAACTGTTGTGGGTTCCTATCTCTTATTGTATGGAGAGATTAAGAGTCACGTTTACGACAAACGGCAAACGTCAATTTCAACTCGAGGATTTCTCAAAATAGAAAAAACAGCTCAAAACAATTCTTATAGATGAAAATGACGTAAAAATACTTATTTTATTGTAGAAGTAGTGAAAAGTAAACGACAGGTAATTAGAAAACTTAGTCACATGGTACAAACTTACTCTTGCTGTTGCGGTAAACGTGACTCTTAATCTCTTTATGATGCTAGAAAGAACGGGTGCGCGTGTCTCCCTGGCGTGCCGCGTTCTTTCTTGCGCCCATTACCTCCAAGCACTAGCCTGCGAAGCTTGCGGTTTGTTTGGTTCGATTTTTCTTTTGTGGTTCACAAAGTAAGAGTTACAGCGACGCGAAAGCTGAACCGAAGGGAAACAAAAAACGATGGAGAGGGGTCGAGGGGACGTAATGAAGCACAAAAGAAAAAAAACACACCAAAACAACCGAGTGGCGGTGTTACTGGGTCAATTTTTGCTGGTTATATGCCGCTGGCCTCTCGGAACCCATACTCTATTAAACTATTTAAGTCTATTCTATGGCCAGTTATAGACCCCATCTTAGTTACTTTTGGCTGAATGAAATTTTCGCGATCAAAACTTAGTCACTTTCATTTTATGGACCTTTAATGCACCCAAATCAGTCAATCCTTTATTAAAATTTACCTTTGTCTTCCAAAAGGTAATTTGTAGGCTGATATCCCACCATTACGGCTCCTTCCGAACAACAGAAATTACTTAAGGCAACCAAAACAGATATCAGCTAAAAATCCCAGGGGGTTCTGATCAACTAGAAAGTTATAACTGTATTAATTCAAAAAGCACTACAAGAACACTACATGCAAGAAGTAACTGAGTACGTTTGGTATTAAAAAACAACTGATTCGTGAAAATCAAGGAGCTATAATTACTGCATCATGGAAGCGGTGAGAGTGAATACTTTCGCCTAAAAAGGCTGTTTACGGTGTACAAAGTTCTTCCGTTACGGTCGTTACGACATTGTGTTATGTATCTACACTTTAAGGATCTTTAAGACACACGACACAACTTAGGTACTTAGGTACAGTTATTAAACGCTCTTGACTAAGCCGTCGGATTTGTAAGATAAAATAAAATAAAACATTAAATCTTTGTATCGTAGATCATGGTCTGACCTTGCTTTGTAAAAACCGGATGTTTCAAAAAACGTGCTGCTTGTTCTTAGTTTCTTGTTTGTTTGTTTTTTTTTCATATTTCAACGAAGCCCGAGGCAATGGAAATTGTTCTCGGACCAGCAGCCAGCGTGCAGATGTACAAGAGACCCACGGCTGTACAGGTCGAGGGGAACTTTAGAATGACCAAAAAGTAAGCCGCAAACAAGTGTGAACTATCGAGTTCAAAATATTTTCTTTATTCTATAAAAGTATTTGAAATAGAGTTCGTTTTTTTATACATACTCAGCTGAGGATAAGTTCTTCCCACCACACCTGTTTGTCTTGCTTTGTTTCGCGGCAAATATCCTAACTCGTTTACCATTGGTAGAGACGGTGACCAATCACAGATCAGCAAACATTGGTGCTGTTTCAACGCCGCACAGCGAGCCCTGCAACAGAGCAGACATTTTGTTTTGTCCTGCCAGAATGAGGGCAGTGAAATTATATCATAAACAAATGGATGTGCCTTGGAAGTTTTAAGTCATGATATTTCACGATTAAGGCCTCGGACAGCTTCACGTTTGACCAAAAGAGGGTAAGTTAACGGTGACTTCTAGAGCTCCAAATTATACCAACTTGTTGATAGTGCGCGCAACCGCTCTTAAGTTATACATTTGTCAACTAGCAATTCTCATTCACGAAAACAGCTACTGTAGGATCGAGTGGTTGCACGAAGTTACGACGTGTTTCACGTGTTACGTGATATATATCCTGTTAAATTATCTGCGGTATATATCCGGAAATTAGGAGAGCAAGATCGAACTGACTGTTTGTTGCGTTACGGTTGTATTCAAGCTAAACCTAACTAAATTTAGCCACGAGAATATCCTTAGGTTAGATGAAAGTTAGGTCAAAGGAGTGCTTAGATGACTGGCGTGTGTTTATCCTGGTTGATAATTCTTGTATTTTTTTAGAAGATAACGTGATCATTGTTTGAAAACCAAGTGAAGCAATAAAAAGTTGATGCAGAAGTAGAGCGATAAACGATCAAGCGAAGTAAAGCGTACATTTGTGCAATTCGATCAGGCTCAGTAACCCTTTGTTATTGTAATGACTCTCGCCTCTTTGTTCGAATCTTATTCAGCTTTTGCCAAGTCCTATCCAACCGGCTGGACTCCAGAAAACTCAAGACAACGCGTTCGAGACTGTGATCGAAGCTTCGTTGAGGCTTCGAACGCTTCGAAAACGGCTGATTCTTGGAATTGGAGGATGCCAAGCGTTCCGCTTCCAAGCCCAAGCTATAATTCAACGGGGTAATACTGTCTAATGAACGCCTTGTAAATTTTGTATATTCTGTTATGCTAGGGTAAACCCATTTATAAAAATCCACTCTTTTTATATGCTTCCGTTATGTTCAACGATGCATGTAGGTTTCAACCATGCAGATCTCTTAAAAGGCACTCCTCGCGTGCTCAGCGCATTTTTGTAACAGAGTGAAACGCTCTTGCCGAAAAGTTAATCGATCATTTCACGATATTTTCTTTTCGTTTTAGGCGTCGCACTCCGTATTATACACATCCTGATGTAAGAATTTATGAGTTGAACCGGCGTTTACAACATCGCCTCGAGGTTTGTACGGGTTTACTTTTAAAGCTAAACAAAGGCAGTAACTTTGACCATTGCGAAGCTAATGTTAGAGTTTATGTTATATTTTATTGAACCTTGGGGTTATGTGGAAAGAAAAGCATCCTTCAAGTTATGTTTTTCTTGGCATTTATCCCTTACGTTAAATCTTGACATACAATGGAAGAGACGGAGAATTTTTCATTATACCCCTTAAGATGATGTGTTTATATTTATCGTGAATTACTGAAAGAAAAAGTATAAAAGAGTGTTAAGAAATTTTAAGCTTCTGTAATCTACCCTTCAGCTGAAGTATTGGCTTAGTGACCTGTTCTTTTTGTTTCTGTGAAGTGCGATTTTGTCTCAGATTTCACACATATTTGCATTTTCAAAATAACCTCACCTGAAGTCAAGTTACAGTTATTGATGAATTCCTTTAACATAAATTTTGCCTCAGAACATTGTCGGATCGGCCCATCACATGTCAAAATACTTGAAGTGCTTTCTGAAAATATAAAGAAGTTTTCCTGCTTTCGTTCTTTTCATATTGACCTTTAAACTGTGTGACTTTAGTCAGTGGTGGCTGGTTCTGTTTCTCACAAATTTGTTGTCAATTTTCTCTTTTATCCCAAGCTCTAGGTATATAATTATTGGGAAAGGCTAATATTTTTTTATAACAGGCACTTATTAAGTTTATTTTATGCATGCTTCATTTTCCTTTCTTGTTTATCACCTTCCTGGAATATTTGAGATGATTATCCGCCTCGTATTTTATTTACACATAATTCTCTGCTCTGCACAGTAATTTGACAAACTGAAAAGAATAAATCTGAATTAATTATAAAATTTCTTCCCTGTTATCTGTATTTTTGTTGTTATTGACTTGATTCCTTTTCACATGAAAATAGAATAATTAAGATAAGAAATGAATTCTTAGAGCTGAGGTACTCCATAACACTTCTGGAATTACTTTACCTCTCTGGTCCCAAGAACGATCAAGGGAAAAAGCTGTGAGAAATGATACAATGATCACAGAGGGGAAATGCTTTTATGTTTAATCAAATTCTCTTAACTTATTCTTTAAGGAATTGAGAAATTGCATGTGAATATTGGGTCGTAAAAGGTTAAAAGTGTTTTCTGAAGTGTGCTAATATCCTCTACAATGACTGTCTGTCTGCAACTGCAAAAGTCACCAAAGATCATTCCACATCCCATGTGCCAATAATAGCCTCTCTGATAGCAACAGACTTTTAAGAGAGAATAGTATTCATGCTAATGCTCTCAATGCACCCTTTTCACTTCATTTTGTTAACACTTTTTTCGTTGTGAACATTAACTGTTTTATTGATGTGGTTGATTGTTTTACATTTTATGATGCAAGAATAAACATTTCTACATATAAAAAATATTATAGTTTTCCCTAAGCCATTAGCATCACGCTATCACTCACCCTTCTCCTGCCATCTCTATGCAACGACCTTGTACCTCTGTAACCTATAGCTATCATTAAGAGGGTCAACTGTATACTCTAGGCATAATTTTCCTTTATGTCAAATTTTATTATTTTGTTATTTTAACTTATTACAGATGCAATGTTTAGACTAAATATAGCTTGCATTAAATCCTGCTGCACTAAGCACTGTTTTGCGTCGGAAAAGGGTAAAAATACTTTTCAGAATTAATCCTTAGTGTGTGAAAGAATTAGTAGACCTGATCCTTGTAAAATGATTTAGAGTTGTCAGAAAGTTTTGAATAAGACAGCTTAATTTTGCAATATTTTATTAAAGAATCATATGAATAACAAAGCAGAATAGCCGGCCAAAAACATAGTGTAGGAGGAGTTTTTGCCATCTGCCTGCTATTTTTGGCAACTGTGACAAATGTCTCAGATTTAATAACAGCAATGTTTAAGTTTTGTCTGATTACCCGAGGTTTGTGGATTTTACTATCGGGCTAGTGAATTCTGTTCTTAACTTGCCCCATGGGCAAGTGAAGTTTTTTGGAGAATTCATTTTGCAGAAGAATGGTAATCAATCCTGTCCATGAAAAATTTATTGGGGAGGCACCCAAAAGTACCCTCAGCATAGTACATGCTAGCTACAGCTATACACCCTGGTTTTGGTACAAACCCCTTTTCTTTTCTTATGGAAATTTTGCTTAAAAATACTATTTAGCATAAGAACAACTTGATTTCCATGATAAAGCAGGAAGGGTTGTATCAAAACAAGGTCAACTCCAGCCTGGTTTTCACCTGTAACTGTAAAATGGGCTATTCGTAGTAAGATGCACTCAAATTCTTGATTTTTGTCTCTGACAGGATGCAGACAATGTATGGTGGGATGCATTTGCAACAGAGTTTTTTGATGATGACGCTACCCTGACATTGAGCTTTTGCTTGGAAGATGGGCCAAAAAGATATTGTATGTCTTTAAAATCTTGTTTAAAGTGCTCTCTGCATTATACACAAAATGAGCTGGGGTTTCAATAAGCACCGATGGCTGACAAAATGTGTTGGCTACTTTGCTCATAGAAGTTGGTTACTTTTTTTCTACAAGGAAGAAGGAACTAGTTTGAACAATTTTGTAAACAAAAAATATGTCATAAAATTTGAATGAAAACGTAATTATGATGTGTTTTCGTAAAAGCGCACTGGTTTTACGTTATGCTTTAGTCATGTAAATGCTATATTTCAGTCAATCTCACAAGTTTCTTTATACATGTAGGTTTATGCAGAATTTGTTAATGTGCAAACGTACGTAATTGAGTTTTCATCATTTGTTCATTGCTTGTAGGAATTGATTGTGACTGATAAATCAAAAGTTGAATGAAAGCTACATTTTCTTGAATGAAAAACATGCTCTTTTGTCCTCAGCTTAGTCCCCAGAACACTGAAAAGCACATTATAGGGCTATGAAATTTCAAAATTTTGATAATTTTAATACAGTCGGTTGCTCTATTTAAACCTGGTGGATACTTCAATGTTTATTGAAACCCCCTGAGTGAGTGTAAAATATTATAAGGTGTATTATAGTTTAGTTTTCCAAAGGGTGCGGGGCGGGACTGAAATTTTAAGATAGTCTTTTTATGCCAGCCGTGGGAATGTAATCAGCACCAAGATTCTTGTATCGGGTTTACTCCTCCTGCTTACTCCTCCTAGTCTGCTACATAGCTGTTTTTAGAGTCATCACGCAATGCTCTTCCCTACAAACTGCTGCTGTGAACTGAATCACACTTTTTCCATTTGTGTTTGTATTCTAAAAAACTAACCAGTCATGTATTAGAAACATGACAAGATGTGAACTGCAGGGTGCTTGGAAACAAACACACTTCTCAATTTTCAACAAATCAAACAATCATTGCTGAATTTCGACGGGCTTTGTCTAACAGCAGCGAAAAGGTTAATTTCCGGAATTGTTTGTTTTAAGCAGGGTGCAAAGAAAGTCAGTTTTACAGACTGCCATTCGGACAAGCTGTAGCTAGCATGTACTAGCCCACAAGTCATTTTAACTAGCCCCAAAACCCTTTTTGATTAGCAGGATTGATTACAATCCTTCTGTAATCTGAATTTCCCCATTTTTGCAAACAACAGCACTTACCCGTCGGGCAAGTTAAGAACAAAAATCACTAGCCCGATAGCAAAATGCACCAGCCCCGGGCTATCGGACACGACTTTCTTTGCACTCTGTTTAAGTAGTTAACAAAGTTCCTTGCAAAAAAGGTTTTATAACCCTTCATGACTTTTTTCAGGATTGGTTGTTTCTTTTTATCGTGCATATGTATCATGACTTTCCTGTGCCAGATGTGCTTATTGTGTTGCTTTACAAGTGAATGTTAAACTCACAAGGGCATTGATTCAAACAATAGCAAGAATATAAATTATAGATGAGCGATTTCCCGAAACTTCCCGGCAACTTTATAGGTACATCCTTGTTGTGCATCACATTTGCTCGGCTTGCTTGCTGTTGCTGTGCGCTGCTTATACTGTGACAAAACTACCTTACTCTTGGTTGTATGACACAGTTTTAATTGTTTTGTCATTCACACGTGGGGTGCCATTGAAAGTAAAGCTGTGATTGGGGGAGTCCCCATACCGAAAACTTAGTGCAAATACCTTCCAGATGAAAGGTGAAATCTGTTGGCTAAAAATGGGGAAAGGAATGTGGTTTGGTTATCAGCAGCCATTTACGGGGAAGGAGCATTGCATGACGATGCAAAGATTGGCCGTGTAGCAGACTAACTCCCGAGGGGATTAAGTTTGTTTTTTTAAGATGACATTTGTTACCCTTGGATTACACTTTACTGTCTGGAAATGCCAGCAAGATGATAACTGTTTTTGGAACTCTGTGGTCACTGTTTTCTTTTTCTTTTAGCAATAGGACGGAATCTGATTCCAAGGTACTTTCGAAGTATATTTGAGGGTGGAGTAAAAGAACTGTATTACCACATTGTGCAACCGAAGGAGTCATACCACAACAACACAAGTACAATAACTCTTGATTGTGAAAATACAACCATGATTACACATCATAAAACACCAGTCTTTACAAAGGTTTGTACAGCTGTTTTTCTGTGAGGTTAATTATCTTTAAGTGGCTAATTTAACTTTGCTTATACTGTATTGCAAATCAACAAACCTGTGCTTGCACTTCCAAGCCAGTTTTCTGTCGCTTGTACAGAGTAGTAAATAAACAATAACACAGGACAGAGCAGCTCAGTCATCTAACTAGTCATCCACGGACTTAAGCATTAGAGCCTCCTTGTACAGATAAATAAACAGCACCATTCAAGAACAGTTCACTATCTTTATTTCAATATTTTTATCACAGGATTGTCAAAAACAAGATTTTCACATTATCTAGTATTAATGAAAATGTCCACAGGTATGCACAGAGGGCCGCCTTTTACTGGAATTCACCCTGGATGATCTCATGAGAATACGAAACTGGCACTTTGCTATTAGACATTACACAGAGATGATTCCACGCAATGTTATTGTTGGTGCCCAGGACCCAAACTTTCTGGAACAGTTATCCAAAAATATCACCAGACAAGGAATGACCAATGTTACGCTTAATTATCTCAGGGTAAGAAAAAGAAGGAGAAAAACAGAGGCAGATATTGGACATGTCACATTTAAAGTGCTCTCCAGAGCCTCAATTAAATTTTGGCTTTCTTTTACTGTTCTAGAATATGGCATTTAATTTTCTTTATGTTCTAACCTGTAACAATATGAAAAATACATTTTTCAAAGCTATGCTATGGATCACTCAGATTTGCTGGTGTAAATTACACATCTGCCTTATCGCCAATCTATATGTGACTCTTTTGTCAGTAACTAATACTAAAAGTATTGAAACAAACTAGCGTGTGTGTAAATTTGTACTGTTTTATTATTAATTTTTTTTCTGTAATATTATTTTTCTCTTCTCTTGTACCCGTCTTGATTAACTTGGGCTAGTTATGGGCAGCAAGCATTGTTATATTTAATTGAAGGCTAAATAAAGCTGTTCTTGTTGGTAGTGGACAAAACACTGACCCCAGTCAATGGGCTACCCATATGGACTACCCTAAAATGGAATACACCACTGAAGTTTAGTGGTTAGGGTTAGTAACCTGAGTGAATCAAGTTTCAGGCCAGTTTTCCCAGTATAATGACGCTAAATAGAACCTGATTCACTCAGTTTCCTAACCCTAATCACTACACTTAAGTGGTGTCGCCCATTTTAGGGTGGCCCATGGCAGTTGTCCATGGGCTGGCAGTTGTTGTTGTTAATCAGTTTGTCTATCTTTTAGCTCTGTGTTATTCTGGAGCCCATGCAGGAACTCATGTCACGGCACAAGACTTACAATATGAACCCCAGAGGTAAGTTGTCCTGGTCATTGTTGATTGATTCCATCTGAATTATTTTTCACTAGATGTGCCTTTCCTGAGCTTAATTTCCTTTACTTTGTAGTAACAAATATCTTTTATCTTCTATATTTTTCTAAAACAGACTGTTTAAAATCCACACTTTTCCAGAGATGGCAGCCAATGTGTCCCCCACCAGGTAAGAACTCAAGCCTGTTTTCCTTTCTTGCAAACTAAATTACCATATTTATTCAGTTAGGCACCAAACCTCAAATAGGCACCCACCCTTAATAACCCGCTTCCCACCCAGCCTTAAATAACTGCCCACTCTATAGACAGGAAAAGTTAATAAGCACCCAGCCTCAAATATATATAAGCACCCACCCCTACCACCTTCCACCAAATAGAATGGTCTTTGGCTTTCTGACAATGAGATTGGAATGGACTAGTTTCTTCTGTTACAAAAAAGAGACCAAGTTTTCTTTAGTTAGAATTTTAATGAAATTTTAAATTCTCAATTCTCAAGGTCCAAAAATTTAATAAGCACTCGGGACGTTGAATCGAATAAATACAGTATCTCAATATTATTTTGGTGCTTTGTATCATTAACCTTTGAAGTCAATGGAGACCTTTATAATAATAAGTTAGCACTTTACGCAGGCCCGTGGACCAAAATGTTTGCCATGTAAATGATTTAAATGTTCAGTCACCCAAAAAAGAACACTATATAAAATTTCTGGACCGAAAAGGTTCCGGTGTAGATTTCCTAAACAGTTGATGTTTATATAGACTTGCTTCAGAGCATGTTTGTTATTTACCAGATTGTTGTCTATCTATCTGTTATTCACCATATCAGGGTGTTCGTTAAGCATCAGAGATCAGAGAATTCTCCGGCTAATGGTCAATAGCCTATGACTTTTTTTTATTCAGATGTGGAGCCGCTTTAAAAATATTCTCCTGTACAATACACCTTTCTGCAACTACTAGAATTCTTAATGAAAACCCTGCTATGTTGTTGTCTATCCTTCTCCAGATTATCAGGGTGAGATGATGTGGCAACCAAATACTCCAACCACTCCAGGTAAACAGGGACTTTTTAACAACCGATTACTATCTTCACACTTGTCCTCAGTGCTAAGCAGATAGGAGATGGGCTATTGTAGAAACAAATATAGATAATTGACCAAAACCTCTTTGATTAAATTTGCAAATGCAAATTTGAACGTGTTGATTTTCACAATTATTTTAAAATAAGATGGAAACTTATGTCAAACCCACAGCTTCTGTTTGTTAACAGAACTTTTATATTAACCATTTTTGTGTTAGTTGATATCTAGGTAGGAAAGAATTATTTTTTCAGGTTTCATTTTTATAATCCACAGCTTTGGGCATGTAAAAGTGCCATCATCAAATTGATGAGGAATTGTTGTGTAAGAAAGTGGAAATAGCGTGTCTCCAAATGATATTGTTATGTTGCTGTCAGTAACGTTTAAAAAAACTGTTGATTTCCTTTACCTCAAATGTTTTCCCTAAATGCACAAACTATCAGCACCCTTTGCCAAATAGGTCAAGCTATCAATGCCAAAATAAAGTCAGTTATTATAAGGAGCTGCAAGTAATTATCCAGCTAGCTTTCTCAGTATGAACATGAGTGGCTCTTGCTTAAAAAGTTACCTCTGTTCAGAAAACAACACAAGAAGAAGAAGTTATAATACAACATTTTTTGCTGGTAAAACTGACAGCCCTGGCTGCCATGTTTGCATCACACATCCTCAGTCACTGACTTAGTGAGCCTCTGAAACTGCTCTCCGCTCCTTAAACATCTCATGTATACCTGTTTTCCCTAAAGGATCCCCCTTTCCTAAACTTCTTGAGAGAACATTGACTGGGCAGCCTGCTTCAAGGAAAGGTTAGCCTCAGTTCAGTCAGTGCGGCGGTGTTTGGACACAGGATATGGGCCTAATTATCCTGTTTTATTTGGGAAATATTTCATTGGCTTTTGCATGCAATTGAGTGCATCCATGTCTCTCTTCAGTGACCATCTTTTTGTTCTCATATGAAAAGCATCATTCATTAACCCTTTCACTTCAGGGCTGACACTAAAGACCAGGTGCTGGGACTTCCCCTGGCTACTGTGAGCTTGATCCCCGCCAACTTTCGTAGGACAGAAAAAGAAAATGAACCAAGAGAAACTCCTAGCTTTTCATTTCTCTATCTACTAAATGCATACACCCCACAACTTAAAATCTTGGCAACAGCCCTGCATTGTAAAGTGAAGAGTGAAGTCTCATAAGGTAGTTCTAACGTTTATGTCTGGAGATAAATCCTATGGTGTGACTTTTTCTTTTGATTTCATATTCATCTTGTATTAAGGAGAACATTGATGTTGGTCACTCTGGGGTCTTGAAGAGTTAACCTAGTAGACCTGGTAGACCTGTGCAATAGAACTGAAAAAATGCCCAGCATAGAAGAACCAACAAGGTCTTCCACATTTCCCCCCCTCCCCTTGTGTAATACTCTTCCACAACACAGCCCCACCCCCCCTGATGACTTGATAAGCCAATATTTCCCAAACACCACCTTTTTATTCCCAGGGATGGTCGCACAGAAGAGAGCCAGCTTTCATCAGCCATTGTTTTTTCTCAACTTTTTCAGTGAAAGGTCAAATCGTGTGGTCAAACACTGTCTATAGCTCACTTTAAATATGGTTGCTACAGTGTTATTCTGAAGTGTGAACAAATTACTGCCATACTGCTAACCCCCTTAGAGGACCTAAAATTGTATTGTGGGTGTTGATTTGTTGTAAATCAAATCTCTTATAACATTAAGTTTGAGGATAGGGAATAGGTTAAAAAACAGTTTTCGGGTTGTTTTTTTTTTTTCATTTAAGGTGATTGGGAGGCCACAGGTTAGAATCTGCCAAAAAAATCCTTTGTAAAGAGTTGTGTCAATGACATCTTGGTGAATTACAGAAAATAATAGCTTTAGTAAGCCAAAACATTGCCTCTTTGAGTGCATTTAACATTGTGTTTGTTGCATTTATCTGCAAATTTTTTGCTAAACAACAATGGCAAATTTAATTTCTGTTGGGAATTACAATACCTCCAGCTTATTTTTTCCTTTCTGTTTATTTCTTTTATGTAAACTTAATAAACTTCTTGAGCAATCCACACAAGCAAAACTTTCATTGTTCCTTATCTCTGTTTCAGCAGAAACTCCGCGTGCACCAAGAACGAGGCGGAAACGTAAGTCAACAAATGCAAATTCATCGGCACCCAGCAGTGGTATGAACAGTACGTCAGGTAAAAAGAAATCGCCCAGCACTTCTGGGTTCACACTAGCATCTCAGGATGTCATGGTTGTTGGCGAGCCTTCTCTGATGGGCGGAGAATTTGGTGATGAAGACGAACGGCTTATTACTAGGTGAGTGGTTCTAGCAACTATTTTGGTGGAGCACAAGTTAGTGTTACTTTCAACATAGTATACATCTCACCCAAGGAATTGTGAAGTTGACAGTCAGTCCAGTGATATCTGCCTTCTATCCCTTTGTTATCTTGTTTGGTGATGTTGTTTACAGTCACTTCCCACTACCCATGTGAGTTGATTGCATTTCACACCTTGGCCTGTTCTAAGAACATGAGCTCTGCTGCATCCACATTCTTTCCATTCTTGCTAGCTTAAATGATGTTGACTTTATATTCTCCCTTTTTCTTGCTTTGCCATGTTGTAACCTAAATTGCCAAGACCTCTAATAGGATTTCAAGCTGTGTCATGGTAGAATGGCATCTACCATCTTGCTTCAGTTATTCACCCTGTCGACTGTCTGTAACAGAAAGGTGTCCATATTATGGAGGTGCCTATATGGGAGGGTCAACACTGCAGATAAAAATAAAGTTGAGGCACTGGTATAGGCTATTGATAAATGAATGCCTTAGTATAAAATTGCTGTAAAAGGTAAAGGGAAAATTAAAGTACGTTAACATCAAATAAACACTTTTTATCCACTAATGTTGAAAACACAGATTGGGTTTTGAAGATGGTGAAAGCAGTTTTCCTGACTTTTCTTTGGTAAGTGGAATCCTCCCTCATACACTAATTAACCTCTGACAAAACAGGTTTTGATGGTTAGTCTTACCCACAGTAATATGTGAATCACACAACAATAAAGGGTCTGAGGGACAGAATTTTAAAAGGAAGGATGTTTGCTTCAAGGTCTTTTGGTCTGTGTTTCCTCCAGTAAATTTTGTTCTTTTGTCATTCTATGGAGGCCTTTTTACTTAGTTACCAAAATTCTGTTAGAGTAACAAGGAAATTCAACACTTAAAACATGACAGTGTTTTAAGTTTCAGAGACATGTTTTGGATATGTCAGCTTACTAGTTATTTTTATTTTGTCAGAGGGATATAGAAGAGGGAGGATTTACCGAAGGAAGCTCAGAACACTTGACTTAATCCTTTCAGATTCAAGGTCAGAAGTTAAACAGTTCTTTAACAGTCAGTAGTTGGAAGATGCGATAAAACTGCCTAATGCTGCATACTTTAAGGGAGGATGTCATGCCATTTACTATCTTTTTAAAAAGCTAAAACATCTCATTGCAATTCAACTGAATTCCAAATAATGGTCCACACTATATTTAGCGATTGAAACTGTTTCATGCCGTCTGTTACTATTGATGGCAAGGGTGGACATGAATTGAAACTCGAAAAAAAAATGGGCCAATTTTTTCTAGTTTTAACGCCATGCCTGCAAAAATTACCAAAAAAAACTATGGCTAGAGCTGAAATTTGATGACATTTGATATTATTGAAAATGAAATATATTAATGAAATTTGTTTAATATCTTCATCATAAGTCTACAGGAGCATTTTGTGTACAATGACTTTACACAGAATTAACCTAAAACAGCAATATCCTTGTGCTGTAGCTTCTTTAACTATGCTTTTCCAAGGCCTTAAATTTACCAGAGATGCATGAGACCTTATTTGCTAAGATTAGCTGAATCAAAAAAATCCCAGTTTGATTTTGCGGAACAATAACAATTAAAATGATAATTATGCCAATGAAATGATTAATTTACAAAATAAAAATAATTGCATGAACAAACAGGGCTGTCACTAAGATTTCAAGTTGGCGGGTATATGCAATTAGCAGGCGGGAACCTGAACTGCTAGGAGCTCTTTTGCCTGGTCTTATTTTCCTTTGGCATCCTGTGAAAATAGTTGCAGGCCCTGCTCTTAGTAGCCAGGGGGGCAGAATCCGCCTAGCCTTTGCTGCTAGTGACAGTGCTGAACAAATAAATACATAAATGTGACCACCAGAAGAAAGTCTAGTTAACTGAATTTAACCCTTTCACTGCCAAATTTATCCAAAAGGAAATTTTGACCAAATCTTGAATAGTACCATGTGAAAATGCAGGCAGAGAGCTTTCATTTGAATGGTCACATCATAGGATTTCATCCACAGACTCAAAAGTTAGAGTCACCTTACAAAACTCCATCAAGCACTCTCGCAGTGAAAGGGGTTAAGATGGAAACATTTGAGGTCAGCAGTAAGAGTCTGTGGTAATATGTTGGTACTTAACTCTTGAAGCTTATCCACCCCATTGTTCCCCATGTATTTGCTATGGCACTAGTGGAGAGAATTATTGAAAATCAAGACATTTTCTCTTTGTCGATCATTTCCATCATTTTCCTGATACTGATAAGCAGCTATGAGAAAGACAGTGGCATATTGTTCTTAGCTTGTTTTCTTCTAACTTTATATCTATCTGATCTTCTGCTTAAATTCAGCTCTAATAAGAACTAAGGATTTCAAGGAATTAACGCTTTCTCCCAGCTCTTCCTCTTCTTGCTTTCCCCTCGTAACATCAAAACAGTTACTGCTAAACATGTCACTTTTTCACCATTCATGCCGACAATCTTTCTGTTCCTCCTGTTTTCAATTATTCCATCACTGATGTATTGTCATTTTGGGGGAATGCCAATAGACCCTTAGCAGCTTCTCATTCAAGTGGTACAAAACCGTCATGCTAAAGAGTAAACAAAGGGCTCACATCATTTAAAATGGTTATCTCCTTGCACAGGAATGACTACCTGTAAAGGGCTTATGCTTTTCTGTGCACCAATAAGAACAGAGAGTTTAAACTTCACGTATACGGCAAACAGGAATTACGTCAGATTCAAGTTGAGAATTTCTCAAAATAGAAAATGAGCGGATAAAAACAGCTCAAAACAATTCTTATGGATAAAATATGCATGAAACTACTGATTTAAGTGTAGAAAAATGAACAGTAAACGACAAGTAAAGAGGAAACTTGATCACGTGGTACAAAAATCGCGTTTGACGTAAACGTGATGCTTGACCACTCTAATGCTACATACCTGTGGGTCTGTAAATAATTGGTTTTTTGGTGAAAGGACAAGTGTCTGACTAAGACCGCATTTGACTGGACCTACAAAAGTGTGTTTGGATATCATTATGTTAATAATAGCTGTGATAATATTTAGAATATATTTCCTTGATGCATTTGATTCGTAATTGAACAAGAGGATGTAAAGAAGTCATGATCTGCTAAAAACCTCAATGCAGATTTAAGGAAAATCTATCGATTTTATCTTTGATGGCGACATTTCGAGAGGCCACCACTAGCTTCCCTGCGAAATGACGTCTGAGGAAAATTGCTTCTGCCATTCAGAAGCACTGCCCAGATCTGGGTAGTGACACGTCATCAGTATGGAATTTTTGCGCTCATTCCTCAGACATCATTTTGCGAGGAAACGAATAGTGGCCTCGTGAAATTTTGGCTGCTTTCTCAGGCTAGGAAAAAATTATGTGTAAAATTCTTCGATCAGTAAGTTTAGAATTTGCCTCTCCTACCCAAAAGGATGATTGCTTTAAATGACGGGAAACAAACAAACAAACAAAACGAAAAACAGCGGGGGAAAAGGAGGAGATGGTTTGAGTTATGGAGAGGCAAAAGAGTGAAAATATAACACAATCGACCGGTTAGAGTTTACTGTCTTTGATTGTTTGTCTTTAATAGGCTGGAGAACACACAGTATGATGCAAGCAATGGTGTTGGTGATGAAGGCGACTTTGGTGGTAGCCCTATGAGTGGAAGCCCAAGTCTTTGGAGTACAGATCGTAAACCGAACCAAGAAGACAGTACTGGAGAATAACAAGGTTTATCAGAGAAATAATCCCAAGATATATATCCTGTCGTTGCCTGCCCTAGAAAAGCTTTGTCTGAGGACTTTTCGGGACTGGTACATAAAGGCCACTATGGACCACTGGCCAAAGTTTGTTAACTTTCACTCTCCGTTTGACAGAGTTTAAATGTCAAATTTTATGAGCCAGGGTTTAAAGTTATTTATGCTGTTTCTTATGGTATTTTTGAACGGGCTGGCTACCTGTTATATTCACTTTTTATTCATGAATGATACACAACCATAAAGTATTTTGCATCTTCTTTTTTTGAAAAATAGAAAACCACGAAGTGATTCGTTCTGATGTGGTTAGAAACGACAGCTCAGCCAGGGCTTCACGAGATAACTTACTATTGTCTCTAAGAAGAGGCAGTGTCACTTCTGAAAATTATACACATACATTTTAAAGGGAAAAGGCGTTATCCCAGTCGCGCTTAAACATTGCTTATTTGCTGAATAGAGGCGCCATTTAGGCGTTTACACTGAAGTATGTTGTGATCCGAACAGTGAAATACTCCTACCATTAAAACTCTTGAAATAGCGTTCTTGTTTCTTGTAGAAAGGTCGAACGGTAGGGGAAACAACCGAATGGTGGAAAGTGGAGAAAACCTTTTCCTGTTCTCACGTACTTCAGCCTCTGGAAAGGGGTCTCTTAAGAGAAAGTTCTTAAATACGTACACTTGACTGAATAGTTGGCAGGCATAATTTGCTATGTTCCCGGAATTCTGTTATGTTTTATCGTTCTTTTCGGACCAGCTTAGTGTACGGCAAAACGGGCGACTAAAACTTGCATTGCAGAATTTCTGCGAAACGTTTTTAAAAATTATATTATGCGTTTTACTACACACGTTCAAACCTGTCTTGCAACAAGTTAGGTTATTGCAAGTTGCGTGAAAACTTAGTTCTGATTGAATAAGATAACGCGAGAGTCACGACGGTTTTTGGTGGGTAAAACGCGTAAGGTGTACAGATTTTGTTAGTAGAACTGCTGTCTACCACTCTCTCTACAATAACTTGATTTGCAGGACATGTTTTTTAATTCGTGGGTGGTAAAACGCACCATATCGCTATTCAACTCGTTTTGCCGCAATGCTGCACAATAAGTGGCACATTTTTTTTGTCCGTTTTACCCAGCCTTGAGTGTTCTTGCTGTTTTTACAAGCTTCACAGACACATTTAAAGGAGTAAGTAGGATGCCTTTTGTTAGAGTCTTCCTCCTCTAGCGTTAATTTAGTCTGTGGCCACTAAATTGCTAGAATTACACTCTGAAAGCGGCAATAGCGTTATGTGCCTTACAAAGGTCTGTTTTGTAGAGTACAACGTGCTTCGATTTACGTATGTAGCCCTGTTGATGATTGGGTGGAAACTATTCACGTAGCAGTAGAGCTGTTGGCTAAAAGCTGGTTGGATTTTTAAGAAGAAAAGATACACGCCTTTATAAAACACTTTAAAACATATCTTAACAGAGAAGCCGATGTTTTTCATTTGTAAGATGAACACATTAAACCAGCCGCTGATACTTTTTTACGGGCCGGTTGATAGCAAAGCAAGGGATTTCCAAGTCCGCCTTGGCCTGTTCCAGCCGTTCATATAATCCCTCGTTCTTTTTTCCCCTGGCCCATTTTTCACCCACGCACTACTATCTGAACGCCTGTAACAGGCTATACTCACCTGCTTCGGAGGCGGTTAAATTTAACCCATGGTAAGCCCAAATTTGAAGCATTTATTATAACCTAGAAAGTATTACTAGGCCTTAAATTACTACATTAAAACATAACGCGGTCTATAATTTTAACCCTGGGTTAGCGTTATCGGCTTTCAAGGCCGACATATTCAGTGATCATGAGAGGTTGGTTGGTTGCTCTGACTCGGGAGTTAGTTTTGTGGTGCTACGCGCCTATCGCATTGGAGCAAGTTTCTATCCGTGCTGTCTAAATTGGTAAACTTATCTCGTACAACTCTCGGGAGGCAGAGTTTTCTTCAGCAAAAGTTCATCGGGGTAGGAGAAATATCTGCAAAAGTTCTCCTTCAGATTCCCTTGCTCCTGCGGTTACTTCTGTCAGCAGAGTTTCGTCCTTCTCTAAACTCAGTCTTTAAAGGGTAAAAATAAAATATTTCCTTTCGCGTGTACAGAGGTTAAAGTCAAACTAACAAAATCTTTTATCTTAAAACATTCGGTAATAAAGGCTNTGGGTGGAAACTATTCACGTAGCAGTAGAGCTGTTGGCTAAAAGCTGGTTGGATTTTTAAGAAGAAAAGATACACGCCTTTATAAAACACTTTAAAACATATCTTAACAGAGAAGCCGATGTTTTTCATTTGTAAGATGAACACATTAAACCAGCCGCTGATACTTTTTTACGGGCCGGTTGATAGCAAAGCAAGGGATTTCCAAGTCCGCCTTGGCCTGTTCCAGCCGTTCATATAATCCCTCGTTCTTTTTTCCCCTGGCCCATTTTTCACCCACGCACTACTATCTGAACGCCTGTAACAGGCTATACTCACCTGCTTCGGAGGCGGTTAAATTTAACCCATGGTAAGCCCAAATTTGAAGCATTTATTATAACCTAGAAAGTATTACTAGGCCTTAAATTACTACATTAAAACATAACGCGGTCTATAATTTTAACCCTGGGTTAGCGTTATCGGCTTTCAAGGCCGACATATTCAGTGATCATGAGAGGTTGGTTGGTTGCTCTGACTCGGGAGTTAGTTTTGTGGTGCTACGCGCCTATCGCATTGGAGCAAGTTTCTATCCGTGCTGTCTAAATTGGTAAACTTATCTCGTACAACTCTCGGGAGGCAGAGTTTTCTTCAGCAAAAGTTCATCGGGGTAGGAGAAATATCTGCAAAAGTTCTCCTTCAGATTCCCTTGCTCCTGCGGTTACTTCTGTCAGCAGAGTTTCGTCCTTCTCTAAACTCAGTCTTTAAAGGGTAAAAATAAAATATTTCCTTTCGCGTGTACAGAGGTTAAAGTCAAACTAACAAAATCTTTTATCTTAAAACATTCGGTAATAAAGGCTACAAATACTTTCATTCAGATGCTCGTTGTTTTCCATAACTGACGACGGCAAGGGGCGGACTAGACTACAAAACAGTCCGTATTTATGCGTATTCAAGTACGCGCCAGCAGTCAAACAAAAGGTGTGGAACAAGGCTGAAAACAATGACGGGCGTGTGAGGCTCGCGCGGTTCGCGCGCGCAGGACTCTTACGCCACGCTTTACCGATTTCTTTACTGATTTTGAGGAAAAAACCGACTGTTTTGCAGTCTAGGGGCGGACGGCAACGGGCGTCAGTAGAACGCCGACTCGGGGTCGTGGTCGGGGCCGATTGTTTTACCCTAACCAAAACATGGAACAGAAAACCATATTAAAGAGAAGTCGACCGCGACCCGGAGTCAACATTTTACCGACACCTGTTGGCAACTAGGACTTCTTAAAAGTACGTCGAAAACACCCCGATCTGCACATGATCTGCACGTGCATCACGACCTCGTTCCCAGGGATTTTCCCTCCCATTTTCTAAGGATAAGCCCTGGGGACGAGGCTTTTTGGTTCATTTCTTCCTCCTTCTCTGCAGTACCCGGTGACTTAAATGAGCAAGTTTTTCTTTCCAAGGAAATAATGCTCGTGTGGAAGACGCTAATAGACGACGACCGTTTTACTAATTTCTTCCTGAATCTACATCTTGAAATACAGTAAATACCCGCTAATAAAAACCTACAGTTTTTGAGGTCTAGCGAAAAAAGGTTCTTTTATTTTGGGGTAGTTATTGGCAATTTAGGCTGAGTAGGTTCTTAATTTCTACAAGGGGATAGCTGTTGACTACCAGAAAAATAAATAAACTTGAGTTTGGTCCTTAAATATGCAATATTTATTCAAAACTGTACATTGCAAACTGCCTCCGTTATGCAAGGTCCATGAAGACAATTGCGGTCTGTGCTTTTTAAATTTCACTTAGTACGATCAGCTTTGCGGATTTCAATGTGTCCAAAGTATGGTCTTCATTCGAGCCAATTAATGGGCGGAACTTTCACCAGTTTCCCCAGCGTAAAGCGTTCCCTGCTACATCAAATTAATTCACTGGTATCAGTGATACACTCCTAGGCGGAGTGAAGCATTGTGCAATTAGCCTGCATAACAGGCGCTGCAAAATGGCGCGTTCGCCTCGCTTGGTTCATAAAGTGCCTGTTAAATGAAAGCAGGCTGTTATGAGAGCAAAGTGTCTTACCCAAGAACACAACACAATGACCCCAGCAGGATCTGAACCCGGACTTAATTCCCGATACGTAATCCAAAGCACTGGGCCACCTCGCCTCCGGTTCCTCTTGCAGGCTAATGTATGTAGGTATGTATGCATGATTTATGAAAAGACAAACGGCAAATTCCCTGGAGAACATCACGTGGTGTGAATTGAAGAAACGTAACTAAACGTACAAATTAAAAAGGTCTATTGCTATCAAGATTGAAAGAGCGTGCAATCACACAAATTGTAATGATCAAGTCTGAAATTTTGCTCTATTACTGGAACCAAAGGTCTCATTTTTTGTATATATTTATACTATCGAAACACTCCTATTAAGATACGACGCTAATGAACATTTTGCCACTTACATAGCCTGGGATGTATACACTGATCAGTTGGCCACATCTACAAAAGCTGTAGGTTAAACCTTTAAAGTTTAATTAATAATTATTATTCTTATTAAAGTTTTGACCTTGATTGTGGTAAGTATCACCTTAGCTGCACATCATCTAATGAACATTATTTTAAAAAATAATCGAGAGTGATGTCAGTTTTGGTAACTGTGGCTCAGACTTCACGTCCATGGGCCAATTTAACAAAACTTTTACAGGTGTAATTTGCAAGTGTGCCCCTTGTTTTAGTGTCTAAAAACAAAAGCTACACTTGTTAATTACACTTGCTTCTCATTCAATTGGTACAAAACCGCCATGCTAAAGAGTAAACAAAGGGCTCACATCATTTAAAATGGCTATCTCCTTCCACAGGAATGACTACCTGTAAAGGGCTTATGCTTTTCTGTGCACCAATAAGAACAGAGAGTTTAAACTTCACGTATACGGCAAACAGTAATTACGTCAGATTCAAGTTGAGAATTTCTCAAAATAGAAAATGAGCGGATAAAAACAGCTCAAAACAATTCTTATGGATAAAATATGCATGAAACTACTGATTTAGGTGTAGAAAAATTAACAGTAAACGACAAGTAAAGAGGTCGAAACTTGATCACGTGGTACAAAATTCGCGTTCGACGTTTGACGTAAACGTGATGCTTGACCACTCTAATGCCACATACCTGTAGGTGTGGAGATAACTGGTTTTTTGATGAAACGACAAATGTCTGACTAAGACCGCATTTGACTGGACCTACAAAAGTGTGTTTGGATATCATTATGTTGATAATAGCTGTAATAATATTTAGAATATATTTCCTTGATGCATTTGATTCGTAATTGAAAAAGATGATGTAAGGAAGTCATGATCTGCTAAAAAGCTTAATGCAGATTTAAGGAAATTCTATCGATTTTATCTTCGATGCCGACATTTCGAGATGCCACCACTGGCTTCCCTGCGAAATGACGTCTGAGGAAAATTGCTTCTGTCAATCAGAAGCACTGCCCAGATCTGGGTAGTGACACGTCATCAGTATGGAATTTTTGCGCTCATTCCTCAGACATCATTTTGCGAGGAAACGAATAGTGGCGTCGTGAAATCTTGGCTGCTTTCTCAGGCTAAGAAAAAATTATGTGTAAAATTTTTCGATTAGAATTAGAATTTGCCTCTCCTACCCAAAAGGACGATTGCTTTAAATGACGGGAAACAAACAACAAACAACAAACAAACAACGAAAAAGAGCGGGAAAAAAGGAGGAGATGGTTTAAGTTATGGAAAGGCAAAAGAGTGAAAATATAACGCAATCGACCGGCTAGAGTTTACTGTCTTTGATTGTTTGTCTTTAATAGGCTGGAGAACACACAGTATGATGCAAGCAATGGTGTTGGTGATGAAGGCGACTTTGGTGGTAGCCCCATGAGCGGAAGCCCAAGTCTTTGGAGTACAGATCGTAAACCGAACCAAGAAGACAGTACTGGAGAATAACAGGGTTTATCAGAGAAATAATCCCAAGATATATATCCTGTCGTTGCCTGCCCTAGAAAAGCTTTGTCTGAGGACTTTTCGGGACTGGTACATAAAGGCCACTATGGACCACTGGCCAAAGTTTGTTAACTTTCACTCTCCGTTTGACAGAGTTTAAATGTCAAATTTTATGAGCCAGGGTTTAAAGTTATTTATGCTGTTTCTTATGGTATTTTTGAACGGGCTGGCTACCTGTTATATTCACTTTTTATTCATGAATGATACACAACCATAAAGTATTTTGCATCTTCTTTTTTTGAAAAATAGAAAACCACGAAGTGATTCGTTCTGATGTGGTTAGAAACGACAGCTCAGCCAGGGCTTCACGAGATAACTTACTATTGTCTCTAAGAAGAGGCAGTGTCACTTCTGAAAATTATACACATACATTTTAAAGGGAAAAGGCGTTATCCCAGTCGCGCTTAAACATTGCTTATTTGCTGAATAGAGGCGCCATTTAGGCGTTTACACTGAAGTATGTTGTGATCCGAACAGTGAAATACTCTTACCATTAAAACTCTTGAAATAGCGTTCTTGTTTCTTGTAGAAATTTCGAACGGTAGGGGAAACAACCGAATGGTGGAAAGTGGAGAAAACCTTTTCCTGTTCTCACGTACTTCAGCCTCTGGAAAGGGGTCTCTGAAGGGAAAGTTCTTAGATACGTACACTTGACTGAATAGTTGGCAGGCATAATTTGCTATATTCCCGGAATTCTGCTATGTTTTATCGTTCATTGTTCATGGCGAGGTTTCTCTGAGTACTGTAGGTATGATCATTTCGGACCATCTTAGTCTACGGCAAAACGGGCGACTAAAACTTGCATTGCAGAATTGCTGCGAAACGTTTTTAAAAATTATATTATGCGTTTTACTACACACGTTCAAACCTGTCTTGCAACAAGTTAGGTTATTGCAAGTTGCGTGAAAACTTAGTTCTGATTGAATAAGATTACGCGAGAGTCACGACGGTTTTTGGTCGGTAAAACGGGCAAGGTGTACAGATTTTGTTAGTAGAACTGCTGTCTACTACTCTCTCTGCAATAACTTGATTTGCAGGACATGTTTTTTAATTCGTGGGTGGTAAAACGCGCCATATCGGTATTCAACTCGTTTTGCCACAATGCTGCACAATAAGTGGCACATTTTTTTTGTCCGTTTTACCCAGCCTTTAGTGTTCTTGCTGTTTTTACGAGCTTCACAGACACATTTAAAGGAGTAAGTAGGATGCCTTTTGTTAGGGTCTTCCTCCTCTAGTGTTAATTTAGTCTGTGGCCACTAAATTGCTCTAATTACATTTTGAAAACGGCAAGAGCGTTATGCGCCTTAAAAAGGTCTGTTTTGTAGAGTACAGCGTGCTTCGATTTACGTATGTAGCCCTGTTGATGATTGGGTGGAAGCTATTCACGTAGCAGTAGAGCTGTTGGCTAAAAGCTGGTTGGATTTTTAAGAAGAAAAGATACACACCTTTATAAAACACTCTAAAACATATCTTAACAAAGAAGCCGATGTTTTTCATTTGTAAGATGAACACATTAAACCAACCGCTGATACTTTTTTACGGGCCGGTTAATAGCAAAGCAAGGGATTTCCTGGTCCGCCGCGTGTATTCTATCCACCTTAGCCTGTTCCAGCCGTTCATATAATCCCTCGTTTTTTTTCCTCTGGCCCATTTTTCACCCACGCACTACTATCTGAACGCCTGTAACAGGCTATACTCACCTGCTTCGAAGGCGGTTAAATTTAACCCATGGTAAGCCCAAATTTTAAAGTTTTCTCGTCTATGAAGCATGTATTATAACCTAGAAAGTATTACTAGGCCTTAAATTACTACATTAAAACATAACGCGGTCTATAATTTTAACCCTGGGTTAGCGTTATCGGCCAAGTTCGAGGCCGACATATTCAGTGAGAGGTTGGTTGGTTGTGCTGACTCGGGAGTTAGTTTTGTGGTGCTACGCGCCTATCGCATTGGCGTAAGCTTCTATCCGTGCTGTCTAAATTGGTAAACTTATCTTGTACAACTCTTGGAAGACAGAGTTTTCTTCAGCAAAAGTTCATCGGGGTAGGAGAAATAACTGCAAAAGTTCTCCTACAGATTCCCTTGCTCCTGCGGTTACTTCTGTCAGCAGAGTTTCGTCCTTCTCTAAACTCAGTCTTTAAAGGGTAAAAATAAAATATTTCCTTTCGCGTGTACAGAGGTTAAAGTCAAACTAACAAAATCTTTTATCTTAAAACATTCAGTAATAAAGGCTACAAATACTTTCATTCAGATGCTCGTTGTTTTCCATAACTGACGACGGCAAGGGGCGGACTAGACTACAAAACAGTCCGTATTTTTGCGTATTCAAGTACGCGCCAGCAGTCAAACAAAAGGTGTGGAAAGAGGCTGAAAACAATTACGGGCGTGTGAGGCTCGCGCGGTTCGCGGGCGTAGGACTCTTACGCCACGTTTTACCGATTTCTTTACTGATTTTGAGGAAAAACCGACTGTTTTGCAGTCTAGGGGCGGACGGCAACGGGCGTCAGTAGAACGCCGACTCGGGGTCGTGGTCGGGGCCTATTGTTTTACCCTAACCAAAACATGGAACAGAAAACCATGTTAAAGAAAAGTCGACCGCGACCCGGAGTCAACATTTTACCGACACCTGTTGGCAACTAGGACTTCTTAAAAGTAACTCGAAAACACCCNTGCGGTTACTTCTGTCAGCAGAGTTTCGTCCTTCTCTAAACTCAGTCTTTAAAGGGTAAAAATAAAATATTTCCTTTCGCGTGTACAGAGGTTAAAGTCAAACTAACAAAATCTTTTATCTTAAAACATTCAGTAATAAAGGCTACAAATACTTTCATTCAGATGCTCGTTGTTTTCCATAACTGACGACGGCAAGGGGCGGACTAGACTGCAAAACAGTCCGTATTTTTGCGTATTCAAGTACGCGCCAGCAGTCAAACAAAAGGTGTGGAAAGAGGCTGAAAACAATTACGGGCGTGTGAGGCTCGCGCGGTTCGCGGGCGTAGGACTCTTACGCCACGTTTTACCGATTTCTTTACTGATTTTGAGGAAAAACCGACTGTTTTGCAGTCTAGGGGCGGACGGCAACGGGCGTCAGTAGAACGCCGACTCGGGGTCGTGGTCGGGGCCTATTGTTTTACCCTAACCAAAACATGGAACAGAAAACCATGTTAAAGAAAAGTCGACCGCGACCCGGAGTCAACATTTTACCGACACCTGTTGGCAACTAGGACTTCTTAAAAGTAACTCGAAAACACCCCGATCTGCACGTGATCTGCACGTGCATCACGACCTCGTTCCCAGGGCTTTTCCCTCCCATTTTCTAAGGGTAAGCCCTGGGGACGAGGCTTTTTGGTTCATTTCTTCCTCCTTCTCTACAGAACTCGGTGACTTAAATGAGCAAGTTTTTCTTTCCAAGGAAATAATGCTCGTGTGGAAGACGCTAATAGACGACGACCGTTTTACTATTTTCTTTCTGAATCTACATCTTGAAATACAGTAAATACCCGCTAATAAAAACCTACAGTTTTTTAGGTCTGGCGAAAAAAGGTTCTTTTATGTTTGGGTATTTATTGGCAATTTAGGCTGAGTAGGTTCTTAATTTCGATAAGGGGATAGCTGTTGACTACAAGAAAAATATAGAAACTTGAGTTTGGTCCTTGAATATGCAATATTTATTCAAAACTGTACATTGCAAACTGCCTCCGTTATGCAAGGTCCATGAAGACAATTGCGGTCTGTGCTTTTTTAAAATGCTTTTCGTTGTAGGAATTACAGTAATACTTCTATTTGTAATAACAGTGTGGTGCAGAATCCTCTTGTAATATCAATTGGCAATCTCAAAGTCAAATTCCTTGGTTAAAATTTTTTATCTTAATTTACCTGTAACCCACATACAAGAACTTGTTTGATTTTGCTTGGCTAAAAAGGTTCTTATATTTTTGGGTATTAAAGTGCCAAATTCCCGCCAGCAGGTTCTTAAACCACAGGCTCTTATTAGCGGGTTTTTACTGTCATAGGTATATTCTCAAGTGAACATTGACTGCAAGGGACCGCAAACGAATATGCCGCGGAAAGAAGGATCTAAAGAAGACCTGATCAGGAAAAATGTACCAGGCAGACACATGGAAATTAAATCTGCAAAGCTGCTACATTTTGCATAGTTTTCTCCACGCTTCATCAAGGTTGGTTTTGGCCATCCTACGCATTTTCTTTGCGGAGACATCAACGCGACGCTTGGGACTCTTGCTCTCCCGGAGACAGGTGATATGGCGTGATTCGGTGGGTGTTGGGGTTCAGTGTTAGAACTTATAACAGATAGAGAGGGTTTTGTCTCAGCAGAGCTTCATTACATTGTTCGGTCTGTTGTCGCGCAATCCTGACGGCCACAATAATAACGAAACAGCTGTCGACGGTTACAACCCCGCTCTGTTTTCGGTTCTATCGGTGTCGTATTTAAGTCTTGAAAAGTTAAATTTCACGTAGTACGATCAGCTTTGCGGATTTCACTGTGTCCAAATTATGGTCTTCATTCGAGCCAATTAATGGGCGGAACTTTCACCAGTTTCCTCAGCGTAAAGCGTTCCCCGCTGCATCAAATTAATTCACTGGTATCAATGATACACTCCTAGGTGGAGTGAAGAATTGTGGAATTAGCCTGCATAACAGGCGCTGCGAAATGGCGCGTTCGCCTTGCTTGGTTCATAAAGTGCCTGTTAAATGAAAGCAGGCTATTATGAGAGCAAAGTGTCTTGCCCAAGAACACAACACAATGACCCCAGCAGGATCTGAACCCGGACTTTCCGATACGTAATCCAAAGCACTGGGCCACCTCGCCTCCGGTTCCTCTTGCAGGCTAATGTATACAGGTAAGTATAGATGATTTATGAAAAGACAAAAGGCAAATTCCCTGGAGAACATCACGTGGTGTGAATTGAAGAAACGAAACAAAACGTACAAACTAAAAAGGTCTATTGCTGTCAAGATTGAAAGAGCGTGCAATCACACAAATTGTAATGATCAAGTCTGAAATTTTGCTTCATTACTGGAACCAAAAGACTCATTTTTCGTATATATTTATACTATCGAAACACTCCTATTAAGATACAAAGCTAATGAACATTTTGCCACTTACATAGCCTGGGATGTATACACTGATCAGTCGGCCTCAGGTTAAACCTTTAAAGTTTAATTAATAATTATTATTCTTATTAAAGTTTTGACCTTGATTGTGGTAAGTATCACCTTAGCTGCACATCATCTAATGAACATTATTTTAAAAAATAATCGAGAGTGATGTCAGTTTTGGCAACTGTGGCTCAGACTTGACGTCCATGGGCCAATTCAACAAAACTTTTACAGGTGTAATTTGCAAGTGTGCCCCTTGTTTTAGTGTCTAAAAACAAAAGCTACACTTGTTAATTACACTTGCATCAGTTTTATTAAACTCACTCCACGTTGCCGACTTCATCTCTGTCCAGGGACTGTTGAAAACCACGCCACGAAACTGAAAATCCTTCATTAATAATGACCGAGACCAGGTTTTATGAGCCCCCGAGTCTGAGCACCCCTTGACAAAAACCCTTGTTTTCACTAAAACCGCTGGACGCCACAATCTGGTTGAAGTCAATGTTATCTCAGATCTTTCCGCGAAGCTAGTCGTATTCTGAAGCCAAAGAAGAAAGTAAGATGCTGTAGTTAGACACAGCCAGCGAAGGCAGCCATGGACGCGTTACGGACTTTTCGGTTTTTCCTAATTTCCCTCTGACAGTAGCGTGCCCCGAAAAACATGACGGAAACGAGTGCAGGCGTCCAGAGTCTTTCCTTTCTATGTTCTGTTCCCCCATCCTTGTCATCTTTTACAGCCTAATTAGTTCACTTTTTTTTAGCACATCGCAAATCAAGTTTTTCNCCCCCCCCCCCCCCCCCCCCCCGCCCAACCCCCCAACTTTCGGGTCCTCGCATTTTCATCAAAGTAAGAACCGGTAGAGGACAACTCTGATAACAGCCCCAAGGACACTGAACAAAGACACGCACACTGCGACTGGTTTAGAGTACCACGAGTGTGTTTGTTCATGCGAATAGTAGATCCATATCATAAGGACATTTTCTATCACAAATAGAACATTAGACACCAACTGAATTATTTTCAAGGTTTTGCCTTTTTCGTCGACTGTTACCCCAGCGGAGCCGTCGTCTCTTATCCAGTAGAAACAAAGTGCGGTCGGGAGAGCGTAGCAGTTCTTGGCACAGCCTCCGAACCTGCCTGTCATACAGTCAGCAATACATCTGGTTACAGCCATAAAAATCGAGTGCATTATGATCATGGCGATAATCCACCACGTGAACCTTACAGTGAAGAATGTGATGGCCAGTAATCGGCAGGCGAGGTGAAATAGCTGTGACACATAGAGGGCAGCTTTAAATTTGACAGATGAAATTGTATCTACAAGGTCGGTCTTTTGTGACTCCAGTTCACTTAAGCAAGTCAAGAGTCGCCATTCATCAGCAACAAGCGATGTCCAAGCTAAACTCAAGACGGAGACACACAGTGAAATAATCTGAATAATTGCAACCTGTTCTTGTTGGACGATTATAGCGTACAGTTGGATTATGAACTGAGGAGCAGATTCGAGGATAGCCTCAAACATTCCCGTCCATGTCGCGTAGTACATCAGATCTCTGATTTTGTTGTAACAGCCGGCATCCAAATCATCTCTACGCCAAAGCTTCTTGAAATTCTTTGAGCATAAAATAAATGCTCGAAGTCTCGTGAAAGCGACCGAGAATGGATTGCAACCACAAATTAGAAGTTCAACGAGGCCAGGACGTTTGTAATCCGTCTTCATTAACTGTCGACAGTATAGAACCGAAAAAAACAAGCTTGGTAAAATAACGAAGAACAGCCCCACACCAAACCATGTCTTATGATTATTGCGGTGAAACTCCATCAGGGTAAGTACGTCTGTAATCGGGTCAACAACAGATAAGATAGTTCCCACGAGGAGAACAAAAGTGTGATACCATTTGACTTGAATTAGTGTACGCGTTATTGTATCAGCGTCTTTGCCCATGGTCGGCGTAGACGGAGTGTATTTTTTCAGCCCAAGATGTATGAGAAGAGCAGAGCCTTGTGATTTTTGCTTTGTGATCTTCACACGCAGTGAACTAAAAAATGTAGGTGTGTAGGGTTAATATTTGACGAGAATGGTGAAATGTCACGCCAGATTGTGGGTGTGGGTGGACAGTGTATGATTTTGTCAGCATTTATATAAAAAATTCCCTCAAATTGCAGAGCAGTGAAGGAAAAGTCATTCGGGGCGAAGCCATGTTTCAAACAAAACATCCTTTATGAGGTAAAGATAGCTTTTTAACGCAAAATTATATATTTATGATAAACGCAACGAAACAACTTAGCATTTAAAGTCAACGTCCTTAAATTGTAATATTGGCCACAAGTATTAAAAGTAAATTTGCAAGTTTAGTGGTACAGTCGAACTACGCAAAATGCAAAGACTGAGTGGTCGCTTAGTTACGGGAGGTGGTCGTTTACAAGAATCGACTGAACCACAGGAGGCCTCTTCCGAGAAGAGGTCCAACCCCCCCTCCCGCGTGGGGGGTGCTGCCATATATGGGCTATAGATATGTGCCGCTGTGAAAGTATGGTTTTCAAGTAGTTTACTCTAGGACAGGGTATATAAATCAGAGGGTTTGGGCCTAGAATAGGTTATCATTTTCCAGGAAACTGATCAACTGGTTGAAGATTTTAGTCTAGACTAGGGAAACTGGGAATTGTAGCCTGCGTAGCTGGCGGGATTCTTGTGCCCGGGGAACTTTTTTGGAAGCGGAGCCGACATGTAAAGCGAGCGGCGACGCCGCGAGGGAAAATCCCAAATCTTCAAATTTACTTGTATACCCCACGCACTTGCACTCCCACGCTAATCCCGCCAGCTACGCAGGCTACGGTTATTGCCACTCAAAAATATAAAAAAAAACATTAATTCGGTTTTGTTTTGGCTGTGCCAGTTACCTCAGTAGGTTCTGAAAAACAGCTACTCTAGGATTGTGGTGGGGTGGGGGGGATTTGAGGAGTTTAGTCTAGTATAGGGTAGCAAAATTCAGCTGAACTTGCTCTGGTATAGGTTGAGGGTTCCAGGGTCCCAGCGGCACATCCCCACCCAAAATTCCTAAAGTACCCCCTCGCGGGTCCAGACACATGGAAGATAATTTATTGCATGCAATGTTTAAGTTAGAACATGTGTATTTCCATGTTTCACCAAAGTTCTTCGTATATTCGAAGTTGCATAGCGCACACAGCGAGCATAGAGATCAGAGAATGCGTCAAGTGGTCGCTTACAAGAGATTAAAAACAATGGAAAATCATCAACCTTCAAGCCCAAGAAGTGGTCGCGCTCGCTTACAGGCGGAAAACCTAAAAAAGATACTTCAGGGCGTGACTTGGGCTTTAATTGACCCCTAAAAGGGAGGAAAGCATAGTTTTACTTAACTTGCAGACGACGAAATACGAACTACAGTGATTTTATTGTTGCATCTAAGATCACGACAGAAAGCGTTTATTGCTTTTTTTAAAATTTAGTTATTTTTTTACACAGAGCCCCAAGTGATACCTTTCTCTTAGTTAGGCTGTGACAACTTGTTTTCGTGTAGGTTAGTAAACGTACAAAAAACATTTTGTTAGAGGTAAGTTTTATTCGCATTTATAGCCACCCAGAACGAAGGGGTTTTGAGAAAAACAAAGCATTTTCAAGTTCACTAACTTTGACTTGTATGTCCACCGGTTTCATCTCTATGCGATCTGCCAAAATGTTGAGAAGCGTTTCGTAAGAGCTATGAAAGGTAGTTTGATTATTTTTATTCAGTAAGTAGCAAATGTACTTAGAATCGTGTTCATCCTCTAGCAGTGTGACTCGGTTGACTCCACGGGAGCCCAATCTCGCAAAACAATGCTCTTTGCTGCCTGCAGCTTCGTGCGAGCACGTGTCACCATTCCCGTGCGAGCACGTGTCACGATTGCCGTGCGTGCACGTGCCTGGAAAACTTGTCACTTGGGGAGTGGTCAAATTACTAAACTCTTGCTCTTTTTCTCGGCTCATGAGACTTTTGAAAAGTTGCGCGTATCTATCTTGGCTCTCCTCGTTTGTTGTTCTGTTCACACGAAAGTTTTTCTGTTGAGTTCCAGTGTAAACCTTATCAGTGGGTTCCCACGAGCCAAATATATCTGATCTGCAAAAGGAAGCGTAAGCTGTGGGATTACGCACGAGTTTAAACTGTTCGTCTGTCCACGGGATTCCATTTTCCATCTTTTTGGCCTCGCAGGACTTCCAGCTTTTCAGCCAGTCAGAAAATAGAGGAACTGTTTCACAATATTTGTTTTCAGAGCTTGACAGTACTGGTTCTACACTTGCTTCTTGTTTCCTGCAAGTAACGAGCCGTCCAGTCATTGACAGATCAAAACTTAGAAGTGGTTTCAAGGTTTCGCTATAAAATAAGATAAGCCTCCTTGGCCTAGGGGCTAGCGATGAACATTAAGCAGATGGCGGCGAACTTCAAGCAGGTGGACGTGTTGCCACAATAGACCTTATTCACAATACTCGCCATCTTTGAACGCGCTCTAGGATCGATGGGATAAAAGTTATGTCACGTGGTATTTCAGGGGGCAAACAAGTGATAAAATTTGCCAATACCAGAAATCGCGGTTGAGTTTGTTTATTCTACACGACGATTTCATAGTCATGCAAAATGTACACATCGGGTTTTGGCAAGATTTACGTCTGTAATGTTTGCCATTCAGGACATCTACGGTCTCTACTGCATACAAAAAAGTAACAATAATCACTTCCATCCATATTTCAACATTATTGTCTTTAAGATGAAAGGTCTTCATTTCCTATTGTCTAGAATAAACAAACTCAACCGCGATTTTTTTCATTTGCAATTTTTTTCACTTGTTTGCCCCCTGAAAAACCACGTGACGTTGCTTTTATCCCATCAGTCCTTGAGCACGTGCACTTGAATAAGGTCTATTTCTCAATTAAGGTGGCGGAACACAGTTTTTGCAGTTTGCGAGTATACTGTATGTCATTTGCCAAATCATGTCAAGAGAAAGGTTGCAGGTCACAAGCTGAAACTTGGCAAGTGAAAAATATACTGATGAAAGATTTTGACTGACAGGTAAAATGTGACGTTTTCGTAGTTTCCATAGGAACATGAACGATTGAATACAACCTTAACATTTCACTTTTGCTCAGTTTACATAAAATTTGCTCATTAGATTTTCTTATAAACTTTCACATGGCTTACTATAATTAATCATTACCATCTGAAACTTACTTGAAAAACAGAAGGGTTTTTAGATAATCAATAATATGATTGTATTGTAATTATTAAATGTGTCACAAAATTCGTCTGTTCAACTTCCACTATAAAGTTCTAATTATTTAAAATATGATAAAAGTAAAAGTTCTGCCAAATATTACAAATTTTAATGAGTAGACTTTGAGAAATTGTCTTCTGTGTAAATGTACATAGACCACTGCTTTTTTTGCCGCCATGTTTTATTGTCTAATTAACACACGCCGTCACGCGAGTTACTGCTGACCGCCCGCAAAACTCTGTACAGCCACCTTAAATGCCCTTGGCTTTCCCTCAGGTGGCATCAGCGTTCGTTTGAACTTAAGGGAATATTCAGGTCATTTGCCATGAAGTAGACCCCGTTTACCTGGGTCCTGTGCAACCCGTTTACAGGGAACCGTGCAAGTTCTGTTACAAAAACTTGCACACTTTTTAAAGAAGGTAAATTCTGGCAGTTTGAATGGCCCCTCATTTTGTTCGTACATTATGAGATTATGCGAAGGACATGGAAGTAGCACTTCGATCAGAAGAAAAGTTTTTAGTCAAGATAAAAGGTTTTGAATATAAGCAGAAGCACAACGAGAAAACAAAGTGCAGTTAACAGACCACTAAACTAGCTTCATGTACCGATTAAGAATTACTTTTGTATGACGAACATAATTATATTGATGAGAACACAGCATATAGTTATGGGGGAGGGGGGGGGGGGCTTGCTATACATTCGATAATTTTTGTGAGTGCAAGGGAAACTAACATGAACATAGAACACCTTCGAAACTTCACTGTGGAAATACACACCAGCAATCTACACCCCAGCTTTTCTGCCTAATCAAAAAGTAGTACATTAAAATTGACATTACCTTTCAGTTTTGTCGTCAATTCCATAGCAGAGTTTCATGGCAACTACAATAAATGCCATAGCACCAGCTTCAAAGTTGGGAATACAGGATTGACGGCCCGTGTGGGTAGCGGGATAGATTGTTCCCTTTATTTTGACTTTCTCCATCAGGCTTCGCACAATGCCATGCAAGAAACCTGTAAAATATGCGAATGGCATGGTTTCAGAGCAGCAATAAAATGATACTTTAATAGCTTAAATATGAGGGGGTAGTGAACACTATAGTCTATACAAAGACTATAGTAGAGACCCTTAGATTCTAAAGATGAAGACGACAACGAGAACAAGATACCAGCGAGTTTAAGCAACCATGACGGCGATGGAAACAAGAACAGCAAAAAAGCAATCGGTTTAATAAGCAAAACAACATCTCTGCAGATGCAGTTGTGCAGTAAATTAGTGATGTAAAAAACCTGTGAGGGCTGGGAAGAGAGAGGGCGGTGATCGCGCGCGTCCTATTTTCGCTTGGCTTGTTTTATTTTCATGACACCCCTACTATCTCAGAGCCTAGAACAGGCTAATTCTCCTCTAAATCACAAGAAAATACAAGGAAATTTAGAAGGAGAATCTAGTAGATGATCAAAAGTCACTTAAGACAGAGAAAAGATGCTTATTAACCTCCTATGAAAAAGAGATGAGATCACCTGGCAGATGAAGGTCTGTGATATATCGTGCAGTGTAGGTGAACCACTTCTGTTCTGGAAATTGAGGAAGCTGTAATAATTTTGCAATTTGTGCCGCTATCTGGAGAATGTTTTTTAAAAGAGGGATTCTAAAATAGAAGAAAAGAAGAAGAAAACGTAATATCTCATGATGATTTCAATGAACTGTGATCACAATGAACTAGACTGTAATCAATTTGTGGTAGTGGAAATTATAACAAATTAGTTTCACTAAAAATTTCTTCTTCAATAAAAATAATTAGATAAGAATAAGTTGTTACTGTAACTGATCATTAATAAGAAAGTAATATCAGAGAAACAATTTTTTTTATGTCTAACAATTCAAAGTCAATAAATTCCTCCCTATTTTCAACACTTCTTTGTCAGGGTTGTCACTAAGATTTCAAGTTGCCAGGTAAATACAACAAGTAGGCCGGGAATCAAACAGCTAGGGATTTCTTTTGGTTCTATTTTTCTTTTGTTTTCCTTTGAAAGTACATACATACATACTTTATTTGAACAGCTCCCTGCCTAGGGCTCTTCCGCCGTCAATACTAACAACTAATTACATGAATATATCCTAATATGCTATTTTGATTTTCAATGTTTAAATTGTTTATAAATGTGACTTTAGCCTTAAACTTTTTAAGATCGGAAGTTTGCTTAATCTCGTTTGGGAGGTTGTTATACAACTTTGCACCCCGAAAAGTAAATGATCGTTGTCCTGTTTTTAATCTACAAATTGGAAGGTCTAACTCTCCACTGCCTCTAGTGTTTCTGCGGTGAATCTTCGAATGCTGAATAAATTTTCCAGTAAGATAGTTGGGTATCAGGCCATGAATACACTTACGAACCATTAATAAGTGGTTTACAAGCAGTCTGTCATTCACATTAAGCCAATTTAGAGATTTCAGGCCTTCCGTGATATGATCGTATTTCTTTAGGCCTAAAACGATTGTACATGCGAAATTTTGGATTAATTGAAGTTTCTTAATGTTTTCTTCAGTCGTGTTGCTCCAAACCGTGGAGCAGTAATATAACCTACTAAATATAAAAGCGTTCATCAAGAAGACAAGAGTTTTACTGTCCAGAAGATGTTTTATCCTGTTAACGCGACTTAGCATGTAAGTACAGGTTGAAACAGTCTTTGCAAGTAGCCAAGGGCCATGTTCGTAGTAGCCGGGGGAAATCCCCAGCCCCCGCCTCTTAATGACACCCCTGCTCTGTCTGTATACCGGTATTTGTCACCAAGGCTCATCATGTCAACAAACCAAACTAATGTGGTATTAACTCTGTTCAAAGCAGAGATTGGTGAGCTGAGATCAGTAAATGACATCAGCTCACCAGTCCCTGGCTTTTGACAGTTTCACATATTGCTTCCTGCATGTACTTCTCCATTATTGTGAACGTGAGTGTGCCAGTAACAGTGGGTTTCACTAAAATAATTATGATTATGTTGCCACGTTACACATGTTCCATCAATATTCAAGTTAAAATTATCTTCAATTAATCCAATTTCCTGGCATTTTTAGCACATCAGTTATTTCAGGAAGTTGGTAGCTTTTATTCATTTAATTAATTTTCTTCTTTGTAAATTACACTGTTATTGTTGACATGCCATTCCCTAGCCCCAATTGAATAAATCAGGATTTAAATATGAAAAAAAACTGTCATCAATGCTCTACAACAAAATTGGGGGGGGGGGGGGGGGCAACTGACCTTCTTTGCATCGTATTTATTTTTTTTTTTTTATTGTAAATTATTGGTTTTTTGTCAGACTCCAACCACAAAAAAAAAAAAAAAAAAAAAAAAAAAAAAAAAAAAAAAAAACCCGAAAACAAGGCCGTAGAAGAGGGGGGGGGGGGGGGGGGGGGGCAACTGACCTTCTTTGCATCGTGTAAGGTGGTTGACTAGCTAGCACAAAAATATTTGTTACAGAGGACTCAATAAAATTATTTGGGGATCAGGTAACCACTGATATCTATTAAATCTTAGACAGGTGTACATTTACACTTAAAGGACACCTTACAAGGGTGGAGATGGGTGTCAAAAGAGTATAGTATGTTGGATCTACCCACAATGGCCACCTTGCGCACAAAAGATAGTGGCCATTGTAGAGAGGTCTACAAAAGAGTCAATGTATGGACTGTCTGCTAAACAAAGTGGCCGTTGTAGAGAGGCAGCCTTTGTGGAGAGGTGACCGTTAGTGGAGGTTCGACTGTATTCAATATTCACCTGTAGAATCTTCCTCAGTGACTATTTTCAGTGTACAAGTACCCATTTGTAATCCAAAGCTAGAGGCTCATAACAGTAAATAAATCAGGGTGTAAGCACTTACTTTCTGGGACACAAACAAGCAAAATCACCGAGTCCAAACTTCATGTGCCCTGGCATGTGTCTTGTAACCTGGAAGAAAGGAAGCTGGCCCTGTTTGGCCCACCTACAAAAAAAAAAACACAAATGTTTCGTAAAAATACAGCTATGACAATTGACCGATACAGTGCTAAAAACTTCAGACTCTACCATGGCAAAGATTGACTAACAAGAAAATGAGTCTGTGCTCTAGACACTTGTGCCAACAATAGAAAAAATTCACCAAAAAATTCAAATTCAAATTTATTTTTGTATTATTCTAACAAATAAATGGTATTACGCGAAACTTTTACCAAAGAGGTTTCATTTGAATGGTAACACCATACAATTTAAGCACAGATTTTTAAGGAGAGACAAATAAGCTTGGTCATAACTTGGTGTATGAGTGGAAGGGTTAAGGTTCTATTGTGTAAGCAGATACTACATTGGATTACAAGTACACAGACACATGTGAGGTACATGTACTGGGGGTATAAACCATTCCATGTTGAATTGGACTCATCAGTCAAGATGCACTCTTTTGCAAAAGCTATGACAGTTGAAAGTACGTTAATACAAAATAAAGCTGTTACTAAGAAGGCCTTTTTTCAACATGAGATGTTCAAGTATCACCAACTCTCTTTTGTTTTAGTTACTGTTGACCAGCCATTATTCTGGATTCATAACGCATTTTGGCTAAAAAGGAAAGAATAAAGAATTGTGAGTAAACCCAAGGTCAATGGTAACTTGAAGTAAGATGGCCCACCACTTCATACTGTTCATGTTGCCTTACTAGTTTCCTAGTTAAGTTTCCTTTGTGACCATTCTGTACAAACCTCATTAAATCGCTCAGAAACACTGGTTCATTGATCCACAGCAAGCCAAGGTAGCAGAAAGCCAGAGTAAATTTGAGAGAAACATGGCCATTACGCACTCTATTTGATTGTTTATTTGACCGACGAACATGTGATTGCTTTTGCTGTTTAACTGTGATTGAACCAACAAATTCATCCTCACTACTCTCTAAGCTGTCGTCATTTGAAAGAACTTCTTCATCCTGTTCTCTGATGTCATCTGGACAGACTGTAGATTTGGCAGCTTCATCAACGTCATCTTTCAATGGAACCTTAGAAGGGTCATCATCTATGTGAAAATAAAATAATTATTGTTCAAATCATTGAAAACTGACCCATATAAAAATGTTGCTGTTGTTTTTTTTAATTGTAAATACAGTCAAAGGCTACATGTACCTCTTGATGACAGCCACAAATTAATATCACCCAGTACTGGGCCCATGTGATCTTAGGTTCAACACTGAGTAGATTCCAAGAAATGCTACTTGAAATTGTCAAAATTCCTAGCTTACACACAATGTTAACTAATTTTGAACACTTACATTGTAACAAGCTACTTTAAAATCCACTCTTGAAAACCCCTGCCTGCCTATTTCAACCCCTTCCCACTCCATATTGAGTTACCACAATGTTTATAAAAGATTTATAAATGTGCGCAGAAAATTTTAAACATATAAAAAAACAACAAGGAAAAATTTATCCTAAGCATTGCACAGGTGACAGTTCTTACATTCCTCTGAAAGAAGGTTCTCAATGTCTCACTTTTCACACCTGGTTCTTAAAAGAAGCAAGTGTTTCTGACCTCTTAGTGTGGGGAAATGATGAGCAGGGGAAAGCCCTATGAGTGAGAGGATCAGCAATGTTTCTGGGTAAACTGGGCCATAATTATAAGTGTACAGAAGCTAGTGGCCAAAGTCTGTGTGTTAAAGAAATGAGGGAAAGTGAAAGAAATAATAATAATAATTTAAAAATTCAATAACTTATGGCCCTGTTCTCAGAAAAATAAAGCTAAGACCAAAACATACCTTCATAGAATTCTTCATCACTGAAGTGTGAACACAGTTCTAATTCATCATCATCTACATCATCATTTTCACCAACATCATTCTTCTGCTGTCCACGTTTTCTTTTATTCTTGCCAAGCAACTCAGCATCACGGCAGTAAAAAACAGCAGCTTTAGTTGATATCTGTCCTCCGGGGGACCCCATAAAGGCATTACCAGTTACCTGAAGGTACTTGTACCACAGTTTAAAAACAACATCCTAGAAATAAAATTTTTATACCAAGTCTGGTACCCTTTGAGACTTCACTAAGACCAGAAAGCTGAGTTCAGGGCTTCTGATATTTCGTGCGGTCGCGGACCCGCGAAATTCAGGTATTTCCGCGAAATCCCGCGAAATTCCCAAAAAAACACGAAATACCGCGAAATCCGCCCGAAATATTTCCAAATACATGTCGGCAAAACATATTTAATACTTATCTTGGCTATTAGACCTGTTTTATTCACCCCAAACGTCCAAATTTATCTTGAAACTTCTTCACTGCAACGAGTAAACAACGTCCCAAAACTACCAGGCGTTTTTAGATGAACGTTGCGAAAAACTGGCACTAACCATAATGTTAATAGCTTTAGAATTTGCTCATTTCTTGATTGAACTGTTGTTGAAAGAGCAAATGATTATCCCTGTTAAAAAAACGTTAAACAACACTGGTCATATCGACGCAAAATTGATCGATTTTAGTGAAATTTGCCAAAAAAATCCAGCGAAATCAGCTGTTTTTACTGATTGTTTCTTGGCGAAGTTTCCCCCCGAAATTTCCCATGAAATCGGTCGATTTTTCTAAGAATTTGCCCCTGAAAATCCTTCGAAATTTGATTTTTTTCCGCTAAAATCCTGCGAAATTGGCCGATTTTTCTGCGAATTTTGACTTTTCTCCCGCGAAAATCTCACGAAATCGGCCGATTTTTTCACAAATTTGCCCCTGAAAATCCCGCGAAATTTTACTTTTTTTCCGTGAAATATCAGAAGCCCTGTGAGTGCCAAAAATTAAATTAAAGAATAATGTGCAAGACTCAATAACTGGTTTCAGAGTAAACAGTCTTTTATTTTGTTTCCTTATAAATTCAATGTTTCTTGAGGTGGAGCCAAGTGAAACATTGAAATTGGTGGACAAAAACAAAACTGATTGGTTTCTTGAGGGACCAGTCATTAAGCAAATTATTAGCATAGTAAAGTAGGTGAAAGCAAAGTGGAAGCCAACTTTTACAGGAAATAAGTTGCATAATAGCTCCTTTTCATAAAGCATCCATGTTAAATCCCAGAGAATCTGACCTTTTTGTCAAGTTTTTCACTGCCAAGCTAGACATGCATAGTGCTATGTTTTTACGCGAAAAAAAAATGAGATAATGGCCTACATTGTAGAAACCCCGCAAGGAGAGACTTTAGTGAAAATGAATGACAGTGCAAACATTTTTCAGCTATACATGTAGATCTATATAACAACATTTTGGATAAAGAATGGAATTCTTACCTTTAATGCAGGGTCAACTCCAATTCCAATGAGATATTCCACTTGAACTTTGATTATGTGTTGATAAGCTTCATACATAAACCAGGGCTTCCCTTTATCTGGAACTGTTACACACAATGATCAAAACAAATAAGAACTAATAAATACAGAATACGTATGCAGAGTAACAAAAATAAAATATTACCAGGCAATTGCTCAAAGGGAAGAGATAAATGATATGTACTTGCAAAACTGTATAAAAACAATATTGCTGAGTGAAAACGTTCTACAGCCAATCAAAATAGTAGTGAAACTGTGAAAGATTTGAACCATTTCTCAACCTTTTTACTTTTTATTATGACATTGACGATCAAATTTTCTGCCATGTTGAGTTTGTGTTGATTTGGTGACCATGCCTTGCTGCCTCCAGGCTCCAGGCAATGATGCTGGGGTTTCAAGCCTCCTGGTCTCTGACTTCTTGTGATTTTTTCCCTCTTTTTTTTATCCAATTGAACGACCCGAACTCAAGAAATGCACATGATACTAAACCAAAAACAAAAAGGAGATGGCCTAATCATAGAAGAAGAAAAATTGGTCTTACAGCCATACTATTACCAACTTACAAAATTGTCTCTTAGCTCCCCGCTTTCCCTTTTTTGACACCTGCAAATGAGCGTGTGGAACTTCACCCCCATCACCAACATCCTCATCTCTTATATCCTTGATTGGAGAGAGAAACGCCAATCATTACTGATTCAGTTGCTATCTATTAGATATTTCAAAACTGGACAAATTATATCACTAGAAATACGTTATCACAAAATCCTCATAAAGCTTTAAAGGATCAGCAGTGAAAATAAAGCAAAACAAGCCAAAGGAGAAAAAATGATCAAAAAACTAAAAAGAAAAAAATGTACAAAGTTAAAAATTATGGCTTCACTGGAATTCAAATTCGCTCCCTCTGAATCTCCTGTGACTGAAATTATATCCTTGACCACTGCACCTCGCAACCACTGAATGATTGTTATGCTAAAATTATTATACTTAAAGTATTTTTCTTTGCCATGAATGCTGTTTGAAGTTAGTGGAACTGTGTTTATCATGAATTCAAAGATATATTTGAGGAAAATTAGCTTAGAAGGCGTATTTCAAAGCCATTTTGCATTATTGCAGTCTTAATTCACTCTCAGGTTCAACGGTGGATGGATGAACAGAGCTGAAACCAGTCTTTGATTTGACCAATCGGTCACATTGATTGGTGGGGAAAGAACCAATTCATTGTTGGTTTGCCTCAGTGCAACATGAATTCAAAGGTAAAGATTTTAAGGTTTTGACAGTAAAAAGCCAAAGTGAAACACACTTTAGAATAAAACATGATAGTGTACCACAGCATTTGCATTCACACTTAAAGTAGTGTACCCTAAAATGCATCCTGATGTCACAACAGGATGACATCAACTGTAGACACCAAAGAGATATTAAACAATATTATTGGATGAGGTTTTGGTGATATCCAGAATAATCAAGGTCGAGGTAGGAGTTATCAGCCGGAACCGAAGGCTGAAGGTGATAACCCTTACTGAGACCTTGATTGTTCTGGATATCACAAAAACCAAATCTAATAATTGTTTTATTATGCATTGAACGAATCCTTTCTTTCTCGCTTCGACATAAAATGTTTTCAAAGTTTGTGCCAACTCTTTCTTTTCCTCAGGTTCTCTCTGTTTTTTCTCTTTCACATAATCAGCAAACAGCTCCTTTGCCACTTTCGTCAACATTTTTGTGTTCGTGAGTTCTTGTCTTCAACTACTTTTTTGATGTCTTGCTTGGTCAACGAAGCAAACCTGGAAGTCATGTTTTTGCTTCTTCACTGACAGCAAGCAACACAAAGCGTGCAAACTTGACATGATTACCCTTAGAAATCACATACCATGCTCATACATGACATGATTACCCATGACCTTGAGTGTCCTTGACATGATTATTGAATAATCTGCAGCCAGTTGACATCCCAGGTGTTAATTTCGAAAATTTGCTGTACGCTTTCGGCCAATCAGAAAAGAGATAGTGAGTTGAATGTATAATAAATAGAAATATTCGCAACTTGAGTTTTTTGTCTCGCTGTGTGATCAACGCGCAAGGTGCGCGCACAGTGCGCAACAAATTTATAAACCAGGGGAGGCTGGCAACGGCCTTTGATCTTGCCGCTTTTCGGCTTTCCATGATCACCCCAGTTAAGAAATCTGTCAATCATTCGAGAGCTGTAGCGAGCATGCGCGAAACGGGCTGAGAACAACAACATCAAGTAGTTCGTCTTCTCAGCGATTCGACAGTGTGAAGTGAATTCACTTTTGGTCCTGTCGGTCATTGCTTTCTTCGCTGGAACCGATTTTTTCCGCAGTAATGTGGGGCTTACGTTTTCCTTTCTTCTGGTCTTGCGTCTGTCATTACATGCAGTTTACTAAGAACGAGACCAGTGAACAGTCATTGTTCCTCGATGCCCGCCTTTTTGGCTCACTACAGGCTTTCACGCTGTGTTTCTGTTTAGAAGACCCACAAAACTAGAAGAAGGGCCAATCCTCAAATGCGTATGTAGAAGAGTTTATATTTTCAAGTGAAAGGCCGAAAATTAATCCTTCGTGACATTAAAAAAAGCGCGGTGGCCGTGGTCAAATAGAAGAGTTGTCAGAGTTGTTTACGGTTTTAGTACACCTTTAAGACGAAAAGAAATGATGATTGAGATTCTTAATTCTTCATCCTTGATTGTGAACTTACTAGTATCCTGGCAGAGTTGCGTTGGATGATTGAGTGGCATATGGTCAAGTCTCGTAGTTCATGTATTTTGTTTTGTGACTTATGTAATAGAAGCTAAATAAATTTTGCCAAGAGATCATTCACTCTTGATATGCTCAAGTTCTTATCTTTGTGTGATTTAATTTAAACTTTACCGTAGTTTCTAAGAAATGAATATAGGCAAATGAAAGGGTAATTATTTTGTGTGTTTGGAATTCTCTTTTCAAGACAGCAGTTACTACACTGCCTTCAGTTTGAGTCCTTATTCAATTGTGTTTTGTTTTGTTGCAAACAAAGAGAGAGAAATTATAAATATTTTATTCCAAAAACTACACTACCAACTGGAACAAGAGTATGGCTTAAAAAAGATTAGCTAAGGTCAGAAAATAAATGTTCAAGTTTGCATGTTTTGACAAGGACTACATCTGGCTAAATATGCTTCAAAGGGAATTTATAAAATTAAAAAATGATGACATTTCTATTTTTGCCTTTCCTTTGGCCACTGTCATCAGTTTTTGCCATATAGTTGCATGTAATGTTTTACACCTTCGGACATCAACCTACCAGGTTAGTTTGTGTCTGTTTAAAAATGTAGTTTACTGTTAATGAAATCAAAGTAAACACTCTCAACTTAAAAATTTGCCTTGTACTAGTGGATATTGAAAACACCATAGGATGCCTTCGAAAAAAAATGGAAAATGATTATTAAGATAATATTAGTTGCAGTCAACAAAAACAGTTAGAAACTTGTGTTGAGGCCGGCAAAAATATTTTTCAGAGACCATAAGCCTTCACTGACTTTGCTGTTACAATAAGTGGTAAAAGGGAATTAAAATGTGAGATCACCTCCCTGGGCTTACACTGAAAGAGAGTATGGGTAGTAGGACACATTGTGCATTTCCCTACCCTTTTTAAGCCAAGAGACATTATTTTATAATCCTGATTCATTTCCTTTAGCATACAGAATTAAGGTAGCTTTTAAACTTACAAACATGGCAAAACTTGGGAGGGAAAATGGTGGTACCAATAGACTGCTTCTTCTTCAACCTTCACAACCCAAGCAGACACCTTGTTCAAAACACTAAAGGGTGAAATGGTCACCACCCTAAATCAGCAGCACATACCCATCTAGGCCAAATAAGCCAAGGGTAGTATCGTAGAAACAACTGCTGAGAGGATAGGGCTCAAGCCCGACAATAACTTCTTTTGATGGTTGATAAAAAATCAATTTTACCTTGTATAATTTAGTTGTAAATCAGATTCATAACTTACACAAACAATAAACTTAAGTTGTATATTTTTCAAGCCTCTTCTGATTCTCTTTATAAACTTTGCAAAACATTCACTTTTTCTTTTTTCTGTTTCTTATACTTCAGTCCTTTGAGGGATTTTCTCAACGCATACCCTTTCCTGATGTACTCACTCTTATTAGCAACTGAATTAGCCTCTTGTTCTTACACTAAACCACTATAATCATTTAAGTATACTTCATAACTAAAGGGTACTTTTTGTACCAAAAATTTCAAGGAAATACTTGAAACCGAAGTCACTATCTAATACAAACCTACTAAACACGGTATTGCTGTTCGAAATTTATTGATTATCACTTCAATGACATTCCAGTGAAGGTTTTGAAGGTTCAGTAAACCCCTCCCTGCAGCCTTTTGATATTAAAAAATAGCTTATACTGACAGACCCAAAATGTGAAGCAAGTGATTGGAACATTTACCCTGGTTTTTACTAAATTGGCCCTGTATTCTGTATTTACGCCCATAAATATTTGCTGTGCCTCCCGGTGTACACAAACAAACGTACGAACAGCGAAGTAGAAAATCAGTGGTTTAATGAACATTCACATATAACTGTTGCAAGACTCATACCAATATATTGTGCTCGTAGCATATGTCTAAGATAAGGAAGAGAGTCTTAATACCACTGTAAGTGGAAAAATATAAGAAATGGAGCAAGATGGACGCTCGAAAATTCACGAAGCTTATTAAAAAATAACTGAACTTGCCGAGATCCCGAATCACGATAAGTGAAGTCACCCACGAACTTTTCATACTTCACGCCTCCTGATGTCCAAAAGGTCCATTAAAAAAGTTCATAGAAACTTTCTCTTGATATTTGTACGCGGGAAAACTTAAAACCGACCAAAAACTCATCGTCCTTCCATGTCTGCATTCTCCGCCATGTTTGTTTTCAAGGAAAATTTGTACTCAGTCTCACTCGGCCGAATTTCTTAACTGGGGCAATCATGTAAACTCGGTTCCAGACCTCGCTGCCAGCCCCCCCTGTTATAAACCTTGTAAGGTGAGGTTCCTTTGGCTCAAAATAAATGGATAAAAATCTCAAATGTTCTGTTATCTCATGAATATTTTACTACATGTTGTGGTTGGACAGTTAGCTCTTCTTATGGATCCATTGCATTCCCTAATTTGAGTGCAGAGTCGTGCATGCCGCATCCATTGTGCCTGGGGAAGGACTCAAAATCCAAACCGAGCTAAACATGGAGGAAATAACTGGGTAGACAAACATAATAGCCCATTTGTTAAGGATTAGAAAAGCTTGTAGTGTTTAAAAGTTAAGTTTTCACGATTTTACGCATTTTTTTATTGCTTAGCAAACCAGATCCTACATAGCAAAATCGGGAGCTACTGCATCAACGCATGGCGCAGCTGAAATTGACCTGAATTGACTGATGAATAGTTATACCTGCTTTAAACCTGTACTGAGAATGATTGGAAGTACTTCAGAGCTCGTATTTAGCCATTTAATATAGCGAATGACATTAACATTTACCTGTGACTGTGTGCCGCAGCTCTGACAGAAATAAAGCCCGTCAATAGAATCAAACGTTTCACTTTCGCACAAAACACACACCGGCATTTACTCAAAATGGGGAAGGCGAAAGCTCAAATATGGTATGTAACATCACACGAAACGTCTACCTCATCCATAGTCCTGCGCCACCACAATAAATTTATTGGACCTTGAACCGAGTAAACAAAACAAACCAAGCAGTTTCAAATGTTTACTTCAGCTCTGCAATTTATAATTTACGCCTTTTCCATTTACGGTTTGGAGGCGGTAAGTAAATTGTCCTGATTTGTTTTCTTTGAATTTGAACCAAAAAATATATAAGCAAGCAAAATAAAAGTACAAGCTGGTACCAACCTGTGTTAGGCTGGGCTGTGAGTTTATATTGACCAAAAATTTAGCTTTCTATTACACCTGTAAGCTAACTGTATTATGACCTCGTACAGTGTTTGTATTTATAGCTTAATTTAAATCGCCGTCCAAAAAAGTAATAATCACTGCATGTACGTGATAATGTGTATAAATTCGTTCTTCATTAGAGAAACTTTGTACACTCAGGTCCACCCTGCATTTAGTTTTACATGTATTAATAAATACGCACTTGTCACCTCCCAGTGGAAAGTCCCGCACCCTCCTGGACTTAGATTAGACCAGGCTTGCCTTCTAAATGAAGCAAATTTCTTGCTATGTGGAGCAATTTCGTAAATCAAAACGTCACTTTTTTCCCAGTCCCAGGGGCAATACAGTCTTCAAAAATCACCAATGTATTTAATGTTGACCAAAATTAAAATATTTCAAAGATTTTTACCTCGAATTGAACTTATACAAATATTAGCATCAACAATGCTGTCCATTTCTCACACAGCCAAAACATATTCTTATATTTGGAAAACACTTTACAATATTATTATTGTTAAGTTCAATCTTGACTTATAGAATTGGTATTCCGAACTTCATAACCTCTCCAACCACGTGATCATGTTTACTTGAGCCCTCCAGCTTATACTCCCACACAGAACAATGTTCCAGTTATTTTCTATCAAAAGCAAGAATATAATGCTTCTTATCCCATACCATATTTTATTCAAGATGGTATCAAAGGCTAATCCTCGTGTAAGCCCTACTAATGGTTCCCTGCTGGCTGATACTGGTGTCTACTACTGTCCAAAACCCTGCATACAGTGGCAAAAGTGACAGTCTGAAATCGCCCGCTAATGCCTCTCATTCTGTGGGTATGGGGGTGAGGAGCTTTCCACTAGTCAAAATAGCCAACTGCTCTGGTTTAACCCATTTCTCAACCAAAGTTATACCATTAATAATCATCATCATCATAAAAATCTGCTGTCCTGTTGTAAATGGGGTGGTAAGGTAATTGAGTTCTTCACATAAGTGTTGACTGTTTGCTTTTGCTTGGTTGATTCTTGGGATAACGGCACTTCAGAATTAGAAACAGGACTGACAACTTGTGTAGAAACAAGCCCTAGTCATTGCCCTGACTCGTGACTGGTTCGAAGACTCAAGAAGGTCTCAGCTGTCATACATGAAGACTCAATCATAGACTACTTTATGTTTATTTGGTAAATCAATGTGCTTATATTCATGGTCGAAGCGATCATACATGATTAGATAAGCTATTACAAGAGGATATACGTGGTTTCCTTTCTGGAACCCTAAGCACATGCATTTTTACACCCTATTTAGTTACGCAAATCCTGTACAGCTAGATCTGAGAAATCTCCTACACAAAATCCTATCTGGTAAAAGGGTGTAATTTCCACATTATAGGCACATCCTATTTTGTAGCTTTGCACAAAACACATATTTGCACGCTTGCTTTAGCAGCAGTAATCATATTTCCGTATTGTAACAACAGCTATTTATCAGCTTAGAATTAACATGTCACTATTAGATGAACCAATTTTCACACTTATTTTAACTTTACTACAGCACTAATAAAGAATCTTTAAACTAATTTCAGCATTTCAGCCTATGACGTTAAACTTAAGAGATGCCTCCATATGAAAAGACTGCCATGGTCGATGATCTCACAGTTGATGACAAGTTGAAAGATGAGGAAGAAATCTCACAAAGTAAGCCATCAATGAAAGATCTGAATGCTCTGGTGAAAGATGTAGTTTCACGTAGCTCCTGGTGGGATCTTTATGGTATTGACCTAGCGATCATGTGTATCAACTTTGCACTGCTGCCAATCAGCTTACTACTTTTGGGATCTGCCAATGTTCCTGTGTTTGTTGGTGGTTATCTTCTGTTTGCCTACATTAATGCCACCTTTACTGTGAAGTTGGCTCACGCAGTTATTCACAATGCACTCGCTGGCTCATCACATTTCTGGAATGGCCTTCTGTCCATATTTTTAATCGAGATCTGGGGAGGTTTTACGGTAGAAGGCTCTTATGAAGCTCACATCCAGCTTCATCATCCTTACACTAATGTAATAGGCCTAGGTGACTCAAGTTCATGGCGAGTACCTTCCTTGGGCTGCAATACATACCTATTTATTGCACCTCTTTTCCTACACTTGCTTTACCCTCTAGTTGGCCTCAAATTGCTTGCTGGGCGTTGGTGGTCCAAAGCCCGATACCTGTGTCTAACATTTGTGGGCTACATGATGCATTTCTGTTTGCTGCACTACATTGCTGGTCTGTCCATACCAGGTGCTATCTTGTGCTACTTTACTATGCGTTCAGTATTTTCCATTCCTTACATCCATGTTAATATATTCCAGCACATTGGCTTACCAATGTATGATGTTAAAAAGCGTCCAAAGCGACTGTACCAGATGGCTTCATCGGCCCTTAATCTTCCTCGAAATCTTCTCCTTGATTTCTCCTTTGGCCACTCAATAATCAGCTGTCATGTGGAGCATCATTTATTTCCACGTCTGTCCGATAACATGTGCCTAAAGATCAAACCTGTGGTATCCAGCTACCTTAAGAGCAATGGCCTTCCATACCATGAGGCTCCCTATCTCAGTCTACTGTGGAAATTTTGCAACAATTATGATGAACTTATGGTCAAAGCACCACCAATCACAGAGTTGATTGGTATACAGTAAAGAGATAGCCGGCGTTGCAGACTTAAATCAACTTTGGTTAGTAACATCTGCCAAGCAGTGCCAAGATCCTGGTCCCTGTGGCCCCCATTGGGCTTAGGAAGTAATCCTGATTGGCAAATTGGTAATGGCTCTTTTAACAGGCCAATAATGGCTCGTACTCAAATTCTGGTAGACAGCTGGGGGTCCAGAACATTAGGATTTCAGCACTGTTTTGCAGATGGACTTAACCAGAGTTTAGTTTTGTCTGTTGGAGCCCTTTTCACCTTTGCAGCTGTGAAGAGCATTAGCTAAAAAGTTGCTTGTAACAATGCATTGACTGTGTAAATGGTGTTTTGGGAAAAAATACATTCAACTCCCGACAATTCGAATCTTCAAGGGAAGTGGAAAAAAGTTCGAGTTTTCGGGAGTTTGAGTTATCGAGGGTAAAATAATATAGAAAATGATCTAAAGGGAAATGAAAATTGCTTTGAGTTAGTGGGAGGTTCGAGTTACCGGGAGTCAACTGTACTTCTCTTAGCTAGGATTTAGGGGTAGAGTTCTTTGTTTTACTTGAGAAATGTCACTAAGTCTAGTTTAATACACAATTGCAAGTTTTTTGAATGGCTTTAAAGTCTCTGATAAAGATCAACTCATTCTTGCACTAGTATTTAAATCTGGGGTTGTTTTGGTCTAAAAAAGTAGAAGTAAAGTTAAGCTGTGTCTTTATCAGATATAAAGACACTCATAAAACATTAATTTCTTTTGCTCTTTATGAATGATTATTGCATTTTTGAGGTATTTACGTGTGTTTCACCAGCTATTAAGCATCTGAAAAAATTGTCATTCTTTAAAAGCTTTTACAAAAATAATTATCATTGTAGTGAACTTTATTGTATTTTTGTTCTTGTGTCTTCCAATTTCATAATATTTAATAAAATTATTTAACTTCTAAATGAATGCCACATTTTTTTTGGATCTGGATTAATAATATTCCTGATATGGACCGGTGTAGTTTTAAAATAATATATTACATGTATCATCTGTACACTGAAACTAAATCAGTTTAAATTAATTATTGTTTATTTGACAGGAAAATATTGTTTACAAGACATATGTAACTAATAGTTACTAAAAGTTTTTCAAGGAAGAAGGGCAGTGTTTGTGGCCCAACAGTAGTGGCAATATGTAGTTATTAAATGATGCAGTTTGTTGGGCACTTGTAAGCTAGATTTGTGTCTTTACTGTAACAGAGGGACTAAGATAACCCTCACGTCAGATACTGATATCTATGTTCAAACAGCATTTTACTATACCTGGCACCATTTTACTCTACTCTACCGTGGCAGGAGAGCATTTGAGATTATTATTACTAACATCTTAACTTCAGGTATTTTAGTTTTAACACAGCTTTGCTGCTCACTCAGAACTCTTCTTCGTCATTTAACTTTTGTTAGCCACAGGCCACATTTATACTTGTGAATAAGGGGTTTAATAAATTAGTTCTTTCATAACATGCATTTGTATTGCTTCAAACCATTGATCCTTAGCCATGAATTATTGATCCAAGCACTGCCACAGAATTTATGAATAAAAACCAGAGGGGTCTGCAAGTTCACTTGGTGTCAAATTTTCAGCATTTACATTGCAAAATACTTTTCTGTTATTGCTCTTTTACCAAGATTAGACAACTTTCTTCCAAGTGTACTTGTTTGAGTAGCTGCTTTGTAAACTTTATCTTTTGGAAGGAGGGCACCCTTCTATAAAAATCATTGACAGGGTGCTTGCTAGAATAAGAAAATCTAAGAACACCTTTTGAAGGTACCAGAATCTTCCTTAAGGGATCACTGACATATCTTTTGCACATTGTAACAAAAAATCATTTTCAGTTCTGGTAATATTCTGGCCAAGGAGCCACCCAGCTATTGCCCCCCAACAGAGAATTTTCGGTGCATTAAAATCAGTCCACTGTGTGTACATATCCTGATTAATTTTTAGAGGGTATTGGAAGGAAGACATTTTATTTCAAGTCTTGAAATGGCTGTAACAATGTGACAGCCATTTCAAGACTATGCCATGTCATGGCATAATGGCATGAAATTCAGGACTATGTATAATTATTAGTGTCTTTACCATGATACCAAAAAATGCTCCTCCATAGTAAAGATGAAGATATCAGACAAAAATTATTGATCAGGGAGCGCTAACCACAAAAATGTTTTTTCTATTTTTGCAGGAATAGCATTAAAACTTGAAAATATTGAGTCTCCATCCATGTTCATTGTTGCCACTGGTAACAGTGACAGGAAACAGTTTCAATGCCTATGAATAAAAGTCTAAAACAACGAAACTGGACCAATATTATTTTGTAGAATTCAGTTGAAGCAAAAACAAAACATTCTAGCTTCTTAAAAAGATGGTGCATAGCTTGACATATCCCCCTTAAAAGGACTAAAAGTCAGTTTAATGACTGATGGCTGTTTTTAGACTTGATTCCCAAAAGGCCCTACGAGGGTCTACAAGGTACTGAAACATTTCTAATGGTGGTTATTGTAAGACCACAAATTTTCTCACCTTAAGGGTACAATTAGCCTGTGTACAGATGCCCATTCCCCTAGAGGGGATGGGACATCTGTTCACAGGCTAAGGGTACAATGAGTACCTCCATCGATTTTCTGGGGAAGTAAATAATTTTTTTCAGTATAGAATTCTATCGATTTGAGAAAAGAAATTTTTTTGCACGGTCCTTCAATTATCTGTATCTCACTGGTTAGTGTGAATTTTACTGAAATGTCAACAGAATACAACACAATGGTCAGACGCGTTTTTAGGCCAAATTATTCAATGATCATTGTACACATGGTATGCTAACTTTTGTTTGTTTTGCATACATCGTACATTCTACATGTTATCGTGCCTTTTTGTGCCAAAACTTACTTATTTGATGAAGGACTGGGAAAATTTTTCCCACACAACTAGAAAATCTACTTACCCTCAATATTCCGTAGAGCTTAAATCTCCAAGTGCAATGAAGTCAAAGAAAATGTTAAGAATTGCTAGTAGAATAGACCTTTTCACTGTTTTTTTCAACTTTTGACATGGACAAGTTGGGGAAAATCTGTCGACACCAATTAAAAGAGCGCCTAAAGATTAGTAAGATAATTATTGCTTATTTTGAAAGTGTTTTGTTGAAAACTAATGAAGATATATATAGCTCCTCAAAGTTGCAGAATTTTAGAGACATTTGTAAAGTATGGGGCACAAACTTGCCCCTCCCCCACCCCCCACCATACAAACGTCTGCAAATTTTCGCAACTTTGCGGAGCTATGACTTCACTCCCTAAGATTTATCACTTTCAAATTTGGCAGTTTTTCAAATATTTAGGCACTATTTCCAGTGTTGTTTGCCCATGTCAAAAGTTGAAAAAAAAAATGAGAAAGTCTTTGGAGAGATTTGTGTGATGCTTGGTAACCGCCCTAAGATTTCCTTGCCTGAGTGTCACTATGGCTTCGAAAACCGTGACAAGGTCTAAAGGCCTTTTTTCAAAAATACCATAATACTCTTCGTTGTCCCTCCAAAATTTTGCATAAGCATTGTTTTCAATTTCTCTTGGGACTAAGGCCTATTGTAGCTCATAGTAGCTCATTCCTTGTTTTAGTAACTACGGAGAAATCAGTCGCCAACTCGTATAAAGAGCGCGAGATAGGTCGTGAAATCGTGAAACACACGACTAAGTCTTAGCAAGTCTGCAACACTACAGTGACTCCTACAATAGGTTATTCTTTTCTACAAACGTTAAAAGCGAATGAAATTAACATTTACCTATGACTGTGAGGTGCAGATGTCCAACTAAATAAAACGGTCTTCCGCGTGTGTTCTCCTACGACGAGACAAGGCATGCATCGCGTGTCGACTTTCATGCAGTCTTTACGCTGTGTAGAATCACACGAAACGTCTCATTCCCAGTTTCCCCCTCTTCAATTCGCTCCATTCGATTAGGTGTTTTCTTCAATGTACTGTTGAGGTGAGCTTTGAAGCAGATTGTCTTCATTTGTAACGTTACAATCGTTAGCTTGGAACTAGTTAATTAGAAGCCTGTTGCTGGCTCCAAGATAGTAATGTGCAGTCGAGTGCAATGAAAAGTTGGCTCGCTTTATTTTCGCGACGTCACAGCTACTATCTGAGTCATCTGAGAGCCTGGCAAAGGCTATTATACCGTACAATATATGTCAGGTCCCGAGGAAAGGGTTTGTCTAAAGCCTGGAATCCGGAATCCGGAAAAAACCAACGCCGAACGGCGAATGACTCTTAAGTTTAGTGATCAGGGTTAGGAAACGGAGTGAATCAAGTTTCAGGTCAGTTTGCCCAGTAAGATGACCTTAACTCAAGATTCTCTCTTGCCCTAAATGGAACCTGATTCACTCAGTTTCCTAACCTTAATCACTAAACTTCAGAGTCATTCGGCATTCAGCGTGGGTCTTTTACAGATTCCAGATTCCGGGTTTTAGGCAAACCCCCAAGAAAAACAGCCACTTTTGTTTTCCCAAGAGTTCTGACTTTGCTTCAGTCTCCTCTTTCCATCTGGAACAGGTTCAAAGGCTTGAAGACTCAGTGTCCAGAACAACCCAATAATAATACCTACCCACCCAACTCCCCTGCCCCACGTCTATAGGAGAACCCCACTCTTGACACTGGAGCACTCTGACAACTTGGCCATTCTGCTTCAATTTAAACTTTGATTGTACACTCAGGCTCAGATGATACAGTGCACGTACCAAAGGCAAAAGCAACATCAAATCTCCTTCAAAGCAGTGGAATAAAGTAATTTTCATTTCTGTTACAGCTCCTGAATTCCCAACATCATTGTCATTTTTAATCTGCCCTTATAACTAATTATGAATTTTCTTTTACTAATTTGCAGTATTTAAGTTTGTCTTATGGTGGGGCCCTGTCACTAAATCCTTTTAAGATGCCTCCATATGGAAAGACTTATTCAGTCGATGATCTGATAGAAAATGACAAGAGAGATGAAAAAGGAAATCTCAATTTCACCAAACAAGCCATCAATGAAGCAGTTGAATACTCTGGTGAAAGATGTAGTTTCACGCAGTTCCTGGTGGGATCTTTATGGTATTGATCTAGCAATCATGTGTATCAACTTTGCGCTGCTGCCAATCAGCTTACTCTTTATGGGATCTGTTAATATTCCTGTGTTTGTCACTGGTTACCTTCTGTTTTCTTATATTCATGCCACTTTTACTGTGAAGTTGGCACATGCAGCTGTTCACAATGCACTGGCAGGCTCATCACGTTTCTGGAATGGCCTTCTGTCCATATTCTTTATCGAGATCTGGGGAGGTTTTACTGTGGAAGGCTCTTATGAAGCTCACATCCAGCTTCATCATCCTTACACCAGTGTGATAGGTTTGGGTGATTCCAGTTCATGGCGAGTGCCTTTCTTGGGCCGCAATACATACCTGTTTATTGCACCTCTCTTCCTGCAACTTCTTTACCCTGTAGTTGGCCTAAAATTGCTTGCAGGACGTTGGTGGTCCAAAGCCAGGTTTCTGTTTGTTACTATGATAGGATATATAATGCACTTCTGCTTTTTCCACTATGTAACTGGTCTGTCAGTTGTAGGTGCTATCTTTTGCAACATAACTGTGCGCACAGTTTTTGCCATTCCTTACATCCACGTCAACATTTTTGAACACATTGGTTTACCTATGTACGATGTCAAAAAGCGTCCCAAGAGACTGTACCAGATGGCATCATCAGCGCTTAGTCTTCCCCGTAATCCTCTACTTGATTTCTCCTTTGGTCACTCAGTAATCAGCTGTCATGTGGAGCATCATTTATTTCCACAACTGTCCGATAACATGTGCCTAAAGATCAAACCTGTGGTATCCAGTTACCTTAAGAGCAATGGCCTCCCCTATCATGAAGCACCTTATCTCAGCCAGCTGTGGAAATTTTACAACAATTATGATGAACTTATGGTCAAAGCACCACCAATCACAGAGTTAATTGGTATCCAGTAAAGCAGTAATTTAATAGTTTTCAAGAGCAGATGGCTTTCCCACTTAACTAACAAATGTGCACTATCTTGTTAATTGCAGTTGTGAACAGTGTAACTGCTAACAAGTTGCTTGTAACTCAGAACTGTAAGGTGTAAATTGTGCATCATTTAGGTTGGTTTAAGAAGAGTCATTCAAGACTTCATATAAATAATTCCTTCTTAATTCAACAACTTTTAATGGACTTTCTATTGAATATTACTTTCAAAGAGTTCCCTCACCATACCAGAGCATATTATATAATAAATTATATTATTATATAATTATTATATTAAAAGACATAGTAGTCAGTGACAGCTAACAAAAGAATGTTAGCTTCATCATTTTATTTCAACATGGTCATTACTCTGCACGATGGCATCATTTTACTACTATGACCAGAATTCTTTTCGTTTTTCCTTTCATATTCAAATTTGGTAATCCCAGTGAGTTTTAAATGACAAAAGCCTAAATTTGCACAAGAAAGTAAACCCCTGAAGGATTCTGGTCGTAGTAGTTAAATGACTTCATTATGCAAATGGCCTATTATCAGAGCACTCCGCATATTGGTTGCCCTGTGATGTAGACAGACAGACAAGACTTTTTTTATTCCCCTAGCCTGCGTAGCTGGTGGTTTCGACTGGCCAGTATGCAAATATTCTCCTTGCAGCATCACCACTCATTAGTTCACCACTCCATTGCCCCTCCCCCTAGAAAACTATTACTGTTATTCCCCATGGTGCTCCATGTAAGCTAAGAAACTTGTTTAATTTACAGATGTTTTAAACACTGAGCTGTGGCGTAACACTTGATAAGGAGTCAATATGCAAGCCACGAAGGACTAAATTTTATGCACAGGAGTTTAATTTTGATAATCATTAATTAAATCTTGCGTTTGATTAAGACTTGCTTTTGTTGCTGGAAATTTATTCGAACCGTTTTTAATGCACTAGCAGGGATTCTTTGACACTGTGATTTCTGGTTCTGCAGTACTTCAAACTTCATTGCAGATATTCCAGCTCACTCAAATGCATGTGAATGCTCTTGGAGTTGAATTCTTACAGACTGTATCCAAGTTCATAAAGAGAGAAAAAATCATTTCCTACATCCTCCATAAAACATCAAATTAGGAATTTTGTCATTGAAGTTGTGCAGTGACAACAAAGAAAGGAAAAAGCTTAATGCAATCTTCATAGCAGCTGTTTTGCTTTCTTGAACGGTTCCTGTTGCTGTCGTGACATCTTCAACTCCCTACTGTTCTGCATTCTTGGCACTTTGTGGCTATAATTGCTCTGATTCGTAGTCTCAGTTAGCCTGCATAGCAGGCGTTAAAGGGTGGCGGGAGGAGGGTAAGAAGGTGGAAGAAAGGGAGAGTCCCCCCCCCCTCCCCCTTTAAGTCTCAGTTGGCCAACAGTAACATTCTTTTATTGGCTAACAATGTTTAGGGGGAGATGACTTGTGTATTTTTATTTTTATTTTTTCAATTTTTGTGTGGAAGCTACATTGTTGAACGGGTCTGTCACCTTCGGTTCTCTTCTTCACAGCCCCAGCCCACCTCCCTGTCCAAACTACCTCTGGTGTGTTATGTATAGAGCAAAAGTTACAACTTAAAGTTTGCCAGCAAGATATAATCGTTTAAATGAGCAAAATCTGTCATCCCTGAAATTAACGCCCCATATCTTTTTGCTAGCATAATTTTTGGCATAATTTGTCATTACCAGCATAATTTTCATCTTTTTTCCGAAAAAAAGCGCGGCTAGCATAATTTGACGTTTACATTGAAAAGTGGTTTCAGTTCTTGTATAAGCAATGATTCTTTGATTTTACAGTGATAATCAGTTTTTCCCGATGCTAAGATGTCAAAATGATCCCACTTCTTGTTGTGTCCAGTCACGGTGTTGACATGGTCAGCAATGGCTGTTGCCTTCGTCGCAGATGCTCTAAACCTTCTGTATACAGCTATTTCGAGAAAATATGCACGCGACAATACCAAAAGGTAACATTGGATATGATCAATACACTGTTCCTAACCAGAGATCAGGCGTTATTTATTTTGTTTTTGCTTTTTTGGTTCTTTGGCTCGAGAGGGAAAAAAAATAGCTACACTGTTCCTGACACTGTAGCCGTCGAACCTACTTTTGTTGCTTTCCTTTAGCACTCGCAAACATACGTCCATGGGCTCTCGTGCACTTCTTTCAAATTTCTTTAAACAACAGTGAACTCAAAACCACCCACAATACCTTTCGGGATTGTCGCGTACACTTTTTCCGACAACCTTTCTCGAAATAAATGTAGATATTGGGCGCTTTCCATTTAGGAAAAAAACCCGGAAATTTCGTTGGTAGCAAAAGTGGAATTTCCGATTGGTAAAAAGTTGTTCCATTTGGTCGCAAACCCCGGTACGTGGCGGTGCCCGACCGTGGACCTGGAACTGGTACAAAATACGAGAAACGTAAAAGGAACACGACATTCCGTTCGGAAATTCCAACCGGGAAAACGGGCCCACCTTTTTAGATTTTCTTCTTTTTCTGGGAATTTTCCAGTGGGACGAACCGACGAAACGTGTTCCATTTACCGCCGAACCGGAAATTCCGGAAATTTTGACTAAATGGAAAGCGCCCATTAATGCCTTTTTAGACGAGTGCGTGGGCCGGCTGATGTGTGATCATTTTTAGCGAGTCGAGAGC